ATTGTTTTACAAAAAATTAAAAACTCGACTAACTAGAATTGCAAGAGGCACCTGCTTTATCAAATCCAATTCCTTCAATTAATAATAATGACAAACAAATTAAAATAAAAACTACAGGTGAAATTAAATGACAAAACATTTTTAGAAAAATTATTTTAAAGTGGAATATTTAATTAAAAGAAAATAAATTTTAAAAAATTAGGTTCATGTTCTCTTTTAAAATTTTATCTTTTATTTAAATCTAAAAATGAAAATGAACACAACATCTATAAATCCTTCAAAATTGGTGTAAATAATAGTCTTTCAAATTGAATATTTATGGTAGACGTTTAATTTTGTTAAAAAAATCTTTAAAATTTAAATTATTTTTTATTCCAATTTTATTTTTTTTTAATTTTAGTTGGCATATATATGTATTTTTAAATTATTTTCAACACAATTTAAATATTAACGATAATATTATCAATAAATTCCGTTAAATAGAACCATTTATTTCTCATTAAATCACCCAAATCTAATATAATCATAAGTATTTCCATTATTTCCATTTGACTTTTTGTTTGGTTTTCCATCCATTTGAAAAGAATTACGCCGCCCAAAACGAACAAAATCATAAGAAGATGATGAACGTTTTTCTTTAAAATAAAATTAATTTATATAAATCTCATCTAACTACTCACCATTTTCTAATATTTTCGTCATAAATTTTTCTTCCTTTTTGCATAAATTAATATTTTTAGATAAAAATAATAATCTTTCATATTCTTTTGAATTATTTTTTAAAAATTTGTTACATAAAAATTTAAGTTGTTTTGGTGATAATTGTAGTTTATTTGTTTGTTGGTTTGGTAAAGAAAAAATATTTATTAAATGTTTTGGTCTTTTATTTAATGAAGTAATTAAATATAAGTCGTTTAACGATGAATCTTCGAAAAATATAAGTGATTAAAATATTTGTTCCTAGTAGAATTATTTTTCCTCAGGTAGCTTATCCCAATCACCTAACGAAAATCCTATAATCCCTCTAATTTGAAGAATCTAACTAATAAATCCTTTTCTAAAATTTACCTTCATATGGCATAAAAATTTCTTCTTCTGATTTATGAACTGGACTGAAGGTTGATACGGATGCAATGAAAAATAAGGAGACCATCCAAAATAAAAACATAATATATAAATATAAAATTGAAGAATTTTTTAAAAATTGGAACTAAATATTTATATATAAAAATGTAAAAATAAATTATATAAAAAATATTTTTAAATATAAGTACATATTTATAAATTTATAACAAAAAATAAATTGTTCTATTTTATTGAAAACAAGCATAATTTAACAAAAATATTCATTAGTAGCTATATTTATTTACTTGTTTTCTCAAACAGTACTAAATATAATTAAAAATATTTATAGTAGAGATTTAAAAAAATAATTTTCGACCAATATGATGGATATTAAAAGTATGAAATATCGGATAACGCATTCTCTAGCTCAATCCACAACCAATCCATGAATGTGGAAGTATAAAGTACCGCGATGTATGGTTCGACTCGAAAGATAACATTTGTGCGAAAGATAACGTATGGTTCGACTCGAAAGATAACAAGGTTTCCCAAATTCGATAATTTTGAACGAGGTTATAACTTGGTGGTACATTGGTCTCGCGGTACTTTGGCCTTCTCCCGATGTGAAATTTTCGAGCGAGGGAATTTTTCGAGTTTTGAACCTTTGCGAAGGGTATTTGGGGGGAGTTATTCTAGGATGGGGAATTAATCGAGAACTTGATCTCGAAAAAAATCACTTTGAAGTGTCGGAAAATATGCTACATAATTGACAAAAATCTATTATCTAATAAATACATTTAAATTAAAAATTAATTTAAAGATGTATTTATTTCCATTTACGTCGGTTTCATAAAGAATTTTCACAATCGCAAAGATAAAAAAAGAAAACGAAAAAATGGAGAAAATTAAAATTTTTAAGACCAATGAGACTTACTCCGCGCAAATAAATTCCCTAAAGAGAAAAATTTTTATTTAAAAATTATTATATTTTTTTCTGTTGCTATCGAAGTAATTTAGGTTGAGAAAGGCGGAGAAATTTTGTGTGATATTGACAGGTGTTAAAATTGAAGAAAAATCAAGTATTTAAAAAAGAAAATATATATTAATTAAATGTACAAAAGATTTTCACCTGTCCATTTTTTATAAAAATTTATTCGAAAATTCTGATTTTGAGAAATTACGTCAATCAAATTGGTATTATTTTGCAGAAATTTATATAAATTCTTATTAAAATTAAAATAAATTAAACCAAAAATAGGCAAATTAAACCGAGTAAAGTTTTGAAAAAATAGGGGGGATGGACAAAGTTCAATTTTACCACCATCTTATTTGAAAATGCTAAAAAGTTTGAAAAAATATTTTTATTTTTACTCTAATTTAATTAAAATATTTTTATTTTCAAAGACAATTTTTGTAAAATAAAAATCAAAAAAATATTAGTAAATAAATAATTATATATTTTTTTTACTTAATTTTACCTCCAATATTTCTTTTATTCAAATCTTCTTCTGCATTTTTTGCTCGTCGTTCAGCAATTAAAATTTTTGTTTGCAAATCTTGTACTTCTTTTTTTAATCCCAAATTTTCAGCTGCGGATTCAATTAATTGTTTTTGCAAAGAATTTATAAGTAATTCTTTCTTATCAAGAATATGTTGACTTTTACGTAAATCTTCTTCGCAAAGAGAACATCTTTTCTTATATTTATGATACTTAAAAATGGGGATAACTATTTAATATTCCACCCCCCCCCCCATCTATTTGAGTTCCGGTCAGATTAATTTCCTTTTATTCTTTTCTGACTCTAAATGGTCAAATCTCTTTTTTATAAAGGAAATGATTTTTCAAAAAAATGTTTTTTATTCCTTCCTAATTTTTGTCCAGTTAACCTAACTTTTACTTAAACTGGTTTATTAACCTTTACCTAACTTTTAAATTTAAAAAATTAAATTAAAAACCTCTTTCTTAGAATCTTCCAATTTTTTTTTATTCTCATTATTTTCTAATTGTAATGTCTCCAAACATTCATTTAAGTCTTTATTCCTGTCATCAGATTCCTTCAATTGTCTTTGTAAACCAGCAATTTCATCATCATCAGCTATTGCCTAAAAAATCTAAATTAAATAATCAAAAAAAAACAAAAAACAAACATCATGAACTAATTTTTCATTATCCTTCTTTAATCTATCATTTTGAAATTCCAAACCCTTAAAAATAAAATTACGTTCAAAAAATATTTTTTGATAAATTGAAACCTTATAATCGTTTTCTATATCTTCCAATTCGCTCTCGAGACGTTCATTATTAGAACCCAAATCCCGAATTCTTTTAGTTAAACGTTCTTCGACCTTTAAATTTTTTAATAAAAATTTGCTAACATTAAGAATTAAGGCAGTATTGAATTCCTAATTTATTCACTGATCAGAAATCTATTTGCAGCCAATTTTGAATTTTATATGTCATATTTTTATTTTTCTGTACAACGATCATTTTTATTATGTGGCGATAATTACCCAGCTCTGGGTGTTAAAACCTGCGACTATGCCAACGTTGGGGGTGTGTACGACCCAAAAAATAAAATAAACCTCAAGTTTAGACTTTTCAAGTTCACTTAGACGAAGCTCACTCTCTTTGCGTTTTTGAATTTCCAATTCTTTTTCCTTTTTTAAATTTTCATAATCCTTGAAAAATATATTTAAAAATAGCTCATTTAATTAAATTAAAAAATAACCAATTTGAGTTTTTCAAACTCTTTTTGAATCGAATCCTTTTCCTTTTCTAATTGTTCAATCAATTTTGATTGTTTTTCCTTTTCTTGTAAATGTTCACTTTGCTGCTTTAAAAAAGAATAAATATTATTTAAAATATTCTAAAATATTTACATAATAATTGCTGGGAGTACATGGAATAAATTGAGTAGGTAAATTAATCGGTGTATATGTTGGTGGCCCTGTATTTTGTGAATATATTGGAGGAGCATAACCTGGAATTAAATGTTGTTGCCATTGTGGATATTGTGATGGATTCATTTTTCTAAAAAATTTAAATCTTAGATTAAAATCATAAAATAAATTTAGACGCAATGAAAATTTAAATTATTTGAAAGTACGCAAAATAAAAATTAATAAGCCGTTTTGTTGCTAAAACCAAAATTATGCCACGACAATTGGACAGTGAGACAATTGTACACGCGACTAATGGAAAGATGACAATTGGACAATCGACCATTGCATCAAGGACAATTGGACAGTAAATGGTAGTTAAGTGGGATGTGTTCGGATCTTTTGCTCTAATAATTTCTTTCCTCATATTTTCTTAAAAATTAACTTTCAAAATATTCAAAAAGTAATTTTTCGATTATTTTTAAATTTCTTTGTATTTTCCATATCCGTTGCCATAACAAATGACAACGAATGAGATACGTAGTTTATTTAATAAAATATTTATATTTAATGTTAAATATTCATATATGTAGATAGATACTTTTATTTTCACTTACAAATAATTTTATAAATATTTTAATTTGTTTAATGATATTTTTATGATTAGAAAAAATTACAAAAAAATTAAATTTCCTTCTCAATAATTTTTCTTATTATTTTGTTTCTATTATTTTTGTTTCAATTTAAATCGTAATAGCAACAAACTCTTATATTTTTAAACAGAACTTTTAAATCGTAAAAATAATTTTTATTACAAATCTTTTTGGAGGACAAATAAAAATATTTTAAAACCTGCTGAGTCAAAATATAAACATAAAATATTTCTTTTTACTTGTCACCCACCTTTTTTTACAATTTAACAGTTTAAAGACAGGCAATAACAAATTATATTTTTAATGTTTTTTTCTTCGATTTAGAATTGAGATAAACTTAAAAAATATTTAATTTAAAAATTTTCTTTCTATAGTTATGAAATAAATTTTAAAAATTTTAATATGGTTTTTTCATTATCAACACCAAAAAAAGAAACAGAAAAATGGAAAAAATTATCAAAATCAAATGGACTAATCTGCTGTTGTAATTTTATACGTAAAAAACCATCTAGTATATGTCGCTCACCAATATATACAACAAGAGAATTTTCTTTAGATAATTTACAAGTAAATTTAAATTATAATTAAATCCTAAATATTTATATTTAGAATCAAATAATTGGGGAAAATAATATTAATACATCCTCAAAACAACGACCTATTTCAAATAATGCAAATGGGCTTTTTAATAAAATTATTCCAAATAATTATTTTTCTGATGAAATAATAAGTAATAGAGAAGATTATTTAGATTGTGATGAAACACCTTTAAATGTTAGAAAAACAAAGGAGGATTTGTTGTATAATACAGCAAGAACGTCTAGAACTGAAGAATTAATTGAATATCCTTCAATGTCAAAATTAATTATTAAAATAATTGAGAATGAAAAAAGTGAAAAAGGAAAGAAAATAGATAACCAACAACTAGAAGATAAATTTGTTAATTCAATGAATGAAGTTAGCAAAGAATTGAATAGACTGGACGGTTAGAACTACATATGTAAATATGGATAATAAAATCTCTTAATTCAAAAATCCACCTCCAAAAACTCAGAATCTAAATTTACAATTGAATCTCAATTTTTTCTAAAACTAGATTTTTGTATAAAATTTTAAATGTTAAATTATATATTTTTAATTGAAATTGAAAAAGTATAAAAACTACCTTTTCACACATAAGTACTTACAATTATTTTCACACAAAATTTTTCAGCTTGCCAGTCGCCCACTGTGCTATTGAATCCAGCTTTACTTCCGTCTTCTCCTCTACCTCCAAAAGATTTGGAAAGTCAATCAGCTCAAATGGCCATACAACATCATAAATTTAACGAGTTGCCTTATTTTGCCTCAATTCTTTGGAATATTTATTTGTGGGTGTCTTCCTCTTTAGTTTTATTTTTTGAATGGATTTTTTAATCAATTAATAATAAGAAAGATATTTAAAATTTTCATTAAATTTTTCATATAATATTACAAGCCTTAGTAACATTTTTGTTAACAAAAGTATCTCTTAGTGGTGAAGATTTTGATTTTTTGTCAGGATATTCAGGTGGAGGTATATTTACTGGAGGTAAATATGGAGGTTCTTCAATTTCTTTATATCTATTAAGTAATTCATGTAATTCTGCTAATTTTGCCTTTTTAAATTTTAATTATAAATATTTTCGTTTTTTTAAAATTTACTTGTAATTGAGACATTTGTTTTTCATGCCCGCAAAAGGTAGATTTTTGTTCCTGTAATTGACTTCTTAATTGAGTAATTTCTTCACGAAGTTTTTGTTCACTTTCTAACAATTGAGAAGATTGTTTAGTATTAATAGATTCTCTTTTTATTGACTGAAAAAAAAAAGATTTCATTTTTTACTATAAACTAGATCAATTATCTAAACTAGATGAAGTTCTAATGGGATCCATATATTGTAGAATTTGAACACCCCTTATACAGAGTTTTCCCTAATCAGTAATTTATTTTACTTTTTTCGGTTTGTAAGGAATATACTCAGCGTCATCCAATTCATCACGTATCCATGTTTCCGTTGTATTACATAATGAAAGGTTATCTGGTGCTGACTTTCTTCTACCTATTTTTACTTTGTTCTGCTTTGTATTTGTTGAAAGTATCGGTCTAAAATAAGGAAATATTATCTTTTATTTTATTTAAAATAAACTCTTCATTAGGTTTTTCTATTTGTTCATTAGCAACATCTACAACACAAAAAACTCTTTTAGATGAGCAAACTAATCCAGCCAATCCAATATTTGAACGATTGTTTAAAGAAACATCATTAGATTGGTGGCAAACATCTAGTCTTTATTTTTTAAATAAAAAAATATTTCTAAACTAAATAAAAACCTAAGTACAAGTATTGGATGTAAAATAGTTATATTAACGGTTTCAGTTGCCGAAAGTTGCCATCCTTCTTGTGTTTTAGCCATTTTATATGCCCTAAATTTTGGCTTGCTTAATTCATCTTCTGTTATTTTTTTGTCATTTGTTATTATCTCATTTTCTCCCTTCCCACTTCCACCACCTCTTAAACCCCAAAAATATATTTCATTATCTAATGTTCCAACAATTGTAAAACCATCACCACAAATTAAATGCTAAATAATTCACTTTAATTAAAAATCGAAAAAATATTTACCAAACAAGCTTTATTAATCAAAGCTTTAACAGGTCTAGTGCTATCACTAAATGGTAATGTACTTCCGGTACCTAATTCTCCATAAGAATTTAATCCAAAAAGATGAACATGCCCATTTTCGAGCAAAACACCACTGTGATTATTGCCTAAAGATGCACTAACAACTCTTCTAGGGAATGGCCTTACAGCTGTTGGCAAAAGAGCATCATCCACTAGTTGTTTCTTTAATATTTTTAAATTTCATTGAATTGTCTTAAGCAATTAATAAACCTTTCCTTGAACTGTATTTTGTTCCTTTTTCATTTCTTTAAAAAATCCAGCTCTTTTATTTAACTAACATAAAAATAAATTTCAAATAGTTTAGGTAAGAATTTATACAAACATTCAATTTATTATATTTATTAGATCCCATAGCCAATATAGTTCCACTATTTGTTATTAACATTGTAGAATCAGGTCCACAACTTTAAATATTTAAATTTAATTTTTAAAAATAAACATACATAATTCTTTTAATTAATTGTCTTGTAGGTATTTGAATCCGAATTGGTACAGAAACTTAAATATAAAGTTAAATTTTTAATTAGTTAATTAACCATTATTTCTATTTCCAGTACCAAGTTGGCCGTTTTTTCCTTTACCCCAAACATAAACTTCTCCAGTTTCCTTAAAATAAATAAAAAAATATTTAAACAAATAAACCGTTAGTGCAATTGCATGCTCATCACCACAACAAATATCTACAATATCCTCTCTTTAAAGATAAAATTAATTCTAATTTTAAATATTTAAAAACAAACTAACGTTAACAATTCCTCGACAATTTTTGGTTTAGTTCTTAAATTAAAATAAAAATATTTTTTTTATTTTTCTACTTACAAATAGTCACTATTATCAAATAACAATTTTCTTCCTACTGTTAGTAAAATACCACGGCCAGCACAAAAAAGAGAGAATTTTTTACCTAAAAATTGTTTTTTGGACAAATTTAATTACTTCTCTACCTGCAGCTACTTTATAAACATCCTTACTTTCCAATGATTCTATTAATGTAGGGAATTGTCTTTTTCTTCTAATTATTTAAAATAATTAAAATGTTAATAGTTTAATATTTACTTATCTCCTTGTCCTAATTGTCCAAAAGAATTATCTCCCCAACTATAAACTTGTCCTTGCATTGTTAGAAGTAATTGATGACTTTCACTTACAGCAATCTTTAAATAATTTTTTATTCAAAAATATAAAAGAACCTGTTTAATTTTTATTCTTTTTGGGAATTCCTGAACAGAAGAAAGTGTACAATTTAAAACATCAAAAGCATATAAAGCAGAAAATGAATTAATTCCATCGAATACATTTTTATCAAAACAATTTCCATTTATTTTTGGATTTTTCTTTTCTTTTGAGGAACATAAATGTCTAACCTATTTTATAAAAAAATAACCTCATTTTTTTTAAATAAAATTAAAAACCTGATCAAGTAATTGAGATGATGCAGGCCTTTGTTGTGGTGATATTCTTAACATTTCCCTTACCAAAAGACGAACTTCTTGGGAATAAATTTTCTTTAAGGGTTCATATTCACTCTTTTTTTAAAAATTAATTAATTAAATTAACATTTTATTTTTTTAATCATACATTAATTATTTTATTCAAAAGTGTAGGTAAATTTTCAGCATCAAAAGCTTTATTTAATGTACACATTTCATAAAAACAACAGCCTAATGCCCAAACATCTGATTTTTCATTATAAGGTTTTCCTTCGCACTTAAAAATAAAATATTTATTTTATTAATTTAAAAAACCATCTCTGGTGATAAATAATAAGGAGTTCCTAAAATAGTTTGTGAACCATTAATTTTTGTTTCATTACTCATTCTCCTTTTTTTAAATATAAATCATTTTTATATTTAATTTTAAATAATTTACTTGCTAATACCAAAATCGCCAACTTTAACCATTCTTTGTTTTGTTAAAAAAATATTTGCTGTTTTTAAATCTCTAAAAAATAATTTAATTTTCAATTTTTTATTTAAACCTGTGTAAGATATCATGATCATGTAAATAAGAAACAGCACTAACCATTTGTTCAAACATATCAATTATCTCTGATTCAATTAATGGTTCTGTTAAATGTGACAATAATTGAGATAACGTTCTAATAAAGAAAATATTTTTTAAATTTATTTTAAAATAAACCCTCCATCTGCATATTCCATCTAAAAATAATATAATTTATTCTTAAGCCCTCACAAGTTCTTTCATAGATTACCTCAATCATCAATGTTCCATCTTCTTCAAAAGAATCATAAAAAGCAATAATATGTGGATGATCTAATCGAGAAAGTAAATTAACTTCATTTAAGGCCATCTATTTAGAAAATTATTTAAATAATTTTTCTTTGTAAAATACCTGTCTTTCAGAATTATTTAATTCATGTAAATTAATTTCTTTTAAAATAACAAAAGATTCATCATCTTTTCTTTTGTAAAGCACAGCAATGCCAAAAGAGCCTTTGTAAAAATTAAATTTATTAAACAAAAAATTAAAAAAAACCTTTTCCAACAACTTTAATCCTTTCATAATTTATAGAGGAATGTTTTAATAGATGCTTATCTTTAATCATTTCATCAACATTTTTATCAAATATTTTCGATACTGGAGATGATTGTGGTGAATAGGTATATAAGGGAGTAAGTGAGGACGAAGAGGAACCAAAAGGGGATTTTTTCATTTTCAAAATTATTTTAAATTAATAATTGTATTGTTCGGCAATTTTTTACTTTCTTTTTAATGCCAATACATAACCTTTGTTTCCATGTAAACGAAAAGAGGTTATAAAATTGTCAAGAATTTTTGAGAATATTTTTCAATAGAATTATAAAAGTGGTTTTATTTAATATAAAATTATAAATATGTAGAGTATATTTTATATTTTAAAGTTATTAAGGGCCTCCATAAGAAGTTACTCCAACTCCTCGCGGGTCAATGACTTGCATTGCACTTTTCTGTTCAGCTATCCATGTACGTACATGATAAATAACATTCAGGGTGTATTGAACAAAATTAGCCAAGGAAAATGTCTACATATTAAAAAATATTTAAAAATAATTTTTTAAATTAAAATAACCGCAGCTAAGGAATAAGATGTCCGATCATCACTAAAAGTCTTCCCATTAAAACAAAGCCAAATTGAAATAAAAAAATTAATAGCAAAAAGTGAAGAGAAGATGCATTCCTATTTTAAGAGAAAATTTAAAAAATTAAAAATATTATAAAAAACCACAAGAGGCCAATTTAATAAAGATTGATATGAAAATAAAGATTTCTCCAGTTCTAATCCAATAGTCATAATAAGCAAACAATCAACAATTATTGCAAATATTGAACTTATCCAAATAAATGCTAAAAATATTTAATAAAAATATTTTAAACAAACCTGTGCCAGGAGGTTGATTGCTGGCACCAGATAAAGAAAGCATTATAAGAATTGTAGTTATCTTAAAAGAAAAAATACAAAATTAAACTGAATTACTTACAAGTGTACTTAGTTTAAGCACTTCAGGGAATGCTCGAAATCTATCCAAATTGAATTGCATTTTTAAAATTTTTCAAATTAAAATAATAAATGATAAAATAAATGTGAGTAGAAATGAAAATTAAGAGATGTAAACAAGTAAATAGGAATATTTTTTGATTATTTTTTGTGTAGTAATAGATAAGAGTTAGAATGTCAATAAATAGATAAAAGCAAAATATATTGTGCTCACCTCCACCCAGATGAAAGAAAAAGTATAAAACTAAATTATTTTTTACAAACTGGCGTAGCTTAATGCCTAACAATAAACAAATGTTATCCCTGACAATCCAGATCGAAAATTTGGGAAACAAAACCTAAAAATCAACTCTGCCCAAAAAAAGTGACTTTGTCAGTATAAAAAAGAAAGTATATTTTAAAAAATTTATTTCCCCATTTTAATATAAAATATTTACTATTCATTTTCTGTTTTATTTATTTTTTCATTAGTTAATTCTTCTAAAGAAACCTCTCCTTTTTTATATTCACTTGAAATTTCTTCACCAATTCCTTTTCTTTTAGGTATAACATTTATAAACGCCTTTTTCCAATCCAGATATTGACAAAAATTAACCAAAATTTCAAAAACTTGATTTATTGTTAAAACCTTAAATTTTAAATTATTAAATAATATGTACCTAATTTAAAAATTTAACATTTCTTCCACAAAGCTTAAAAAAAGATTCAATTGGAAGCCTTGCATGCTCGTATCCATTATCTTCAGCTTTTTTCAAACAAATACCTTTGTGATGATTATGATCCAAAAGGCCTCCAATTATATAAACTTTAAATCATTTTTAATAATAATGGTAATTTAAAAAAACCTTTATCTTCATCTAACGTTTCAAGTAAATTGTTAGAATCAGCAGTTAGATAAACTATTTGTTTTGGATTCCATAATTCATCCAAATTTTTATTTGAAATATTAACATCCCAATTCGAATAAGAAGGGTAACTATTAAAAATCTAAAAATAAAATTTTAATATTAAATGATAAATGACATTTCTTCTTACCTTTTCAGCTTTTCCAGTTAATCCAACAATAGAAAATTGCACAGGATCACTTACTCTACGATTAACAGCGTAACAATAAGCTAACCTAATTTTAAAAAATTAACTTTCTTCGATTAAAAAAATTAACTGAGAAATTGTTTTTCTAACAGTTCTTTCATCCATTAACTAAAATTAATTTTAAAAAATTATTTTCTTAAATTACCTCATCAAAAGTCATATCAACAGCAATATTTATTCGACATTTTGATTGTTCCATTGTAAATTTTTGTTTTCGTATTGCTCCAACAAAATCTTTCTTTTCATTTCTTTTCCTTTCTTTCTTCTTTTTTCTCAGTTCTTGCCTAATTTCTAAAAATTTTTGTCGTCTATCTTCTCTTCTTTTTTGACGTTTTGACAATTTTCGATCAACAGAATTGACAATATTACAATTATTCTCTTCGGACATTTAGTAAATTAAATAAATTTAAAAATAATTACGTATTTTTAATATAAAAGTTAAATAAAAATTAAAAATATTCGATTTTTTTTGTCAAAAAAATTTTCTTTTGAAAAATATTTAATCGTAAAAATCTTAACAAAAAAATAACAAAAAATAACAAAATTAATTTAAGAATTTGCTTTACGTTTTTGTTTTAAAATTTCTTCAAAACTTCCTGTATTATATTTTTCATTTAATCTAGCATTATTATTAGCCATTCTTGTCATTTTCCTCATTTCAAATTCAAATAGTTCATCTTTGTAAAGATATTGATAAATTGGTAAAAGTTTTGGAAATAATGGTAAAAGATCGAAAGGGACTGACATCAAATCATTAGCCATTGATATATTTCCTGCATTAAGAATATAATCAGGTAATGGAGGAGTTAAATGATATCTAAAAACAGAAATCATATAACATTTTTATACAAAAAATTTAAAAACCTGGCACTGAAATGAGTGAAAAAAACATTTTTTGCTCCAATTTTGACACTTGCATCAAAAGCTTGTTTCATTGTAGAATGTTTTTTATATGAAGCATCTTCCTATTTTTAATTAATATTTCTTATGTTATTTTAATATTAAAAAGAACCTCTAAACCATCCTCAAATGTACATTCATGGATAAGTAAATCTGCAACTTTTCCATATTTTATAATATTTTCACATGGTTTTGTATCACCAGAAAATACAATTTTCCGTTTTTCTTTTAGAGTTACAAATGAATAACCGCAGGACCATTTTGTGTGATCAACTTGAAAAGCAGTAGCTTCACTTAAATTCCAATCATCATGACAAAAAATATTTTTTGGGAAATGCTTAAAAATTAAAAAAAATTGAAATTATTTTTTTTTAATTTTTACTTTTATTAAATCAACTGCAGAAATATGCTGTCTAATTCCTTGTGCTGATGAATTTGCATAAAAGAAAGTAGGTAAACTTATAGATACAATAAACGGGAATAAATCTAAAAATATTTCTGAATATGTATTACATAAATGAAGAAAAGACACATCATGACAAACTACTAGAGGAACGTATGGAATTTCTAAATAAAATTAATTAAAAATCAAAATCGATATTCAACATTACCTTGTTTTTCAAACGCCTCTATACGTTTCGAGATAATATAAAAAACTCCAAGAATATGATCCAAATGTGCATGAGTAATAAAAATCGCATTAAGTTTTGTCAAAAACTGATCAATATTTGAAGGACCAAAAAGTGCCAAAAGTTGTCCATAAGTCCCTTCTCCACAATCAACTAAAATGTTCGAAGATTCACTAAATCGGACAAGTTGGCTGCTGACATTTCTATATTTTGTAGGACAGGCAGAAGAAGTTCCCAAGAAAACAACTGTTGGATATACATCTCTTGGTCTATTACCAAAATTGTCAAAAGTTTTCGCATAAACTTTAATAAATATAAATGTCTAAATTAAATTTGTTCTAATACCTTGTTTAAATTCATCAATTCTTTTTTGCAATTCAACTGGTTCCTTTTTTTGTCTATCATTTAGAAAACGTTGCCAATTAAAGTCCAAAAGAATTGGATTAATTTCGTTTTTATCCAGAGTCCCTCGTAAAGAAAAACGTCTCAAAAATTCTGGAATAAAAACAGGGCCAATATTATTGTCTTTAATATCAATTTTAATATCATATTTATCGTCATCCTTTTAGAGAAAATTAATTTAAAAAATATCTGTTAAATTTCAAAAAACCTGCAAGATAATTTCTCCTTCTAAAACCTGACCAATGGGATAAATTTCAGGAAATCCATCAGAAAATATAGAGCTAAGCATATATTGGGAATTGTATACACTATCCGAAAGTGGAAGAAAACGTCCTTTAACACTTAATATTAAATGTTGACAATCATTTCCAAATTCTCCCATCCAATTTTTGTATTCTTTTGTTTCAAATATTTTTTGTTGAGTAAAATGAATAATATAATTCAATTTTTGTATTCTTTTATCACCCATAAAATCCTTTAAAAATATAAAATTGAATTAAATTTAAATAAATTACTTTAAGTAAATAATTGCTAGAAATTGATTGAAGATTTTCAGACGAACAAATATCAGCAACAAGCAAATTTAGCGATTCTGATTTTTTTCTAAAATCGATAACATCTTCAGGTTTAATTATTCTTCCATCTTGTAATGTAATTGTTTCGCCAGCTTTTAATTTTGATATTAAGGGAGACCGAGGTACTTTAAGCTCAATCAATTTCAAAGGGTCGAGTGCAGGTAAGCAAGGCTAAAAAATTCTAATTGAAGATTACCCTAATTTATTAGCAATAATTTATATGAAACCTTCAATTTGATAAGAAAAGCGGTATTTGTTGGGGTATTATCGCCATTTTTAAGATATCTCCTTTCCTTTGAATTTTCAACATTCAAATAATTAATGAATAACGTAGAATCTTCATAATTATCACGCTTGACGTCACAATGCCTCATTTTAATGAAATTATTTGTACTTCCAAAATCAGCATCTAACATTGGACTGAAAAATAAAAATAAATTTTAAAAGTTATTTAAAAAACCTGAAGGATTTTAAAATATCAATAGCAATTGGAGGGCCGTGGATACGGACATCATCCTCAGAATTTTTATTTAAAACAAGTCCTGGAATTCCAACAACATTTTCCCATTTACCTAAAATAAAAACAAAATTTAGAAAATTCAAATAAAATGACAACCTTTTGTAATAAAAATATCTTCAATTTGGGTAGGCCTCACTCTAAGAAAAGTTGCAAGTCTAGAACTTCCTTCAGGACAATTAAAAAGATAACATCGATGGGGAGTTCGAATAAAAACTGAAGGTGTCATGTGTGAAGAACCATTACTCAATATCTAAAAAAATCAAATTATTTTTAAAAATAAATCAAAAATAAAAACCTCAAGAGTAATATTAGAAGGAGCAATTTCATGTAAAATTTTGCTTCGTTTTGATTCCATTGTGAAATGATTTCGTCGAAGTACAATTAAATTAATTACTTTTAAAAATGAATTAAAAGTATTCATTAAACATCAATATTATACTTTAAAAGTTAATTTTTAGAGGAAAATTTTGGACATTATTATGACGAGAAAAAAATTAAAGAAATGGTCCTTATTTTGGAAAAATTAAAAGAGGCGTCAATAAGACTCAAATGGTGAAGATAATTCTAAGGACACTTTGACGCAAAGAAAAATTCCGTTCATTTTGTCGCAAGTCCACTTTGTAGCAGATGAGCTTTTTCAACGTAACTTTGCTGTAAACAAAATGTATTTTTTGTATTTTGTGCATTGAGGGTTTTCTTTCAATGATAAGGAATCTGATAAGGTATAATAAATTGAGAATGATGAACACAAAATAACATTTTCCTAAAATTGTTTTTAAGAAAAGTATTTTCAATTGATCAATAAGGACACAACAAATCTTGTTAAATTTCCCTCTTAAAAAATCTTTAAAAAAAATCCGAGATTTTATTTAAAAAGATTAAATGAGTGAAATAATTTGTTTAGAACAACCAGATCTTTTTAAGCCAATTCAATCTGTATGAAATTTAATTTTGAATTAAAGAAAATATTTTTTTACAAAGATACTAGCTGTTTTAACCTTAATAAGCCTTGGTTCTTCTACGCATGTTGATGGAAGTGGAGTTCTTTGGTTTGTTGCTATATGTTCAGTTACGGCTAGCACTGTCGCTACAATTCTTTTAATGTTTAACAGAAATGGACTTAATGAATATAATATTAAATTGAATAATGGAAATGATATACCTTGGAGTGTTATTGTAAATAATTTTTATTATTTTTTATTTGGCTATTTTTAAAGGAATTTGTGTATTCCGTTATTTTAACATTACTTTGTGGAATAAGTTTCTGGATTTCTTTTGGGTATGCCACACATGTAGTTCCAGTATTAGGACATTCAGCTGGATATATATTTGCAGGGGTTTGTTCAATATTTTATTTTTTTCAAAACCATCTTTAGTTATTTTTAATTGGGCAAATGGTTTGTTATGCGATACCTGCATTAATCATATACAATCAAACATCGAAACAAAGAGAGCCAATTGCTGAAGTTAATCCTTATGGTTTTGGAAGAGTTGATGAGGAAGTTGGATATCAAAATTTACAAAATGTTTAAAAATAAAAGTAATGTTGTTAGACTAATTCTCAAAAATATTAAGAATTTCAACTATTTTTTATTTTCAAAAAAGTAAATTATAAAAACTACAAAAATTATTATTTTTTCAAAAAAAAATTGAGATCAATTTATTATCAAAATTCCTTCAAGCATTTTCTTTTTCAAGTATAAAAGGTGTTGGTCTGCGATTCCTTGTCGAGTTTGTATTATTATTTATTTTTTCTGGGCTTTCCTCTATTTGTTCTGGTGTATCAGGAATTTCTAAATTATGTTCCTAAAAAATAAAAATATTTTTTAAAAAGTCTAAATTTTTAAAAATTTACATCAACGTAAATATAACGAACAGCCAAAATAATAAATATTCCAATAACTAAAAACATTAATGTTGCGTAAATAAAGAATTCGGCAACTGGATCGGGTATTTCAAGATGAGAAATTATCTTTTTAAATTATGTATTAGATGAGAACTAATTAATTTTTACTTACAACGTCAACAACATTACCAAAGAACACAGTTAATAACCAAAGTGCTTGTAATACCTAAATTTAGTAAAATAAAAGGAAATAATGATCAATATACGCATTTTTAAAAATAAAATATTTTAAAGGCGGAAATATAAATTGAAATTTTTTGTTTTGACTCTAAAACACTTAATATTCCGAAATTAAAATATTTTTCTTTTAAAAATAATTATTAAAATTCACTAACACTTTTCATGCTTGGTGCTGCTTGTGAATATGAGAATTCTAATCCGGTAACAGAAAAAAGTATTTCACCAATCGTCATAACCAAAACTTGTGGAAATTGCCATAAAATACTCACACTATTTGAACGAACTAATTGACCAATCTATTTTTTAAATTCAAAAAAGTATATCTTTATTAAACGTTTACATTATTGTTTGTTGTTGTCATATTATTATTTTCTTCTTCTTGAACCAAATCAATTACAAAAGCTGCCCCCTATTTTTTAAATTAAAATTAAAATAATGCATAAATTTAAACCATTTGTGCTTCCACATTAATATATTTTACACATTTAGTAACATCAAACTCTTCTGTTTTTGTACAATTAAAACCAATTTTATAATTAAAAGATTTTGAGAAAAATCCAGGTTGTATTTCAATATAATTTCCATTAAAAATTGTTGCGTTAGATACCTTCTTTAAATTAAATTTTATAAAAAATTAATTTTAAATATTAAATTAATACCCTTCCATTTATATCTACAGCAACAGCCTCTGTTCCATAAAGCAAAGAATCGTTTAATATTAAAAAATAAAAACGAGTTTTTCCATTTTTTGTTTTTTCACAGGTATAGGGAAAGTCTGCCATTCTTCTTTAAAAATAAATTTTTAATATTTTAAAGATTTTAAAATTACTTACATTGTTCCATTAGGAAATTCAAAAACTCCAAGAACATAACTTTTAGGCGCTACTTCGCCTTCCAAAGCCAAATATAAAGAATTTTTTAATATATTGTCATTATTTAATTCTCTGGTTTCAAAAGTATAATTACTAGCCCATATTTCTTGTTTCCCATTATCTGCACGTATTTTAACATCAGAACCATTAACAGCAAATAATTCAACATTACTAGCATTTCCCATTCTATAAATAAATGAATTTCCAATTGCTGGTTTTGGCTCCATTGTTGAATTTATTTTTATCTTTAATTTTGTTCGAACTTTTAAAAAATTCCAAATTATTTAATTTACCTGTACAAATCCTGCTATACAAAAAGCTACAGCTGCCAATATTCCACCTAAAGCCATTTTTCTTAATGGTGTTATTTTACAAATTCTATTAACCACTAAAAGAAGACTTTTCAAGAATTAAAAAATCTATTTACTTGGATATATCCAAGCTTCAAACATTGGTACAAGTATAAGAACAAACAAAGGATTTAAAGTGTTCATCTGATCAGGTAATATAGTAAACCATCCAACATGTCCATCCATTCTAGTTGCTTGTAATACCCAAGTACTTCCCTTTAAAATAAAAATTAAACTGAAAAAAAAAATTTAAAAAAACCTGTTGATCAAAAAGTGCCCAGAAAAATACAACAGGAATATATAAAACAACAATAGAAACCATACTTTTAACTCCAGCAACTAGATGCGCATCATATTTTGGTAAAGCATAATCTAACCAATGAGAAGGTTGACATTCTATATTGTATGTTCTTTTCCTACTAAAAAAGTAAAAAGAATATTTTTATTAAATTAAAAAAAATGTTAACCTTAAATTAGAATTTAATTTTGCCCGTAAAGCATAACAAATACATTTAACAACTCTCCAAAGAATATTCCCTTTACTAGCGGGTGTTATTTTGTAAAAGCGCCAACCAGCCAAAAATGTTAAAAAAGCAAGGAGCATTAAAACACCAGGGACACCTTTAAAAAAAAGAAAATAAAAACAGTTTTAAAATACTAACCAAATGCCAACGGAAAACAATGTTCAGAATCTAAACATCTAACTCTTCTAAGTAAAGGTGTTACTGCTATGGCAATTAAAGAACCAGCATTTATAGCAAAATAGAAAAACTGGAAAAAAGAAATGTTTATTTTATTTAAAATTTATTTTACAGAAAAGAATTGTGTTCTTTCACGATGTTGATCATCTCTAAAAATTAGTAAAATTAAAATAAAAATTTTTTCACTCTTTACCTGAATTGATCTGCAGCAAATGCAGAAACACATGGTTTAATTCCACCTGTAGCTATAGCGATAACTGCTAATCCAGAAATATCCAGCCCTAATTTTGCAGATTTCTCAAGAAATGGAATGGCACCAATTGATAAAAGTAAGTGTCCAAGAACATAAATTAAAGAAACCCAAAGAATTACGTGAAAACGTCCAAAATAATTATCAGCCAAAACTGAACCAAAAAGTGGAGATAAATAGGCAAGAGAAACAAAAACATGATAATACTGCTTTGCAACACTAAAATTAGTTTAAATTGATAAAGTTGAGCGTGTTCAGACAAATAGCACCAGACAAAATGGTAACAGAAAAATTGTACTAGAGACAATATGGTATTAGACAAAATAGTACGTGAGACAAAACGGCAATAAACAAAATATTTTTTGACAAAATAGTATCAGAAACAGAACGAATTGGAAATCTAATCAGATCTGCTTAATTTAAATTACTTACTTTTCTGATAATTGATAATCAGTAGTTAGATAAATAATAAGAATTGCCCTCATTCCATAAAAAGAAAAACGTTCACAAAATTCATTTCCTAACATAAAGAAAACACCTTTGGGATAAGAAAGTATACTTTCAGTAATCCCCTTTTCTTTATTGTTTCCATTGTTATTTAATTGTTTATCAGAATTATTAGTATCCGAAATAGCGACCATTTGTTGTTGTTGTTGTTGTTGTTGTAACTAAAGAAATATTTTTATTTTTGTTAAATTAAATTAAAATTACTTCAATTTTAGCTCTACTTATTTTTCGTTCAAGCGGTGTTTCAATAATTAAAGGTTCTGCTGCTGATGTAAAATATAAAGGTCTTGTTGTTCCAAATTGATCTGAACGGCCAGTTTCCTTTTTTTCTTTTAGTCCTACAAATCAATAAATGTATAAAATTTAAAATTAAATTTCAAAAATAGGAAAGGTAAGTAAAAATGAATGGTTTAATTTGAAATTTAAAAACGTAAACAATTAAAATATTTAATTAGGTGTATTTTAAAATAATAAAAATTGGTAAAACAAAGATAATATTTTATAAAAAAAATTAGAAATGGAATTTGAACAATAAGGAAATTAAAATATTTAATGATAAAAAGTAAATTATAATAAATTTTTGGAGAGAAAAAATTTACGGAACAAATAAAATTTTCTTTCTTTAAAATTCTGCAATTAAGTATTACATAAGAATTATTTAAAATTAATTATTAAAATTTTTTTCATTTTTAATCATAAGTGCTAATTAGTCATAACGTAATAGTCCCAAAAATTTAAAAATAGAAGTAAAAATATTAATTTATTAGTTTAATATACTAAAAATAAATAGAGGAATTTTTATGTAATAATTAAAAGGCATTAACTATTCTCATTCTATTTTTTACTACCAAAAAAAAATTCGGTCATTAGGTTATACTATATTGCCTCAGATTCTCTCTCTATTTGCGCAATCGGGTGAATAATAATAGGCGGCTTTTCTTTTTAAAATTGTAGTTTTTCTGTTAATCACTGCATTAAAACAAAACAATAAATTCATGTGTTATTCATTCAGCAAACTAAAATAAAACGAGTTTCTTTTGGGACAAATATTTGGGCGTAGGATAATAATACCTGCTTTTCTATATTATAAAAATAGTATGTATAGTTAATTAAAAATTAATTGTATTAAAAAGAAACAATAGAGAAAAAATGAAAAATTAATGTTAAATATTAAGATACTTTTCCAAATTCTTTGGCTGTACTTAAGTCAGTGGCCCGTTTCAGTATTTCGATTTAATCTTTCTATTCATCTCATTAATTTAAATCGAATGGCACCATTATCTATAAAAATGCCTGCGGGCTGAGATATTGGTCCCCGAAAATTGAAAACCCATGGGGGACTAAGCTTATTATTGGGTTTGAACATGCAAATGACAGCTCATTCGAAAGTGATACCAAAAGCAACATGATTCAATAATTCTAAACTAAATTACGATTAAATAAATTTGTGGACATATAATGGAAAAGTACCAATATTAAATTAACATAATTCAAGGAAAAATTTAGAAAAAAAACTAATATAAATTCTAGTTTTATATATACATATTTATTAATTCCAAGTTTATTTATTTAGAGATGTGTCCTTGAAAATATTATAAACTTTAAATAAAATAAATATATATTTTTAAGTATTTATATATTTAGATTTTTTCACTAATTTTTTAAAAAGTAAACTACGTGAATAAGGAACAATTTAAGGAATTTGATCATTTTTAATTTAGATGTTGTTGTTATTTTGTTATTTGGCTAGATTGACCCTTTTTTCTCTTCTTCTTAACCAAATAACTACATTAAAAACATTTTTTGTGATCGGCGAAGTTGCCTATTATGTACACGCATTTGCGCATCTTCCCTCTCTCCCCAAACAATTTTTATTTTTAAAATTACTTTGAAAAGAGAAAAAAATAGTACACATTAAAAAAGGGGCCCAGGCCAAAATATCCTTTTAGTGGTTTGTAATTTTTTAATTTTGTATTTTGTTCAATTTTCTAAGATTTTAAATATAAATGCATGAATGCTTTTTTAAAAGTTAAATTTAAGGTAATTAAAAATGAAAAAAAATTTGCAAAAAATATCAGAAAATCACAGCAGGGATTTAAAAGTAGTAAATAATAAAAATAAATGGGAATTAAAAAAATAAATAATAAAAAAAGATTTAAATAAATATTTAAAGTAATAAAAAATTATTTTCAGAAATGTGAACATCAAAACAGAAGTTTTATTACAAAAACATTTTTATTATTTATTTTTGTAGAAAGTTTAAAAGTTTAAGTTAATCGTAGTTTTCTTAAAACCCCTAAATTTAAAGATTTGAGAGAGAGAAAAAAATTTTGGGAAAATTAATTACAATACAGACTACATTTAAAAAAATTGGAATTTAAAAGAAAATTGTGTAATTTTAATTAAACTATAACATTTTTGGTATGCTAATAATTAAAAAAAATTTAAATTAAATTCCAAGAGTAAATAGTGGAACATAATATATAAATAAAAAATCAATATAGAAATTAAAATTTGATTGATAGAAAAATATAATTATTTATGCAAAAATAAATGTACCTGAATAGCTGATACGACGCATATTTAATATTATTAATATTATCGCCAAAAAATGTGTAGTTAGTGACTTTGGTTTAATAAAAATAGCACATTCAAATATTTTTGTAGTTTAATAGCGTAATCTAAAATTATTTTTTAAAATATATTTAAATTAAAAAATATTAATTTGAAAGAAATTTTTAAATAAAATGTCTCTCTCACTTCAAATCTTATTTTAGTACTTAAATCAAAGAAAAAGATCTATTTATTTCCCCTTACCTATTTTTTTAATTTTCAAGTACATTTTAAGAGATTTATTCAGCTCTGCAACACTTAAATATATCTATTTACTTCAACCAATTTCTTAAAATTAATTCTTTTGTTAATTTAGAAAATTAAAAAAAGAAGGAAAAATTACTAAAAGACTGTCTGTATATAATTAAATTTTTTATCCAAAAAATGGTTAATTTTAAAGATATTTTTGGACTCAATCTTATAAAAATTATCTAAACCATATTAACTTGATATTAATTTCCTTATGACTTAAAATAGAATATTATAACCTCTAAATTAAAAATAAAAAGGCAAATAAATGAGAGAAATAATAAAAAAACAACCTTGCGTGACAATTGATAAATGTAATGGAATCTTTGTTTTATTCACCACCAGGATGAGAATCATTAAAAAGAATGGGGGGACTTCTTTTCTTCCGGCTAAATCTTTTATAAATCCCGACATTAAACTAAAAGTGGTTTGGCACATTAATAATGCAAAACGACGTTAATGTACTTTAATATAAATTTATGTATAATAATAAAAGTTATAAAATAATTTTTTTCTCTTTTATTTAGGTACGAACATGTCGTTTAAAAACTAATCAAAAATTAAAAAATAAAATCAAAAATCAACCTCGTTATTTATTTTAACACAATTTTTTACGTGAAACAATAAAAGAAAACACAAAATAAAATAATCGGGTTTGATTTATCTGCTGCTTCCGATATATTTTAAAAATAAAACTAACAAAAATTTGAATTAAACAACGCATAAAACTGAGTTTGAGGAAAATTTTTCTTGGTTTGTAAAATACATATATAAATGACCGGAGACGAACATATTAAAAATAATGAAATTTTTTTGTCTAAAAGATAACAATATTTAATTTTTTCTGATATGGAAATATGTCCCTCTCTAATTCTAAAATATATTTTAAATATATATTTCATATATATAAAGATCAATGCAAGATACGTAATAATATAAAGATGGAAGAATTGTTAAAATAATAATTAAAAACCTGCATTATTGATAAACATCATTCAATTCTTCCATGTCATATTTCCATTTAAATAGTAATAATGAAAAAAAATTAAAACGTCGTTTTCTTTTGTTCGAATATATTAACGCTTCTTCGGTCTCTTCGCGTGCAGCATCTTCCTAACTGAAACACCACTCCTTGATGCCAATCCATTCCCATCACAAAAACTTGAATTATTCGACGAGACTTAATTAAAAAATAATTTTAGATTTTAATTGAAAAAAATATATTAAAAACCTTCAGATGTTGATGTTCCAAATTGGAAAACTCCAGTAAGAGGAGCAGAGAATTGAAAACTACTAACCACAGGAGCACAAGCGATTCCATTCATTGTGGGGTCCGGGACTCCATTCATTGTTGTCAGTCCATTAATATTCGTATCAATAACCATTGTTGAATCAGTTGCTTAAAATAAAAAAAAAGTTTTCTTTATTCAATGGTATAAATTTTTCTGTTTTCTGACTTGAGCGGAAGGATATCTACCCAAAAAAGAACAAGAATTGCAATGGTCGGCAATAATGAAAACAAAATTACAGTTAAGAAATTCACAGGAATTAAGAAACGAAAAAATATCTATTTATTATATAGTAAATTACCTTCAGATGTTGATGTTCCAAAATGAAAACCACCATTGAGAGGCGCTGAAGGAGGTTGAAAGCCGGATATTTTTGGAACGCTATCAAAAGTTTGTTGCGGTTTAGGCTCAAATGGCTTGTCGTTCGTTTGTTTATCTTTGAAGATATTGACAGTCTGAACTTTCTGAACTTCATCTGTTTGAATCTCCTTATCTTGATAAGATGGCTTAGGCTTAGGTGGAGGTGATGGACATTTTGGCCCTCGAATAATCGCTTCAGCAAAAGTAAAAGCAGGATAGGATTCAGATATATCAACTCCACTTGAAATAGCATCTTCTCGCTCTGTAGCATTTTCTACACCTGGAACATCAAAACATGTTGCGTTGACGACAGGTGCAACATTGGTCAGAGACGGAACAATATTCATTGGTAAAGAATTGACCTCAGGCGAAGCGCTGACAGAAGTGTTTACCGGTAAAGCAGTATTGGCCACTGACGTAATATTGTTGAAAAAAGAAGCATTAAATACAGGTGTCTCATTTCTCGCAGATGTAGTTTTGTTAAAGAATCCATCAACATCCAAAGATGGAGTAATGTTTTTGGATGAAGTCGGGTTAGGACAACGCCTGCAATAAAAACAATATTACAAGATCACATGTTAATTATACCAATAAGGTTTTGTAGATTCCCGAGTTCGACGAGCAGAAAGTCTTGATGGAGTAAAAATTGAACGTCTAGGAGGCAATGACGTGTTTACTTCACTATTTTGTCTTGGAGAAAACCACCGCTCGGTTTCATACGCCAATCCAGAATTACTCGTTTTGTCCTTAAGATTTTGATAATTAAAACAAACTACTATTTAATTAAACCTTTTGTCCAAATGATGAACTCGAAAGCCTATCCAACTCGTTAACAAATTGTTTCGTCCTCGAAGGCGCATGCGTTGATAAAATTTTACTTCTCAAATCAATAATATTCGAATTTGACGGATAAAGATCTCTCGACATATTTCTAAATTAAGAAATTAATTAACATAATATGTATGTAGAATAAAATCCTTAAAATCTCAAAAAAGGATCAAAATTTAAAAAAAAAACTTTGAAATTTTTTAAGTTAGATTCCGACAATTATTCATCGCGTAGAGACAAGAAGAAAAAAAGAGAACTCGCGTCTAAAAATATACCGTTAAGGAAGACAAAATGGTACAAAACAAAAATGGTACAAAAGGTAAATTGAGAAAATGGTAGTCTTGAAATGATAAATAGCGCAACTTCAGCCTGTTTTGCCCAGTCCCAGTTTTGCCCTTTAATTATTTTATCACTAGAATGTTCAGTTTCATAAAGGAAATTGTCTTGTACAATTTTGTCTAATACCATTTTTGCGAGGTTCCGGATGGAGACATTGAAAAAGAAAAAGAGAAAAGATACATTTCGCTAAAAATAGTGTAAATTCAAAAAATTTAATTCTATGTTTTTTGAGTCTGAGATGCGATCCGCAATTTATTGCCTTACGTTTTGTTTGCCGTTTTTTTCTTGTTAAATGATTTTGAATTCCATTCTTGTTGTGGCATTATTTTTCATTGAGATAAATGAATTTATTTACACCGAAGAAGAAGACGAATCGCAAATCGCTGGAACTCCATCAGAACTTCAGGCATTTGCAAACCACGATTCAATACAAGTTTCATGGTTACCACCTCGAGAGGATAATGTTTTAATTAGAGGATTTCAAGTATTTTTATTTTTTTTTTTAAAATTTTACTTTTAATTTTTAGATTGGTTGGGGTATAAATATACCGGATATTGAGAAAACAATTGTTGATTCAAATGTGAGGCAATATACAATTCGTAATCTTAAACCAAATAGAGAATATGTTATCTCATTACGTGCATTTAATAAGAAAGGTCAAGGTTTTCCAATTTATGAAACCGTCAAGTAAGATTAAATTTTTGAATATGGATTAAAAATTTTTATTTAGAACGTATTCATCTGGCTTTTTAACAACTTTACCACCAAATAATTTTGTTGAAAACATTCATGCACCTGTCGGACTTTTTGCTGAAACTCTTTCTGCCTCACAAATACATTTATATTGGACTGATCCAAATGATGAGGCCTTCAATCAATATTACACAATTAAATATGCAATGAGGTTAAATTAGGTTATTTATTTACTGATATAATATTTTTAGTGGTGAAGCAGATGGACTTGCAAAAGAAATAAACACAAGTGAAACTGATTATCAATTTGACAATTTACGTCCTGATACTCAATATGAATTTGCAGTAAAAATAGCTAGAACGAATCATTGGAGTCTTATTGCAATAAATCGCACATTTCCTGCACCTCCTTCATCCCCACCTAGAGATATTACCTTAGTTGGTCCTCAATCAGAAAAGGATGATCCAAATATTGTAACGCTTAATTGGCAGCCGCCAAAATATTCAAATGGAGAGATTAAAGGTTTTTAATTTATTTTAACTTTAAAATTATTTTAATTTTAAAGAATATATTTTATTTTATTCAAATAAATTTGATGCACCTGAAAGTGAATGGACGATGGAAAGTATTAAAGGTGATAGATTATCTTTACAAATTCGAGGACTTCTTTCAAAAACAACATATTATTTTAAATTACAAGCAAAAAATTCAAAAGGTTTTGGGCCTTTTACACCTATTACGAGTTTTTTGACACCGGAAACTTTGGATATCTCCTCAATATCTGACCAAAATAATAAATTTTCTGATAATGTTAACTCAACATTTTCTCAACAAATTGTTCAACTTTTGAGGTTTTATTTCAATTATTTTCGAAATTAAAATTATTTTTTTAGCAAAAATCTAACAAACGTTTTTCTTGGAATTGTTACAATTGTTTTGTTAGTTTTGGTTGTAGCAGTTATTATTGCTTGTACACGAAGGAAACCTAGACGACAAACAAATGTAAAACATCCTCAATATAGTTATATACCTGGTAGGAAATATTCACAACAAACTGGTGATGATAATTTGTGGATTCAACAAAATGGTACAAGATTTGCTGCTGTTTTGGATAATTCCGGCACACTTGGACGAGCTGTTTGCGAGGTTAGTTGTTTAAAAACACGCTAATTGAATGGTTTATATAGAACTTTGAAATGCCAACATCATCTGGTGAAGAGAGGAGAATTCTTTTGGTTGATCGACAACAACGCGCTTTTATTGCTTCTAATCCACATGCTCACTTTGGTTCACCTTCACCACAATATAACTCACAATATTTGCCACCTTCGGATGGTCAAGGTAATCTACCTGTAAAAAATTTAACTAGTATTTGAGTTGTTAAGTGTAAGTATTATCAAATCTTAATTAGTGGTGGGTATCCTTTAGCTGTTTTCTGTTAACTGTTATGTTAGTCGTTTAATGTTAAAGATTTGAAAGGTGTTGAACGATTGGGGAATGGTTTTTACAACTTGAAACTCCATCGGCGTTTAGCCGATTCTGTCCAGTCTGTTGATGAGCATCAACCACCATCTAAGTCTAAAAAGATTGGCCGTCAGAATCGAAGTTCACTTCCTCCTCGTTTCTGCTCTTCTGCGTCTATAACACCTTTGGCCGTTAAATCCAACAAAATTGGGCAGAATTTTATGGGTTCTCCAACTCCTACTGGTGATTTATATCCAGTATGGACGCGCCAAACGAATGAAGAAAAGAACATTTTTTCCAACAATGACTGCGACTATTCTCCACTACGGCACCAAAGACATTTTGTTGATACCACCACTGAATCACTTATTCCAAGTTTTGGCATCCCAGCCTTGCCTGTGAAGCTTGCTCGCCGAACTTTAATAACAGAACATAGTAATGGTTTTTATAATGATAGGCCAAAGATGTCTACAAAATGCGTGAATTTTGCACCAATTTTGGATACCTCACAATCAGATGTAAATGAAACAGAGAATAAAGACGATGATATTGAAGGGCAAGATAGAAGTGAGTAAAAAGTTTGTTGAGTGAGTGGACTTCTAAATTTTTAGTTCTTTTTTTTGATATGGCGTTCCTTATGCAGTGGTAGTGACTTAACATGAATTACTCATGATTAAAATTTTTCTTTACCACTTGAAATTGTAATTTTCAGATTTGTCACGAAACTGTTACAACACAGCGATAATAAGTCCACATGGAAGAAATTTGGGTCACCCAACTCCTAATTCAACACCAAGAAATCCGCACGTTGTACATACCAGAACTGATAGACAGGTATAATGTCATTACTTTAGTATATATAAACAACTTATAATTTAGCAAGTCAAGGTGGATCTTGCTGTTGGGAATCAACGAACTGGCGCTTTTTCAAACGAGGAATTGATCGATAACGATCGATCTGCTTCTAAGGTGCATCCGTCGTCAATATCGAATCACCATATAATGGAACTAGAAGAACATCGTCAACAGCCAAAGATGGCTCACGTTGTTAGGCCTATTGCTGCTATTAAAGCAGCTAATGCCTCGCCATCTGCTTTTCGAAATGTTTGTTCTTCAAACAAACCTAAAACATCTCCATTGATGAATAGTAAGTAATGTATATTTTTTTGTTAATTATCATAATTAGGGAATGTTCCTAATGGAAATGTCCCTATTGGTCGTGCAATGGTACAACGACGCGTTAATATTACTAACCAGGTAGAAGCATCAGCCTCCCCATATTCAAGTATACGCGTTCAAAGAGAAGGTGAATTGGAAGATGCTTCTACTTTAAATGTTCAACAACAAGCACAGCCACAATGCAATAATAAGGTAGAATACAGAAAATAAATATATGAACATTTTTTATTCAAAATTAATTTTTAGTCTGTTGATTCTGCAGAAGAATTGAGTGTGCAAGAGATAGACCAAATGGTTTAATTACAGCTTCCTTTAATAAATTTTTAATAAATTACAGATTGACACTTTACAACAATTACAACATGAATTTACACAGGCAGAGGATGATTAATTCCCACTGCGCATAAGCAAAAACGGCCTCGAAGTGCTTCCGTATAAAATATTTTTCTCACCTCACAATCTTTGAATCTCTGCTTTCTTTTAAATTTTCTCAGCTATTTATATCGATATTGTCTTAATTTTTTAAAAATTCTGCCAAATAATTTATTAAAAACTATTCACATTTTGCTGCCATTAGCTATTTTTCTTTCAAATTTTCTATAATTTTTTTTTGCTATTTTCCCAGATATACCAAACTTGTCATTGCAATAATTCCAATAATTCATTTGTACTTATTTAATTCTCTCAAAGCTTTCATTTAACAGTTATATATTTATTTATACAAATACTAAAAATTGCTTTTAATTTTTATATTTAATTTATAATTGTTTTTTAAAGTGCTTCTATACTAAATTTATTTTTTTAACTGTAAAATTTTATATTTGTTTTATTTTAAGAATGAATCATTTCAAAGTTATTTATGGTTGTAAATAACTTATCTATATTTGCATTTGCAGCCGACTAAATAAATTCCTTTTAAAGAATTTCCGTCTATTTTACATAAACAATAATAAATATTAAATTAGTATAGATTCTTGTCAGCTTTATTATAAATTTACTTTCATCTTTTTATCTTTGATATAATTTTTTATAAAATTTTCAATTGAAATATTTGTTAAAATGACGATTTTCCTGTTATATTCACATTACTCATATTTAATTGAGAGTTCGAATTTTATTTTTTAAATTTAAAAAAGGAGGATTAATTTTAAGTGGATGTGGAGGTGAAAAAAACAATAATTTATGTGTTTGTGAGTTTTATATTTTTATTTAAAAGTTTTAAATTATTTTTTCCGTAGATTTTAAGAGAAAAATTATTTTTTAGGCATTTTTTATTCATATGAGGATTTATGGTATATTTTATTTGACTTTATTGTAACTGTAATCCTGAGATTGTTTACTGTATTTTCTCGATTACCTTGGGGAGTTAATATTTCAACCCATCCGTGGAGAGGGGAATAATTCGGATTTTTAAATTTGAATGTGCAGTATGGCATTTGAGGCTAGGGGGACTCATCCCTAGCATGGGGAAAATTCTAAATTGTTTATCGAGAGAGGGGAATTAATCGAAAAAATACGGTAGTCTAATTTGTAAGCTTTCATCCCTTTTATTTTTTTATTTGCACAGAATATTTAATTTTTAAATTTTCTTGTCTAAAACAATATTTAATTGCAAAACAAATTAAATGCCATTTTATTCTTTTGCGTAATAATTAAAAATTTAGTAATAATTATTAAGAAATTCTTTTAAAAAAACTATTTTTGTGGCTTCTTTCCTCATTGCTTTTTTTCTTTCTTTTTTGTTGTTTATTTGTTAAATATTTTTCTAAGAATTAAGGAGAATAGCGAGAGAGGGGGGGATTATTATTTTAATAAGAAAAAGTATTAAAAGCTAAAATATTCAACTATATTATTTTTGATTAACATTTTTCTTTTTATTTCTATTAAAAACTAAAATTTACTGACTCACATTATATCCATTTACGCAAATCTTTAAATATATATTTTTAATTTTTTTTTAGAAATTTTCTTTTTTTAATATTGTAGGCTTCTTTTATTGCTTATTAATTAAACAAAAGATTAATTGAAAAAGCATAAACAAGATTATAAAAATGGACAACTACCCAATCCTTTCCGGCAACTTTTTTCTAACCTAACTCAATAATAAATTTTTAAATTCCTTCATTAATCTCAGAATGGGACCTAAATCTGTTGCTTCAGTTAGGAAATTCTGAAATATTTTATCGGCTGGAAATAAGGTTTTTTCTAATCTTTAATTTCCTTCTAATGCGTCAAATTTATTTTATTTATTGATTTTTTATATTGCAATAATATTTTATTTTAAATTTTTTTTTTCTTTTTTTACCACCAATAATTATTTAATTTTTAATATTACAAAAAGAGACAAATAAAAACTAAAAAAATTTTTTTTATCTTAAAACACTAACAAATTGTCATCATTTAACAAATTCAATTTATAATTTAGGCAATTAAAAATGTCATATGAACAAAGAGAAAAAATCCAAAAAGAATTTTATTACAATTTTGCAATTTTAGTCAATTTTTAAGTTTAAATATAGATTTTCCATATATTTTCAATTTTTAATTCCTCATTCCAATTCCATTCTTTAATTAAAACATATTTTAATTAATTATTAAATTTAAATCTCTTTATTTTTTAATATTTGCTCTATTTTTTCATTATTATTCTTCTCTCCTTTTGCAGAAATTAAATTGCAAAAAATAAAATTATTATTTTTTACCTTTTGCAATTAAAATTACTGCTGCATGTCATCACTTATTTGTTAGTTAATAGCAATTAACAAATAACTATAAATTTCTCTCCTCCCTTTACATAAAACAAAACTCTTGACAAACATTTGTCGGGAAAAAAGGTGGGCGGCCAAAAAGCAGCAGCAGCAAAATGTGAAGGGAGGGAAAGAGAGAAATAATAAAGCAAGAAAATCGAATATTTCTGCAAAAAATTAGAGGAGTAAAGCAAAAATGCCGAGGCATTCGACTCTCTCTATATCTTTCATAATTTATTGTCTTTTTTAATTCACGTTGGCATGCGCGCGTTTTTCCCTCATTATTCATTTTTGCAAGAAATATCCCTCTGTATTTTACTACATATTCATGGCCCATCCTCAAAATCGTATTAGACAAAATGGTACAAACTTAACGGTCTAAAAACGAAACGTTACTACACTTCTTACCTACTAAACATAACCTCCCAAATAGTAAAATTGTACAATTACCTCTTAAGTTTTTACAGATGGTAGTTCTTCGACCATTTTTCATGTGCCATTTTGTCTAATTTTATCCATTTTAACATTTTGTCTAATTCTATTTTGTCAAAATACTATTTCGTCTTGTATCATTTTGTCCTTAATTTTTGTAATGCCAATGGACGTTTTCCTTCCATTGCCCTCTCGCTGTTTTTTTTTCTAAATTTCCCCATCAAATATTCATTAAACGTTTAAAAATGCGCAGCTTTTTCATAGCCTTTTAACATACAAAATTATAAAAAAAATTTCAGCTGTCACACGAGAATATATTTATTTACAAAAAATGTAGACATTATTGAATTTCATTCCTTTTCTGCTGCAACACTATTTTTAGTTTTTAAGACTATATTTATCTTAAATATCACTATTTGTTTTAACATTCCCTTTTTGCTAAACAAAATTGTGCAGAAAATGTTTTTTATCTTTCATTACTATATTTAGCTTTTATTTTTTTATTTTCACATAGTAGTAATATTATATATTTAACATGTAATAAATCTTTTTCTATTTTTAGCAGAAATAATATTTACAAATTAAATGACAGCTATTTTGATGCTTGGGCATAATAATAATTCAAATAAACAACAAAAACTTCAAAAACAAAATTCTATGCCAATTGTAGAAAGGCAACTTTCTGTTATTTTCGACACAATTGATTTTACACAAGTTACATCTCCTCTCAAACCGTTGGCTGAATTATGCCGTTTAAGATGTAAAAAAGCGCGTCTTGAACCCAAAAATATTTCTGAGCAGTTGCCAGAATCATTATGGATTAAAATTTTTTCTTATCTTGGTCCTCTTGAAAGAATATCGTTGGGACAATGTTCTAGAAGACTTCAATTAATAACTTCTCACTGGCTTGATGTTAATAGTTTGGAAATACGTCCAGAATGGGCAAATGGTTTGGAATTAATTTTAATAAAAATTTAAACATCTTTAATAGATTTAGGTCCTTCAATTTGTCCTTCTCCTCCTCCTCCACCACAAGCACAATCACAAGCAATTTCAACAGGTCTTCCCCTTTCTTCTGGCTATCGTCGACGTCTTCCCTCTCTCCGTTCAAAACCAAAAAACCAACCAAAATCTTTTCATTTACGTTTACAACTTTCTTCAGGCCGTTCATTTCGCATCAAAACAATAAATTCATTAGAGGATTCTGAACAACCCGAGAGGCTTCTAAAAATTTTACTCTGTCGATTGGCAAATGGACAACTTTTAGAATTAACAATTTGGGATGCTTGTCTTTCTGAAAGATTAAGAAATTGTATTATTCGCTGTTCTCAATTACTTCGTTGTTTACGTCTTTGGGTAAATTTATTTTTTCAAATTAAATTTAAAATTTTGAGAAATCCTTAAATTCTCGATAAGATTTCCCTAATGGTGTTTTTGTGTAATAGGAAACTGAAAATGCCTTGAGTCCGTGAATTTTTCGTTTGAGTCGAGGCACCTTTGATTATCCGAAAGGCCCACGTATTAAAACATTTTCTAAGATTTTTTAGTCCCTACCAGCCTTCAAAATTGTTTTTTTTTTCAATTTCAAATTTAATTTATTTTCAGAATTGTGGCCGTTGGTTAAATACATATCATCCATCACCTTTATTAATTTCTTTAATTGGTTTAACTTCTTTAAAACAATTATTTATATTAGATTCAACAACAATTAATTATAATAATTCATCAAATGAATCTGCTAATTCATTTTTTTCTTCTTCTTCATCACCAACATCTTCCTTCTCTTCTTTTTCTTCTTCCACATCCAAATTTATTTTTTCAAAAAATTTAGCAAAAGCTATAAATGCCCCACTAGAAGAGCTTCAATTGACAAATTGCAGGCTTTCTCTTAGTGCTTTGGAATTAATTTTACCAAAATGTTCAGAGTCTCTTAAAAGATTATCAATTGGGTATGATTTTAATTAAAATGTTTTTTTTCAACTTTTTTAAACCTTTAAAGATGTACTTTTGGTAAAGAACAAAAGAGAATTCAATATTTACAATTATTATGTCAATTTAAAAAATTGAATGATTTGGATCTGCCACCTTTTATTTTTCATCTTGGTGATCAACCAAAACCGGATATTTTGGGACAAAAATTTTTAAAAGAAATGACAAATTTACGAGCAATTGGATTTAGGTATTTATTTAAATATTTTTTTTATCTTGTTTTTTAAAGACATTTTAATTCTTCTGCTTTATTTCGTTTTATTGAATTTTATTTACCAAAAAATATTCGTGTTTTACGTGTTCATCATAATGCTAGACGAATTCCAAATTTTGCTGAAATTGGTGGAATGTCTTCAAATTGTTCAATACAAGAACCAATTTCAACAACAACAAAAACATCATTAAATAGTTGTTCTTCACCTTCTCTATCTTTTTCTAATTACTTTTCTTCATCTACCACAAGTTCATCCTATCAAAAAAAGTATTCAAAGGGTTCTTTATTTTCAAATAATTCTTCTATTGATTCTTCAAATAATGATATTAATTTAACTATTGAACAACAACAAAATATAAAATTAATAAATTTAAAAAAATCTTCAACTTTCCATACTTCTTCCTCACCACGTATTTCTTCTTCTGCTTGTTCAACAATTTCATGGCCAGGAACTAATAATTCTACTAAAGAAGATGAACAACTTTCTCTTGCTACTTCTTCCACTTGGTAAGAGAGAGGCGAAAAATTTTTAAATTTTTTTATATTTTTAGGTGTACTTTAAGCACAGATTTATTACAAAATAAAGATAACAAAGTTAAAGAAAAATCTTCAAATGTTAATAAATTATTTTCTAATCGAAAATTGACAATTTTTGCTATTGCCGAAGAACGTCAAATTAATTTAACAAAAAGAAACAAAAAACAACAAAGATTAAGAAAATGCAAATTTAATGGAATTGAAGTTATTTATGTATATTTTTTCTTTATTTTATTTTTAATTTGTTTTTATTTTTAAAGGTTTCTGCTGCTGAAGCGCAAAGTTCTCAAGAAGGTTTTTTAAATTTTTTTAATAATTTTCAATTTTATTTTTAAAGTACTCGGTCGTATGGGATCTCCAATACAATCACCATATGTTTATACAACAAATCAAAATAATAGTCAACCATCTGGAGTTCAAAGAGTAATACATGGTGATTTGGTTAAAACAATTCCTCTTTCATCTCTTGGAATGGAATCTGATTGGGAAAGTGATATTGAATAAATTTTTAATTAAAAAATAAAAAATCTTTTTTTGCTCACTTTTAAAAATGTGCAATTCTCTTTTTTCCTCTAAAATACTATTTATTTTCTTTCATTTTACTCATACAAAAATTAGATTAAGCTTTCTATCTATTTTTTAAAATTGTTTTTATTAAAATAATTTTCTTTAATTCTCTTTCTCTCAAGTTTATTTAAAATTATTTTTCACATATTTTTGTTTCATATATTTTTTGTTTTGTTTTTTTTTTAATTTAAATTTATAAATTAGGTTTAAAAAATCTTTTATATTGCCTGGGTAACAAAATATAAAAATATTTTAGTTTTAAAAGGAGTGGCGGGAAAATTAGTAATTAAATGTAAATTAAAAACGTCAATATATTTTTCCTTTACTAGTCTTTTTTTCTAAATTAAATTTTTTTTTTAATTTTTTAGATAAATACAAGAAAATAAATGTAAATTTGTTTATATTATGTAAAAACCAACAGAAGTAATTTTAAAGGATAGTCTTCTCCATGTGGCGGAGTTATGCAGCTGCAAACACTAATACATTTACTCCAAAAAGGTTTTTTTTTAATTTTATTAAAAAAATAATTTTTGGTTTAAAAACACTCAAAATTTTCGTTTATAGTTAAATTTTGAAAAATTTGTAAGGAACATCGGGACGGGCAGGGGGAGGGGTTATAAAACAAAAACCTCCCTAATAGGACAGTGTCTATTCAAGATGTAGTTGCCGTAGGTCCTGAAATCAATAGGGTAACGTGCATTGAAAAATGCCGATATATGTATCTGTCCCTTTATGTCTGGCTCCCGAAAGATTAAATACTTTATATTAATTTTTATTAATTGTCATGCAAATTAATTCTAATTAACTGATAAAGAATTCATTATTTTTTACTTTTCCAAGTAAAATTTATCTAAAATTAGGTAATTTTTTTTATTTTTTGTTGTCAAGACAACAATAATAAAAATTAATATAAAGTATTTAATTTTTTGAACAATTACTTGACTACAATAACTCCTTTGGGGTTTTATATTCTTTCCTCTCTCGTTTTTTTTGTACAAAAATAGGTAAAAGTTTCTCTTTAAACAATTATAATTAATAAAAAAAATTTTGAATTTAAATTTTTATTTGAAAAATTTATTTTTTAAGTAAGAGAATGATGAATATAAACGGCATTATTTTTTTGATTTAAGTGAATAGACTTTAAATTGCAAAACAAATTTTTTTTAATTTATTTTTTTATTACGTGTAGAGAATATATTTCCTCTTTTTTTTCTACTTGTAATTATAACTCTATTTAAAAATAATTTCCGTTTTTTAAAGGAAAAATATATCCGCCCATTCATTGTCAACAACACCAACAGATAGTAGACGTAAATCATTTAATAATAAATATATTAATAAATTAAATAGACGTTCATCTTCATTTACTTCTTCATTTGAAGAATATAATATTTCTTCTGACCAAAAAGAAGAAGAAAATTCTGTTTTAAATTTAAATAAAGAAGAAATTAAAGAAGAAGAAAATTGTTTAAATAATATTCCTTCTAATTCTTCTGCTTCTGCTAAAACATTTAGACCAAGAAAGTCGACTAATAGTAATTCTTGTTCTTCGTCATTTAAAAATCAAACAACAACAGATATTTCTAGCAATTTAAACGAAGATAACAATTTATTAGAAATGCCACCAGTTAAAGATATAAATGGAATTAATGACGGAAAGGTTATTTTTAATATTTAAATATACCAATTATATATTTTATTTTTATTAAGCCAACTGCAAATATGTTTGAAAAGGACTCTCGTAGTGACGCGCCTATTCCTGAAATGCCAACAACTGAAGGAATTGAGGTAAATAAACGGGCATATTCACGGATAATGACATTATTCGCGGATATGCGCTGAGGCGGATATCCGCGGATGCTCAAACGGATACGGATGTTGGCCTCGCGGAAATATCCGGATATAGATTTAAAATTTGTGACCGTGACATGTCTGTAAATAAATTGTTTTTTATAGAAATAATTTTTTATTTATTTTCATAGTATCCTCGAGCAGCGTCTTGGAGTTCTTCAACAGTTGCAGAAATTATGAGAGATCAAATTGGTTTGATTTTTTAAATTGAAGTAATCATTTTTAAAAAATTTAGGTCGTCAAGTTTTCCGTTGTTTTTTACATGAATCCCTTGCAGAAGAAAATTTGCTTTTTGTTGAAGAAGTTGAAAAAATGAAGAGAGAAAAACAACCAGAAAAAATTCGTCAAGGAATAAAAATGTTGTTGGATAAATATGGGCAATATATTAATTTAAGCAGTGTTGCTATGAGTGTTTGTTTTTTTAATAAAAAAAATAAATTATTATTTAATTTTAGAAATTGAGAGAAGCAACAAAATCAGAAGTGCCAGATCCTAAGGCGTTGGAATGCGCCCACAAGGTTTTTAAATTTATATTTTTTCTCTATTAAAATTCAATTTACATATAGGAAATATACAAATTACTCGAAAATGACCAATTTCCACGCTTTCGACGTTCAAAATTGTACCTTGAATTTCTTGAGCAATTATTGCCTCGTTCATATGCTGAACGTTGGATGACTTCATTTGATGCTCTTTTAGGCAATCAAGTTGGTAGACATCACTTTCGACAATTTCTTTTTAATGTTCACGCTGAAGAAAATTTACGTTTCTGGGTAATTTAGATATTTATTTTAAATTGTAAAAAAATATTTTAAAGGAATCTGTGATTGAATTTCGACAATTAAAAAATAAATCCATCGCCATGTTAAATATGAGCAGAACAATTCAACAACAATTTCTACGTGAGGGAGCTCACAATGAGGTTAATATTTAATGTTTAAAGTTTTTAAGTTAATTTCCAGGTTTTTCTCCCGTTTGGTTTACGCCAACGTGTTGAGAAGAAAATACGAGAGAAAAATGTCGATGACACAGTTTTTGATGAAGCTGTTAAACACGTCGAACAAATTCTTAAAAATGATCCTTATGTTAGATTTATTAATTCAAAGGTTTGTTTTTTTTATTATAAAGTAAAATAAAATTTATCTTTATAGGAATATAATGATCTTTTGGCAAAATTACACTAAAATGATCTCAAAAAAGGAATCTAAATTTGATATATAATTTTTTATGATCTCTATAATTCCCTTCTCCCTCCTGATTTAGTGTTTATACATATGTGAACATTATTATTTAAAGATGTTATATAAATTTGATTATCGATTTATTGATTTTTTATAGTTTTTTTTTGAAAATATAAACTTGACTTTAGGTTATTGATTTTTAATTTTTGCCGGTTAGCACTCAACAAGGAGCAGCGAACTGACCAAACCGGCTCCTATACAAAAGATAGACGCACCAAAAGATAGATGAACTAAAAGATAGATAAGGCAAAAATCGATTAAAAGATAGATGCACTAAAAGATAGATGGGCAAAATCGATTAAAAGATAGTGCACTAAAAGATAGATAAGGCAAAAAGATTAAAAGATTGATGCACCAAAAGATAGATGCACTAAAAGATAGATAAGGCAAAAACGATTAAAAGATAGATGCACCAAAAGATAGATGCAATAAAAGATAGATAAGGCAAAATCGATTAAAAGATAGATGCACCAAAAGATAGATGCACTAAAAGAGATAAGGTAAAAAAACGATTAAAAGATAGATGCACCAAAAGATAGATGCACTAAAAGATAGACTAGGGAAAGGCTGACAAAAGGGAACGTATGGAAATGTAGACAAAAGGGTCCAGTCTCATTTGGGGGGTCTCATTTAGGCACAGCCCTTATACTTGACGAAGTGAACCTAGATATATAAAATTTATTGAAACAATAAAACTTATAATTACAGAATAAGGCAAATACTCAAACAAAATTGGGCAAAAAATAAAAGAATATGTAAATTTATAAATTTAAAATCACAAAAATAAGAGACAGGTAGAAGTAATTAAAATTATATAGTTAAAAATGAAGTGGAAATAGATGGAATGATTTTGAGTATATTTTGGAAATTAATACTTTTCAAAATTTTAAATCCCAGCCTTTGCTAAAATCCCTCTTTTTCAACCAAAATTGATTAAATATTGAATTTTCCACACTAAAAAACAATTTAAAAATATTTAAAAATAATTTTAAAAACAAACTCTGTGCTGAAAATAATAACTTTGACGACGTGATTCAATAAGCCTTGCAGGGAACGGATTAAGATGATTAAAGGCAATCTTTAAAAAAATTAATTTAAAGAATATTTTTAATTCAAAAAAACCTTTGCCAAAGCTTTATAATCTGTAACAATTGAAGATAAATTACTTAAACAAGTATGAACACCGGAAAATGAATTACATTCAAGAAGGCGAAGCTCTACAAGTCTTAAAATTGCTAAGGCAAAACGAAACAATACCTTTTTAAAAAGAACAAAATTAATTGAATATTTTTAAAATTAAACAAACTTTATTGCCTTCATAGAGAAAAACATCAAAAATCTTTTTATAAAAAATTAATAATTAAAAAAAATAAAAATAAGGTAACCTTAATGTAGACCTTAAAAAATAAAAAAAATATAAATTAAAAAATATTTTAAAAAAATTTAACTGTATGAGAAAGAACATCAACAAAAACTGTTAGAAACCAACTTAGGGTAAATAAGGACAAATTAACTTCCAATTTTTGTAAATGTGCATGTAAAGCAGGCATTTTTTCTTGTACTAAATCAAGTAAAACTCTTTGGTCTATAACTGCTCCAACTAAATTTGAAGAATAATAATTTAATGGTTGTAAATGTTCAACACTAGCAACCAAAAACCAAAAGGCCTTTAAAAAATTACTTTTAAAAATTTAAATCTATTTTAAAAAATAACCTCAGATTCTTCAAGATATAAAAGACCGATAGCACCAATTCTATTCAATCCCTTTAAAAATATTTAAATTTCTTTAAAAAAGGATAAATAAAAAAACCTGGCAATATTCAACACTTTTATTGTGAAAACGAAAAGCATAAAGAATATTTCTTAAGGCACCAGCTTTTGGACTTTGCTCTGTTTCAAATAATTTATTATTTGGCAAAGTACGAGCCAAATCTAAATCAATCTAAAAATATTTTATTTAATATTACAATTTTTTAAAAAAGCAAAATACTTGTTTAAGAGCAGCATCATCCTCTGAAAGTAGCTTTTGTGATTTTCGCAAAAGACATTCATAATATCCATTCCCTGCCTCTACTTGTGTTGAACCAACATGAAAATCAACAAGTCTTGAAATAAAATTTTTGTACAAGAAAAATATTTGTAAAATACCCGCTCCAAACTCTTCTTCTATAAGCATGAGGAACACCACAACGAACCAAAGCTTTTAAATTAGGGTCAGGGTTAAGTGGATGTGAAACATGGTTAACAAGAAATGAATCCCATCGTGCTAACCAATTAACAAATTCCTAAACATAAATATTTTTCTAAAATAAATTATTTAAGAATTAAATAACTTGATTATTTCCTGGCTCAACAAGTGAAAGAATGTCATCAGCTCTTTTTTGTGAATCTGCTGCCAAACGTAATAATAAATCTTTATTTTGAGAAAAGAAGGCAGGTTTTTCTTTTAATTCATTAAAATAGGCAAAATAAGAAGTTGATGGAACGGAATAGGAAGGATCAGTTTGTTCAACACCGTCTTTACAGGTCTAATAAAATATAGAATAAATATAATAAAATTTAAAATAAAATACATTTTGTTCTGCATCTCGTTGTTGATCGTCCTTAGAATTTAATTGAACATCTCCAGAAGATTGTAAATCCTTAGAAGGCTCTTGGCAGGCATTCATAGAATTATCAGATTTTCTAGATTTTTGCGGTGTCAAATAAAATCCAAGAGAATCAGTTTCTGGATCAGCATTTTGCAAAATTCCAGCATTTAAATCTTCAAAAGCAGCGACAGGAATTCCTTCAGGATTTGAAATTGCTGTGGAAAGAGCTGCACGAGACTTCAACTAATTTTAAAAAAATTAAAAAATAAAACAAATGTATTACAGTTTCAGAAGCCAAAGTATTTGAATTATTAGCTCTAAATGGAGAAAGAGGTCGAGATACTTCTTCCACCAAATTTTGAATTACTGAAGGTTCGAAAACTATAAAATAAAAAAATTAAATCAAAAAAATATGTAAATAAAACCTCTTTTTGGAGGTTGATCAGAAGAACGAAAATGATTTAAAAGCTTTTTGAAATTAAATTAATAAGTAAATATTTAACAATAAATAAATTACCATAACATAACGACTTTTCATTTGATAATAAAAAGCTTCAAGACTAAAATTTTGTCTTATCAAACGACGTTCTCGTTCTTCCAATGATTGAATAATTCTTTGAAGTTCTTAAAATATTTTTAAAAATATTTATTAAAAGAAATATAAAAACAAACAAACCAATAACTTCATTATTCAGAAAGTTATTTTGATTTTTATATCCTTCAATTAAATCGTGCATTTCATTTAAATCACTCACTGCCGTCTCTGCCAAAACATTTTTTGTAACATAATCGGTAGGAGTTCCGTAATCAACGAGTAATGCCTCAGGAACTTCGGCTACAAAAAATATAAATTTACAAAAACAAAAAATTATTTTAAAAATAACGTGATATATTTATATGTCCAGTAGATCTATTTCTAATTGAATTTCTTACGGGAGCACCCATAGAATTTTGATCAACTAATCGTAGAATTAATTCTTCTTTAGTACGAACAGATTCTTGATATGCTTCGACTGTTACATTTAGTGAATTATTTTCGAGTTCTAATTTTCTTAAAAGGGTAAAATTAAATAAAATTATAAAAAATAAAACCTGTTATCTGCTTTTAAAGTTTCGATATCTCTTCTAAGTTGTGAAGCTGTAAATTGAATATTTGTGAAAGCTTGTTCTCGCTCTAAAACAAAAGCTAATTTATCCATATCAGACGAAGCATCAACACAATATTGTTGCAAGGCCTGTTTTTCGTTATGTGCAGAAACGACACTCTTTTTCAAAGAATTAACCAAGTCTTGGTAAACAACCAAATCATCAGTTAATTCAAAACACTTATTTCGTAATTGATCAAAAGCTTTGAGAAACTTTAAAAAATTAATTAACAATAAATATTTAAAACTATAATTACTTCCGCACATTTATCACAATTTTCTCGAGGTTGTGGAAAAGCAAAATTCGACATATTACAATGACTTGATTGCGAGTTATTTCTTTAAAAAAATTTCAAAACGAAATAATTAAATAAACCTCAAAGAATTTCTCGTTCTACGAAATAATTTTGTTGTTAAATCCAATTGATTAGTTTCATCATTAACTTTATTTATTAAATTTTCTATAGATTGAATATTACAAATTGGAGGAGGAATTTCAAGACTACCAGGATGTAATCCACCATTCTCATTTAAATAAAAAACAGATTTTGGTTCTGACTAAAAATAAGAGATCTTTTATAAAATAAAAAATGATTACCACATCATTGCTCCTATCCAAATTTCGGCTCAATCTATTTAAGCTGGTGGGTGATTTACCTTGTTGATCATTTTTTGAACAAACAGCACCCTTAAAATATAAATTAAAAAAATAAAACAAACAAACTTGAGAATTTTCAGAAATTTTTATTTCAGTTGAATTATCTTTTGAATTTTGTTGATAATACTGTTTTCGATTATATTGCAAAGAACTAAGCCATTCAATCCGAAGTTTGTTATCAGGAGCTTCCAGAATGTAGCATTCATTATCAACACTAAAGAATGTCTTTTTAATTTTTAAATTAAAATTAACTGAATTTCAAATATTCCAGAGTCTCGAGGATTAAAAGTAAATGCAGCACCAGACAAAACTATTCTTCCAGCGCAATTAAAATCACTAGGACTTTTGTACCTTTAAAATCAAAAATAAATTAATATTAAAAAGAAATAAAAAATACCAATATAATACAGGCGCTTCTTTTGGGAGAACAAACCAATATTTCTTTTTTGTAAGGCCAACGATTGGGCGTTGCTCATGCTGAGAATTTTTTATAAGTAAATAAAACAAAATTTAATACCTTGTATAAATATCCATCCATTCTTGATCCTCGTAGATTTGATTCAGGTTCATTTTCAATATCTAAGAAATTAAAGTCAGAATCTATCATTTTCACCTTCAAAATTTTCTGAAAATTTTTAGAATGTAAAATTAAAAAAAAATTTTTAAGAATTGTCTTGCGTTTACCGTTTTTATTATATGACGTTTTGACGGTTGATAATTTATTATGTTTACACTTTGAAACATTTCAAAGTGGTAAATTTCACATTGTAAGAACCGTTTGAGTACCAAACGAGAATGCCAAATAGAGTTTTATGAAATTCTAAAATCAATCGACATCCCAGTCAATATCATATGCGGATGTACCCAGTTTTATGTCATGATTTTTTACAGATACAGTCTATTACACTTTTTTTAATTTAAAATTTTCAGATTTAATAAAACTTACTTTTTTTTTAAATTATTTGTCAGTTTAAATGTTATTCTAATGCTTTCTCGTTATTGGCCATTCCCTATTGCCGATATTGAGGCAGTTGGTATGTCTCATAATGGTAATCACCACAACCTACTTCTAGATAGTAATGGAACGGATTGTCCAAACGGAACTAAATGGATTTTAAATGTTTTTTTATTAATTTTTTTATTTAAATTTTAAATAATTTTTTAAAGGTTTTTGGTGATTGTGTTGACAGTTCGTTAAAAATGTTGGGATTTTCAGTTGGTTTAATTTCACTCTTCCTTTGGTTAGTTCCTCTCTTTCCCCAACTTTATGAAAATTACAAACAAAAAAGATGTGAAGGACTTTCAATATTCTTTTTAATGTTTTGGTAATTTTTTATTTAAATATTTTCAAAAATTATAAATCAATTTCTAGGCTTATTGGCGATACATGTAATTTACTTGGTGCATTACTTACACATCAACAGCCACTTCAACGTTTATTAAATTTTTTTACATTTTTAAATAGAATATTTTAGAATGGATAGGCTTTTATTATATTATACAAGATATGGTTTTGGTTGGGCAATTCTTTTATTATACCCGTATATATTCAAATACTATTGGAGGTAATTCAGTAAATTCAATAAATTAAAATTTTTTGTAGAATCAACTCGAACAGATACAGCTGTGATTATTCCAGCATCAATCCTTGGATTTTTTGGTATTTTCTCTTTTATTGCTGATCGTTCTTATTCTTCAAATTTGCACACGGGCAGAAGGTTTTTCTAATTTAGAGTGATAACCTAACTTATTTAAAACTTACTATTAGTCTTTCTTCTGAATCTATTCCTCTTGTTACACAAAGGGGTACTCATTTGATGTTTCCGCCTATATTTGAAGGATACAAAGATGTGGTAAGTCCTCGATAGTGTTCTATGGGTAAAATAAAGATATTTTTAGGCTGGTTATTTAATTGGAACTGTTGCTGCTTTCTGTTATTTTGCTGGTAGAATCCCTCAACTTTTACGTAATTATTATAGAAAATCTTGTGAGGGGCTTTCTTTGGCAATGTTTTACATAATTGTTTTGGCAAATTTTACATACGGGTTTGTAGATTTAAAAGTTGCTTAATAAATTTATTTTTAAAGCCTTTCTGTTTTGCTTGAAACGACTGGTTGGCGTTATCTTTTACGGCATCTCCCTTGGTTAGCTGGCTCTTTAGGATGTTGTGCTTTTGATGTTATAATGATTGGCCAAATTTATTATTATAATAAAAGGAATTCAGCCACAACAATTACTGATGAAAGAGAAGAACTTCTTCAAGACGAACTTGAAGATTAAATTCAGTTTTGGCAGAAAATCAGGTAATTTTTTTATCATCAAAAACCCATCCAAATCCAACCTTCAAAAATTTTTTTAAGTCGTGCTTGCGATAATGTATATTTTCTATCTTTTTCTTCTCGTTTTTTTCTTTTTCTGATTTTTGTATTTTTCGTTCTAATTTTTAAAAAATAAATTTTATGATTTAAACCAAAAATTTTTTAATTAAAAATTATCTTTCTTTATTTAATCTGTTGTCCACACTGCATCTGGATAAAAATTTAAAATTAGAATAAAATTATAGAGTGTCAAAAAACTAACCATACATGCCCCATCTTCACGTATTTCACTAATCAAAAAATTATCCAAAAGATTTGCACAACTAATTATTTTAATCGCCTAAAATTTAATTTAGAAAACTTTTTAAATTAAAATATACTCTGCATTTTGGTCCTTCAATTGTACAAGTACATTTAACACAGGGACTTTTTAATTTCGTTGAACCTCTAACAACTTGAGAATTTCCAATAAGACAAACAGCTTTAAAAAATAAATTAAAATTAAACAATTTTTTATTTAAAAAACAAACATCTTTCCATCCATTTGGTTAAATCCATTTTTGGAAAATCTTTACAAGGAATTTGAGTATTTCTTCAAAAATATTTTATTAATTTTTACAATAAAAAAACTAACGAAAGTTGATCTGGTAGAGAAAACACATCTGGTTGAATTCTTTTTAACAAAGGAACATTCTATTTAAATTTAAAAATACATTAATTTAATTTTATTACCTGGCAAAAAATACTGCCAAATTGAATCTTTCTTATTTCTGTTAATTGCTCTAAAAATTTTTTAATTTATAAATTTTCAATTTATTAAAAATACCTAAACTAAATCGCACTTCTGGAACATCATTTTCATAATAAAACCGATCACAACGTTTTAATCTTTGAAATTGTTCTGCAATAATACAAGCCATTGTTGGAGGCATCTAAAATTTATTTTAAATATTAAAAGCCTTCAAAGATATTTACTAAAGCCCCAGGCATTGGCCTTTCAGAAATTAAACCAGGAAATAGATCAATATCTTCATAACTTTCATAAACACTTTGAAGAGCTTCAATTGTTGTTTGGTCCATTTCATTATTTAAATCTGCCCAGTTTCTAGCTCTTGTTAATCCACAAAATTCTCTACATATTTAAATTTTTAATTATTAAAAAAATAAATTAAAAAATAACCTAAAAGAATTATATGTTTGGACACCATGATCTCTAGCTCTAAGTATATTTAAAGCAATTAAATCAAATCCAGACAAAGGTAATCCTCTAATTCCAAATAAATGATTTCTAACTGCATCAGTAATATGTCTATCGAAAGCCATCGCTTTTGTTCCAATAAGACCAAGTAAAATACTTTCAAAGCCACCTTTTTAAAAAAAAAATATTTTTTAAAATAAAATTCAAGAAACCTGCTCTTTCATTATATATTTCTTCCATATTATTAAAATTTTCAACCAAATCTATTGGTAAAGAATAATTTTTATAACGAGGATCTAGTCGAGGGAAATATCTTCTAATTAATGTATGTCCAAAACGAAAAGCCTGTAAATATATTAACTTTAAAATTGAAAAAATTAAAAAAAACCGCTGTCGCAAATGGATGTGAAATAGAAGCATCACAATTCGGATCATAATTTGTATAATAACCAGAACTTTTCGGTAATAAATCATGTCTAATCATCTTTAATAGAATAATTTATTTTTATTAGATTCCTTTTTGTTACAAACCTCTTTCTGACCAATAAGTTTTGGTAAATATTCTCTATATTGAAAAGAATTTTTAGAATAATTTTTACAAAAATTCAAATTCCAACCTATAAACAATATGTTGAAATATAGCACCAATAATTTTTCGAGTTTCTTGATAAATTTTTTCATCATTCCAATTGGGGTTTATTTCCTTTAAATGAAGTTTACTTTAAAAAACTTATTAAAAATATATACTTGTAATTGTCTTGCAATACGATTATGTTCTCTTAAAAATATTATATGTAAGGTTGTTAATCCTGGTTGATGTGAATTTCTTTCATCACCAGCAATAAAACAAGGAAATAAAGGCTTTTGAAAGAAGCAATTTATTTAATTTCGTTTAAATTAAAATACCTTTCCCTAAAAATATTTAAATAATTATTTTCAATTAAATTCTCTAACCCTGCAATCTTGTTCTTGATCACCTTGCGGGAGTGCTTCTCTTTAATTTTTTAATATAAAAATCGAATTTAATTAGAAAAATTACGGGTTAAAATGTCCCAAATTTGTTGAATTTAAACGCCCTCCATCAAATGTCCTTAAAAGAGGTGCTTCACAATGTGTAGAACCATAAATAACAGAAGCATCAATAAATGAAGTTAATTGATTTAATTGATTCCTATATCCTAAAGTCTGAAAAATACTAAAAATTATTTGAATATTTTAAATACTAATTGTCCAAGTAAGGAACGAGCAAAAGGTAAACAACGAGGTTCTCCATTTTCGTCAATTCTTTTAAATTATAAAAATATTTTTAAACACAAATTTAAAAAGAAAGGTACTTGGGAAAGAAAGGATCATTGTCAGGAATAGATAAAGGCATACAATGCTCTGAAAGCGTCTTTGGAGAATCACAATGTGTACAGTTTAATATTTCATCATTTGGACCTCTCTCCACAGGTGAATGTGTTAATTCATGATCCAAAATTTGTCCAAATTGCATTACCTTTAAAGAAAAATTGCTATATAATCATTCAAAAGGATTACCATATGTGTAAATTTTTTATGTTCAAAATTTCTGTCAATATGTATAGCATTAGATATTGCTCTAGCAGAAGGTAAAGGTGCTCCACTAACTGCTATAGATCTAGGTATATCAATTTTATCCTCGTAAACTGGAGGCATTAAATGTTTTAAGGTATTAAAAGCAGCACCATAATGAGGAAATCGAAGATTATTACACCAACCAGAATAAGTTCTTTTTTAAATAAAAAATATTTTTAAATTAAAATATTACCTATATGGACTTGTATGATCACAAGGCAAATCTCTAGGCAAACATTCAGATAAAATACCTTTGTGTTCTATTGAATTAATAAAAGGTTCTATACTTGATAACATTCTTTAAAAATAAAATTTTAAATTTATATTCCAATTTATTTATTTTTTAATTTACGAAGTAATATCCAATTTTGGCAAAAGTTGTTGTAATACTTGTGGATCCATTTCTCTTATAAATGATGAATCGCCCAACTGTGGATCTCTTTAAAATTTTTTTAAAAAGAAATTATTTATTAAAAAACTAACCCTTTTAATAACATTTTAGTTGCCTCCAATAAAACATGACCTCTTCTTCCCATAGAAATTGCTTCTCTTTTTGGTCTCATCTAAAACATTTATTTTAAAAGATATCATTTTAAATTAAAAAAGTAACCATCTGTGCATATGCAAAAAGAGAATCATCATTATTCAGTTTATTTTTTTCTAAAAATTGAAAAAAAAAATTTCAAATAAAATTATTTTAACTATAAAAAGAAATATTTCTTGCTTCTCTTCTACGCCTTTCCATTGCTCTTTCAACACCCAATTCAATAGCTTTTTTAACCAGGTTTGAAGTAAAAGGCATTTGAATTAATGATTCTTCACCTTTCCATACAGTCCAATTTGGACCAGAAATTATCGTTGAATTACATGATATTGGATAATTACTGTTTAAATGTTTTTTGAATAAATTTAATAAAATATTTATATAAACAAACTCAAAACTATCAATTATTTCAAAAGCTCTAGGTTGGATTGCTTCTATTTCTGTATTAGAACAAATTAATTGAGCTAAAGTAGTTTTTTTAAGTTCATTAATTTGTTGTTCATTAAAAGACCAAGGTTGGCCTAAATTATCAACAAAAAGTCTATCTCCATTTTTTGTCTTTTTTAGTAATAAAAATATAAATTTTAAATATTTTAAAAACCTTTAGAAATTGTTTGGTAAGTAAACAGGCAAATGTTGGGCCTAAAAGCGAACCTTTCGAAGGTTTTTCTGCTAACCCTAAAAAAATTATTTGAAAATTCGTTAAAAATTAAACCTAAAATAAATAAATCAACATCTTGAGGTTTTCTAAAATATTTAGAAATTATTGGTATAATTCTTTTTGGTTCAAAAATAATTTCTTCCAAATCCTTCCATTCATAAATTTTGCTTAATCCACAATATTCTCTCCATAAATTATATCCAGCAATCCCATGATCTCTACCCATTTGTAAAATAATTGCTGCTAAATCTAACCCATTAGGATTGCTTTGACTAAGAAATTTATCCCTTAATTCTGATGTCATATAAAGACCAGAAGGAAATGTTGGACGATTTAATAAAAATCTAATGAGAAATTTATTCAAAAAACATTTTTTATAAACCTCAAAATTCCATCAATTCTTTGACTAAACATTAAAGAACTAGGCTAAAAATATTTAAATAAAACATAAAAAAATTTAAATTACTTCATACATCCATTCACTTAACGGTTTTTCCATTGATGAAATTCCATTAGGTTCCAAATGAGCAAATTTTGATTCAAACATTGTGAAGAAAAACTTTAAAAATTAATTTTAATAAAAAAAAATTAATAAATAAAAATATACCAATCCGACAGTTGTTGCATATTCATTTAACTAAAAAATTAAAATGAATTTTTTAAATTCTACTAAACTGTTGTTGGATTTTCACTTAAGATATAACCATTTTCGTCATTAAAAACATCTAATTTAAATTGAATCCAATTTTCTTTCCCAATAATTAAAGGTAACCATTCATTAAATGTAATTATTTGTAATTGTGCAATAATAATTCTTCTACTTTCTTGAAATAGTTGTTCATCGGTCCAATCTTTATTTAATTTCTTTAATAAATAACTTATTTTAAAATTTACATAAATAATTTTACTTACAAATAAATGTGTGGCGATTGAATTATGTTGTCTAAGAAAACTTTAAAAAATATTATTTAGCGTAAAAAGATAAAAGTTTTCTTGCGGATTAATTATCAGAATTACAATTTGTAATTTTCCGGATTAATATCAGAATTACATTTGTACTTTTTCCGGATTAATATCAGAATTACAATTTGTACTTTTTCCGGATTAATATCAGAATTACATTTGTACTTTTTCCGGATTAATATCAGAATTACAATTTGCAATTTTTCTGGATTAATATCAGAATTACATTTTGTACTTTTTCCGGAATAATATCAGAATTACAATTTGTACTTTTCCGGAATAATATCAGAATTACAATTTGTAAATTTTCCGGAATATTTCATAATTACAATTTGTACTTATTCCGGAATAATATCAGAATTACAATTTGTAAATTTTCCGGAATATTTCAGAATTACAATTTGTACTTATTCCGGAATAATATCAGAATTACAATTTGTATTTTTCCGGATAAATTACAGAATTACAATTTGTAAATTTTCCGGAATATTTCAGAATTACAATTTGTACTTTTTCCGGAATAATATCAGAATTACAATTTGTATTTTTTCCGGAATATTTCAGAATTACAATTTGTACTTTTTCCGGATAAATATCAGAATTACAATTTGTACTTTTTCCGGAATAATATCAGAATTACAATTTGTACTTTTCCGGAATAATATCAGAATTACAATTTGTAAATTTTCCGGAATATTTCAGAATTACAATTTGTACTTATTCCGGATAAATATCAGAATTACAATTTGTAAATTTTCCGGAATATTTCAGAATTACAATTTGTACTTATTCCGGAATAATATCAGAATTACAATTTGTATTTTTCCGGATAAATAACAGAATTACAATTTGTAAATTTTCCGGAATATTTCAGAATTACAATTTGTACTTTTTCCGGAATAATATCAGAATTACAATTTGTATTTTTTCCGGAATATTTCAGAATTACAATTTGTACTTTTTCCGGATAAATATCAGAATTACAATTTGTATTTTTTCCGGAATATTTCAGAATTACAATTTGTACTTTTTCCGGATAAATATCAGAATTACAATTTGTACTTTTTCCGGATTAATATCAGAATTACATTTGTACTTTTTCCGGATTAATATCAGAATTACAATTTGCAATTTTTCTGGATTAATATCAGAATTACAATTTGTACTTTTTCCGGAATAATTTCAGAATTACATTTGTACTTTTTCCGGATTAATATCAGAATTACAATTTGTACTTTTTCCGGATTAATATCAGAATTACATTTGTACTTTTTCCGGATTAATATCAGAATTACAATTTGCAATTTTTCTGGATTAATATCAGAAATACAATTTGCAATTTTTCCGGATAAATTTCAGAATTACAATTTGTATTTTCGAAATTATTTCAGAATCACAATTTGAAAACATAATTAGGTATATTATAAATACATACATTGTATTTAAAGCTGTCAACGAAGGCAAAAAGTTTATTTGTACTAAAAATAATTTTAAAAAATTAAAAAATTAACAACCATTTCCACCACCAAAGCAAATACCAAAATTTCCACTGGGACAAAAATAATTATTCCAAATTAATTTTTGACTTTTTCCTCCATTTTTTAACATTTCTAAAGTTGGCGGTAACTCTTTCGAAAGTGAATTTGGACCATTTTCTCTACTCGAAATTAATTTACCTAAATAATTAATATTTTATTTACATAAATTTAAATATACCATTTTTAAAAGAACGTAAAGAATTTGTTTGTTCATCCAAACTTCCATATAAAAAAGAAGCATCCAAAAAACTTGTAGCCTTTATTAAAAAATAAAACGTTAAATATGTAAATTTTTAAGAATATTTAAAACCTGATTTAATTGTTCTCTTAGTCCCAAAGAACAATTTTCAGATCTCGGGGAGGGCAAAGTCCTTGAATAATCAAAACAATTTATCTTTAAACTATTTTTTAAAAATTTATTTTAAAAAATTTTTTACCAATCCTCTAAATTTGGGATCATCAATACTTAAATTAATTGAATAACATTCTGGATGAAATAAATGTTGTTCAATATCAGGTGCCCCTAAACCATTTTCTAGTGCACAACAAGGTATTAAACGATTCTCTTTGAAACATATTTATTATTTTTTAAATTTTCCTTACCTCCATGTTCAGTAATTAATTGTGAACTTCCAATATGTACCAAATCTGTATGTATTAAGGCACTCCAGTGTGCAACAAGTGAATTAGCTGTTGTTGGTGGTGAGTTCAACTTTATTGCTTTAGGTTCTCGAAAAAGTAAATTAGATAATAGACGAACATTTGGTAGTAATATTGAAGAAGAGAATTTTTTAGATGAAGAGGCTGATTTGCGAGGTTCAGAAATACCTTTAAAATGATTATTAAATTATTACTTAAAATAAAAGTAAAATAATAACCATCGGAATAATCAGCTTCCAGTAGACGTTGAAAAGGTGAAAACTAAAATTTAAAAATACCAAAATATTTTAAATTAAAAATTTGATTTTTCGTTTTCCTGGATTTAAAAAGATTTTGAAAATAGAAATTTCTAACTTTACATATAGGCTAACAACAAATGTGGACAGCGACAATTGCAAATCGACAATTGTCACAATTTTTAAATATAAAAATTGTGATAGATTTTTATATTTAAAAATTTTTAATTTTGAAATTACTTACAGTAGAACCAATTAATGGTTTTTGAGAGTTGTTACATCTTCCATCAATTTTTCTGTAGGGGCTAGACATTTCACAATTTTCTTCCTCATTTTCTTCTTTATAGCAATACTTTTGTAAAATATTAATTATTTGCTGATTTTTTGAATACAATATATTAGAAAACTTATTATGTCCTTTTAATATTTTAGTTAATTCTATTGAGATATACGCACTTGTAGCTATTTGTCTCGCTTTCTTTAAAAGTAAAAAAATTTAATAAAAAATATTTAACAAACCGGAAATGAGTATACATGTTCAGACCAAAATTTGCGTGCAGACACTAACGGATCTAATGGTGAATAAAATGAGGAGGATAAAATTAAATTTTCCTCCGTTTGATTAATTAATCTTTGAATCTAAAATAAAAATAAAATTTAAAACAAATTAAAAAAAATTTACTTGATTAATTATTAACTCCAATTCCTGTACATCTTTTGTATTTGTAATAGTAGATGAAGTGATTGTTTTATCTTTTTGTGAAGAATGCCAACCATCATTAAAATTTTTAATAAAATTTTCTGTTTTTACAGTTTTAACAAATAAATTTAAAAATATTAAATTAAATATAAAATTGTACATTTTTTGTTTAGCTTTAAAATAATTATAATATTTATCGGTAGATGAGTAAAATGACTAAAAACTAGAATTCATCTCCAGAAATTATTTTTCTTCGGCGCAATATAAAAAAATTAGAGGAAAATTATAAATAAAAAGAAAGATCCGTAAATAAATTGCCAATTTATATTTTTATTTGCTAAAATATTTAAGGATTGATTAAATATGTATACCCAAAAACTTAAAGTAATATTCTTTTATAAAAATCTTCTTGACCCATTTAAACCTTTTTTTAAACAAACAAAGCTTGTTTTTCAATTTTTTGAGTAAAAATAGGTATAATAAGCATCTTATTCTATAAATTTTTCATTTATTTCTTTAATCAAATTAAAATGAATGAGAGAATGGTTTCGAATTTTGAAAAAATTAAACTAAATTTTACCAAATTGGACAGATTTAAAAATTTTTTAATATTCTATACATACATCAAATTAAACTCGCCAGTAGGTCAATTTATCTATTTTTGTTTTATTTGCATGAAAAGCACGGAAAAAGTGCTGTTCGAAGAACTGTCTACACAATTTCATCATGTACATATCTACAACAAAATCCCTTCGTGTTATCCTACTTTTATAATTATTGGAGACAGTTCCTCAGAAATACAAGCATTAAGACAATAATGAAAGAGAGGGATATGCAGATTTTCGTCTTATAATTTCACATAAATAGGAAATAAGCGAAGGAGTATAAGTTGAATTTATCTTACTATATGTTTAACCGCTATCATAATCACTTTGGCTATTTTGCTGATAATTAGCACCAACAAAGTCGACATCTTCTAATGCCACCAAAGGGAAATGATCGATAATAGGCATATTTCCATGGAAGCCTTTAATAAATAAACTTTATTTAAAAATTATTTTTAAAATTCATACCATCCCAATCATTATTCGTACTGTCATCCTCGATGCCAATTAGCGAATAAACAATCTACAATTAAAACAAGATTTTAAATCACTTCGAAAATTTCAAAACAAACACTGATTGGCGGATTTTCCTGGATTTTTATCTGCCTAGAAATAGTATAAGTGTCTGGAACGTCCAAATCTGCTGTAGAGCCTTCCATCTGCTTTTGTTCACCCATTTTCACCAATTCATGTTCCATTTTAACTGCCTCCTAAAAAATAATTGATTTAAAGTATAATATAATGAATTTACCATTAAAGTAGATTCAGGAAAGAAAACTCGAAAGGAGATTGTCAAGTCACAGTTAAGGCCCATAGATGAAAGTACACCTCCAGAAATAAATTCTTTAAATGTATTGCTCAACCATTTCGAAAGTACTTTGAAGTCGTCATCTGAAAACTCGCCCTGCAGTTGAAAATGGACATTCATTGCCTTTAAGTTTGGACAACAATCGGCCACATAAAACAGAAGAAGAGTGAACTGATCAAAAGGAAAATCATAGCGTGTAACACTTTCAGAGTAGATTGCATCGATCGTGTAAGAAAGTGTAGCGAAGAGAGTTCGACCAGCAGAAACCCTAAGAAATAATGTATATTAGTCTAATATGTATTAATTTAAACAACTTTTGACGATTAAATGAAGAAACGCAATTATGAAATTCCGATGAAATGTCAAGCAGTAGAGTTGTAGCATTCAAATTCAGGATGCGAGTAATATGTTCTAGAAAAAAATTTAAAAAAAAACTAAAAATTCTTTACTAAAAATTGAAGTGTCATCCTGAATCTTTACAAAGTCAAGTTCGAGGCTGCAATGCTCAAAGTCTTCCTTTGGAATTCGAGAAATACTTTCTGGAGAACCTGACAAATAAAAATCTATAATAACCCAAAATAGAATAAAAACCTCTAAAGAAGAAAAGGCGAACAAGTGACTCAGCCTGAGATTCCAAAAATGTATTCTGAACGTCATCAAGGGAATTCGAAGGCTGTGACCCATCTCCTGTGGTACTGCTTTCACGGCCATTGCATTTAAGTCCAAATTTGAAGAAAGAGTCGACAAACTTTGGTTGCAAAATTCCTTTCAAAAACAGAACAAGGAAGAACTGGTCACTAACAACAAAAGGTCCTTGAAAAAACTAAAAACACCAACTATTTTAAATAAATTTTCCCTTAACCTCTTTATTGTTAGCGAGCACGCCTCTAACGCCCTGAATTGGAGTTGGGCAACTGAGTTCAATTTCTGTGAGATTGACACTCAATTTGACCAGCCTTCTGAATTGAATGAAAAAAGCCAAACGACAGATAGGACCAGCGAACTTAAATTACTAGAATATCAAATCTTAACATTAAAAAATAAAACCATGAAGTTGATGACATCTGCATTAGGGTCCCTCAGATCCAAACGAAAATCGTTATCTGGCTAAAAAGTTATATTAAAAAATCTAAAGTAAATTAAGCATACAGAGAAAAGTAGCTTTTCAGCCACACTGAGCAAAACATCAAGATTCAACTCCGGAGCAGTATCAGGTTTAAGAATAGGGTACATGTTATGCCTGTTAAAAATGTATTCAACAAGTTAAAAACAAAGAATCAGATATTAAACAATTAAAAATTGTTAAAAAGAAAAAAATTCAAAAAAAAATACTAAATTGTCAAGTTTAATAAATAAATTAAATAAGACTGTGACAACTTAAAGTGAAAGGATTTGGTTTATTATATATTTAGGAAAAAAGGGCAATTTCAATAATTACCGTATTTTTTGTATTAGAGCCCCACGCTGTATTAGAGCCCCACGCTGTAATAAAGCCCCACTTCGGAGGATAGTTGAAAAATAGAGCCCCACGCTGTATTAGAGCCCCACGCTGAAATAGAGCCCCACTTTTTAAAATTAACCTATTGTATAATAAATTGTTAATTTTTAATATTATACTGTTTTTTCTTTTATTTAATGTTCTGTGCCAATGTTAGAGATTATGTATATGCGATTAAGAGGTTATTTATGGATTAATACACCTTAATCTGCCGATATCCATTGAACCAAACTTAATCCATACAAATTACCAGATATTCCGCCTAATCTCATGATATCTCCTCGAAAATCTCTTTGTATGTCAATAACATTAAAAACAATCCGTAGACTGATATTCCCAAAATCACTCTTAATCTATTGATATTTATATTCCTTCCATATATATGATTCTCTCCAATGAAGGGATTTGGACGTTATAGGAGATATTAGGAGATTCTTCTATATACTGGTAAGCATAGATAATGGCGAGATTAGCCTAGTTATCAGCAGATTCATCTCAGAAATCCTCCGATATCCGATTAATCCCCAAATCATTGATACTCCCCAAGTCTCCCGATTTCAAAATTAATCCCCAAATAACTTTTTGCTCACATCTATATCCATCAATTGGGACTAAACTAGATATACACACGAAGGAATGAACCATGCGGACTGAAGCAAAATAAAATCGAACATTCAAATGCTCGATAGGATTCGATCCTTCCACAAATTAAAAAAAATTGACTTTAAATCCAAATCAAATGACTTAACCGCGAATTACTGTGCACGCGCAACTATCCACTTTGTAATTATCCTAATGCTGAAATTTGTTTTTGTGATTAAATCTTATTTGATTTGATAAATATAGTTAACCTTATAATTGAAATCCTATTACCTATTTTCAAAAATATGTTGAAAAATAGAGCCCCACGCTCTATTAGAGCCCCACGCTGTAATAAAGCCCCACTTTGGAGGATAGTTGAAAAATAGAGCCCCATGGGGCTCTAATACAAAAAATACGGTATCTTCTTATTTTTCAATTCTTCTTCCGCTCCTTATTTGCGAGAGAACTTTCTTTCTTAGCAATCAGATGACTAAAATCAGTTGGCCCTTTCGAAGTCTTCTCTGAAACCACTGCTGAAGCATAACTTTTTGAACGAGTAACAGGGCCATTAGATTTAGGAATATCTTTCAATGTTGATTCATCTCCAGTTGTGTTCATCATAATAGGTGCTGGTGCTTCACGAAGCGTGTCCAAATCAAAGTGACCTAAAATATTAATAAAAATTTTATAGAAAAAATGATAAAAACAAACCTAACAATGAAGCCATAGTGTCGGCTGATGGTGGAATATTAACAATCCTATTCTTCGGTTCAACGTCCCTCTCAATTTTGATCTTTTTCGATGTTGAAGGCTCCGCCGAATGCGGCCGTTCCAAAGACTGAGCTCGATCCTCGTCACTACATTCCGATGAACAATAAGAGCCGTAAACACTTGAAGATGGCGATTCCCCTGCCCATTCATATATTGCAAGTTTCCATAATTTGATCTGGAAATTAATATTTCTTAAAATGGCCATATATACAAAACCTGTTTGTCCCATGATCGTCTACTCCAATTGAGAAATTTGTTAGGTGTTTTAGGATGAACTCCTTTTTTCCTTTCATCCTTTGGAACTTGTTCTATGTAACGCGCATAAGTTGGACGATCCTTCATTTTAATGATTTCCTTTTCACGACGAGAAATTGTCTCTTTCTTCCAGCACCACCCCTGGAAATAATAAATCATGTCAGTCAAAAATAAAAATAAATTTACTTGAGTTGGTTCGGCCCATTCAGCTTTTGGTGTCGGCAAACCTCTCTTCCTACTTGAACGGGGCCCAGAAGTGACAATAGTATTAGAATTCTTTGTTTGGCGTTCAGAAGAGGAATCAGTAGTTTTTAATTCAGTCTTTACTTCAATATCTGGCTTTGACGAGACAATCTCTGGTTCGCCAACAGACTCCTTGCTTTTGGCTAAAGCTGCTTCTCGCCTATTTTCTTCTTCCTCAATGATGTCAACCCAAGATTTGTTTCGGAAATCTTCAGAAAAATTAAAGCTAGCAAAAGGAAAAGAGTTGCTTAAATCCATTCAGTAAAATCAGATTTATTTATTAATTATCCTGAAAAAAGACAATTAATTTTATTAAAAATGATAATGTTTAATGGCTAAAATAATTTTATAATCTAAAAAAATTCTTACTTAGGTTATATAAATTATAAAGTCGCGGGAGGTTAAATTTACATGGATTTAAAATATCTCGAGGAGGATTTGTTCGAAATAGAAGCCGTCTTAAAATCTTGGCTTAAATAATATTTTTTAAACAAGTATTTTCTGCAGACGAAAAATCAGACATTTTGCCAAAAGTGATATTCAAAAAATTTGCTTTTTATCTATAGCTACGCTATTTCTTCTGAAGACAAAAAGGCAATTGAGGAAATGGTCAGTCTGCAAAAAGGTAAGTCAGCGAAAAGGTAAGTTCGCAGTGCCGTAAAATTTTCATACGTTGATTTTATATTTCATACGTTGATTTATATATTTCATACGCTATTTCATACGTTGATTTTAATATTTTTTAAATTTAGTTAGCTTCATGAAATTAATCTATTATTTTATTCTTTTGGAATTGCAAATTTTATGTTCTGCTATTTATTTGGACCAAATTGGCAAATTTGATTGGTTTTATAATTTTTAAACTTGTATATTTTTCATTATTCAGGCAGTCACGCTATTTAGGATGCCCAACTCAAACTTGGTTCGAAAGGATTGGGTCGCATGATATTTTGGCAGTAATAACAAATATGAATGTTCTTGGACGAATTAGCGTCGAAAATGGAGATATTCGTAAAGGAAATCTTTTATAATTTATTTTATAATAAATTCAGTTTGGAGACAGTTGAACGACAAAAAAATTGATGATCTTAGTGTTGATGGTTCATCGCTCATTATAAATGTTGGACAAAAACGTCGCAAATTCCATTTATATACAGGGGCATTTTTGTCGGAGAATGAGGAGAAGAAGACAACTTCAGAATTGAAGCAAAAGTTTAAAGAAAATGGGCTTCTTAAGTCCCACTTTGATTCAGTTACAGGCGAGGTAGAAATTCGAGGCGAAAATGAAGAACATACAAGGTTCAAAATACGTTTGGACAATTCTGGTGCTGATATCAAGGAAATAAAAGTTCTACCACTTTCAGAAGGAAATTATAAGGTTAATTTTTAAACTTTGACAATTTAAAAAATGTTTTATTTTTCTTTTAGATTCTTGTTGAGCATGTTGATTGTTCTCTTGCTTTATACGAATTTTCTCAAACAAATAAATCTCTAGCTCAAATTTGGATTCGCCACGAGTCTTTATCTATGATTAGCGATGTTCTTATGGTTGATTTTCCTCTTTCAGAATCGCAAGCACAGATTGAATCGGAATTTAATCAGAATGGTTTGTGCTTAAACGATTATCTACTTTTAAACAATTTTTCAGAGTCCGTCTTGCGATCTTTCCTACTTCGGATTCGTAGTCAATTAGAACAACTTCACAGATTTTTTATCAAAACATCTGAAAATATTGCCGAAACAATAGATTTAATATTCAAAGGAGAGCTTGGCATTTCCACTGTTATTAAACAAATTTTCAGTCAAGCAGATCGTTCAAAAGATGCTCCAATTGAAAGAGATTATTTTAATATGAAAAAAATGATTGTTGTTAGTACACTTGCAGGTTTGATTTAAAAATTTTTTTCAATTTCATTTTAATTATAAGGAACGTTACATGGATTGGACAGTGGAAATGGACGTTTAATTTGGACTTTTTATTTGGGAAATAAATTTGCTGCCTATAGAAAATATAAAGCTCCTTTATTTCTATTAAGAGGTACTTCATTCTATCAATGGGCTAGTCAAGCTGCTGTTGTTTTTAATTCCAAGGTTTTCATTTTTTGATGATAATTTCTTGTTTTATTTTTGCAGGATTCTGCTGATTCTTTTATTTTTATATTCAATCCAATTACTGGAAAATTGGTTGAAAATTTTAAGGTAATTTATTTTGGAAATTTTTTTTCATTTTCCTTTTTTTAGATTTCTGGAGGAATTTTTCGTGTTGAATTATGGCCTTCCGTTAACGCTGAACAGCTCCACTCTTTATTAATTTTGCGTAATAATAATCCAAATAAAGCAGAGCTTATACCGTCTATTAAAAACCAAAATTTTGAAAACTCAAAACCTGTTTTTCTTTGTATGATTGATGAAAATTCTGGAATTTTGGTTTAATTTATTTTTAAATTTTAATTGTTTTTAAATTTAAGACAGGAAATGAAGTAAATTTAAACAAAAATGGATTGGTTAGTAAACGTTGGCAATCTACTTTGCCTGGTTTTGGCGATTCTGAAAGGGCTAATGATATTATTCAGATCATTAAAGGGAAAGATATCAATGGTTATTTTTATTTTCTTTTAAATAAATAAATTTTTTAAGAAAAAGTACATAGCCAAGGTAGAGTTCTTGGTGATCGTTCTGTTCTTTACAAATATTCGAATCCAAATTTAATTGCAATACTTTCTTCAAATCCTGCCGAATCTTTACTTAGAATTAATTTAATTGATTCTGTTAGTGGTGTTTTGGTTTATAGTGGAAAATACGCTAGAGCAAATCCTCCTTTTCATATGGTTCATTGTGAAAATTGGATTGTGGTATTTTTAAAAATTCAAAAAATTTAAACACATTTAAATTAGATAAGTTATTGGAATGATAAGGCAAGGAGAACAGAAATTGGTGTTATTGAATTATTTGAAGGACTTCAACAAGTAAATTCAAGTGCCTTTAATTCGTTATCTGCTAGTGTAAATTCACCCATGGTGCTTGCGCAAACTTACATTTTCCCTCAAGGAATAAGTGCAATTTCTACAACACAAACAAGTTTAGTTTGAGATTAAAATTTTAATTTTTAATTAAATTTAGTGCAAGGATTAACTTCTAGAAGTATTTTGATTGCTCTTCCGTCTGGAGGAATTTTAGAAATGTCTAGGAGATTTTTAGATGCTCGGAGACCTTTAGAAATGTTACCAGAACATAGAGAGGAAATGCTTATTCCATACATTCCAGAATTACCTTTTGCTACTGAAGATTTTATAAATTATAATCAAACGGCCATGAGAGTTCGAGAAATTAGATCAGCGTGAGTTTCTACATTTTTTTATTTTTTAGTCAATTCCTTTAACATTTTAGACCGTCAGGGCTTGAATCAAGTTCACTTATTTTTGTATTTGGATTAGATCTCTTTTACACCCGTGTTATGCCAAGGTTTTTTTAAAGGTACTTTTCCGTTATGCCACCTCCCCCTAAATTAATGCTCAAAATGTCATATATGGGGTAATAAAAGGTGCTGAGTCGAACGGTACCACTACCAATTTCAGGAAATGATTTTGGACCGAGTTATAGGTCCCCGAAAATCGAAAAACCATAGGGGGGAGTAAGCTCGATCTTGGGTAAAAAATTCGAATATGCAAATAATACCTCAATCGAAAGAGCTCGTCGAGCTGAGTCGAATGACACCAAAATCAACGTGGTTGAACAAAATTGGACCGAGTTACGATACAAAAAATTGTGTGGTTCTTCAATTTTTAGGTACCTGTATCTCGGTCAAATCAAATCAGATTTCGGAGATTTTGGTGTCATTCGACTCAGCTCGATGAGCTCTTTTTAATCTGCTTTTATTTGCGTATTCGAATTTTTTACCCCAAAATTACCCTATGGTTTTTGACCATTTCGAGCCCTCATCTCAATCCACAAACATCTCCGGGGAAAAAGAGTGGTACCGTTCGACTCAGCACCTTTTATTACCCCATATATGACATTTTGAGCATTAATTTAGGGGGAGGTGGCATAACGGAAAAGTACCTTTTTAAATATTAAATTTGGAACAATCATTACTTTTTAGTGGAACATTTGACATTTTGAAGGACGATTTCGATTATGCTTTCATTTTTCTTGTTATGGTATTTTTGACTGTTGCCAGTTACATTTGTAAGAGGATATCTCGACATCAAAGTATTCAAAAAGCCTGGGAATGATCACTCTCGATTCGTTTTTGCAGCTTTATAAATACATATGTGATTTTTGTCTTTAAACATTTCGTTTTATAAATTTAAATATTTTTAGATTATTTTACACCTATTATTTTTTAGTAAAAATGTTTAAAAGTATTTCATCGGGTTTATTTCTATCAAAATATAAATTTTCAAAAGACACAAATAAATAAAATCTATTCTGTATTTATACAAACGTACTTCCATTGGGTAAATTCATCGATCCCTTGTCCACCCCCTTCTCTTCCTAGCCCTGATTCTTTAACTCCACCAAATGCTGCTTCAGCACAAGAAATCATTCCTGAAAGGAGAATGTTTATTAATTTAAAATTTATTTTTTTACCTTCATTAATTCCAATCATTCCAACTTGAATTGCTTTACTAATTCTATTAATTTGCGAATAGTCCTTTGTGAAAACATAACCTGCAAGTCCATTTCTTGTAGCATTAGCTCGTTCAACAACTTCATCTTCAGTTTCAAACCTAACATAAATATTTGAAAATTAACTATACTATTCTATTTCTTACGTTTGTAAAGCAATTATAGGTCCAAAAATCTCAGCATTTGCAATTTCCATTTCGTTATTAACATTTGTTATTATTGTTGGTTTGAAAATATTAGTGTCCGGAATAAGTTCACCTCCAGTCACGAGTTCAGCACCTTTTTCTAATGCATCTTTTAAAAGATTTGAGACCTTAAATTATTTTTAATAAACAGAAAAACCTTCAAAATGAAAAAAACCTTGTCTGCTGCAGCTTTATTTATTAAAGGCCCTTGATCTATATTCTTCTCCATTCCATGTCCACATTTTAATTGTTCAACTTTATTTTTTAATTTGTCAAGAAATTCTTCAAAAATAGATTCTTCGATAAAGAAACGATTGGCTGATACACAAGTTTGTCCAGAACAACGAAATTTAGATGCAACTGCTCCCTGTAAATTTGCAATTAAATAAAAAGAAAATTTTCTTAAAAAATACTTGAACGGCTTGATCCAAATCTGCGGATTTAAACACAATAAAAGGCGCATTCCCTCCTAATTCAAGACAAACTCGTTTAACAGTCGATGCAGATTGACTTAAAAGTATTTTTCCAACAGCCGAACTTCCAGTAAAAGAAATACAATCAACATCATGAGATGAACAAAGAAATTTAGAAATCTCTGCAGTATTTTCTCTGTCTGCTGGAATAACGTTAAAAACACCACTGGGTATTCCTGCTTGTTGAGAGATCTTTAAAAAAATAAATGTATAAAAAAATATTAATAAATTACCTCAGCCAATGCAAGCGCAGAAAGTGGCGTGTCTTCTGCAGGTTTAACAATTACAGTGCAACCAGCAGCCAAGGCAGCTCCTATTTTACGTGAAATCATTGCACATGGAAAATTCCACTGAAAAATTTTTTAAGAATATTAAAAAAAATTTTTTTAAATCAACCGGAGTTATAACAGCTACAACACCAACAGGTTCCCGCGTATGTAAATGTTGTCTATTTAATTTAGATGGGGAAACAATTTGACCATAAATTCTACGTGCCTCTCCTGCATACCATTCAAAAAATGAGGCAGAATATTGAATCTCTGCTTTTGCTTCTGCAAGAGGTTTTCCCTTAATAAAAATATATAAAATTAACATTGAGGATTCAAAAAAATACTTGTTCCATTGTTAATAACTCAGCTAATTGTTCCTCTTTAACCTTCATAATTTCAAAACACTTGTGCAAAATTGCGCCTCTTTCTTTAGCAGTAAACTCATTTGTCCATCTAGTTAAAGACTTGCGAGCTGCGGCAACAGCCTTACAAAAAAATAATTTTTATAGTTTTAAATTACAGAAATGTTCCAATGGAAGCCCTGGGCGACTATTTTTCAATGGGTCCCATTGAGTGGGCTTCTATTAGAACATTTAAATTAAAAATTAATCTTACTATTTGTGCATCTTGAGGACCACAATTAGAAACATCAATAATTGCTTCATTTGAATATGGATCAACTACATCAAAGCGGTGGCCATTTGAAGCTTCAATCCATTTACCTAAATACTCGTGATTTTAATAGTTTAAAATTTAAAGAACCATTTATAAAAGCTCGACCACCACGTGGTAATAATTCTGTTTTGAATCCACGTCTTGCTACTTGAATAGCATCCATTTGTTTAATAATTCGAAATATCCGATGATTTAAAATCATTAGGCTAAAATTTCATTAAAAATTTTTATTATCAATCAGTAGTTGGAAAATTGACCTTTTTCATCACTTACCTTTTTGTCGTTTACCTTTTTTGTCAATTACCCTTTTAACATGTTTTCCCTAATTAACCTTTTGAAGGGGTACGGCCCACCTTGTCGCGACCACCTTGTCGCGACCACCTTGTCGCGACCACCTTGTCGCAGGCCCACCTTGTCGCAGGCCCACCTTGTCGCAGGCCACTTTGTCGCAGGCTTTCCTTTGGTTTTTATTTCAAGGCTGGCCTAAACTTCACTCGCCACGTGCCGTACTTCATCCCACGGCTACAACGATTGGAAATATGGAAGGTTTAGAATTTCTATTTTGTTTTCTAGGTTTTTTTTAATTTTTTAGTTAATTTCCAGGAGTGTTTTTTTCCTTTTATTACTTTCTCTTATCCGGTTAAAGTCTACCGGAGTTTTAACAGAGTAAAACCGATCCAAATTACTCCAGAAAACCCCAATCGTGCCCAGAAGGTCTTTTTCCTACCCTCCATACCCTCCATATCAGCATAAAAAATTTTCAACCTTTGCGACAAGGTGGGCCTGCGACAAGGTGGGCCTGCGACAAGGTGGCCTGCGACAAGGTGGTCGCGACAAGGTGGTCGCGACAAGGTGGCCCGCGACAAGGAGGGCGTGTCCCCTTTTGAAGTACCTCGATGAAATGACCAAAAAATTTTTTGGAAAAAATGTTTGTTCTGTCAACGATAAGCCATATTGTAGAGATTGCTCCTAATGTTCTTGGCGAAGATTTTGTGCCGACATTAGTTGGAAAAATAAATAAACAGTTTGCTAATTATGTAATTTTTAACTTAAAGACTTAAAAATTGCTTCAATTTAGGTAATTCCAGATGTTGGTCTTTGCATAACCTTTTATGATTTTAAAAAGATTGGGGATTCTTTCATTCTTGTAAGCATTATGAAATTTAATTTAAGAAAAGTTTTTTAAGCCTGGCAATGCTTCTACTCACACTCCAATAATTTTTCGTTATGTTGTTTTCCAACCATTTATTAATGAAATACTTGAAGGAATTATATCACAATCTAATAGAGATGGATTAACTTTAACTTTACATTTTTTCAATGATATTAAAGTTGCCCCTGATAAACTTCCAGACGTTTCAAAATTGTTTGTTATTAAAGGTTTTTTCTTATTTTTATTCTTTTTTAGTGACGAGAAGGTTCAAATATGGTATTGGGAATATCAGAATGACGACACAGTTACTCAGTTTTATATGGATCCAGGAAGGCGTGTTAGGTATTGAACCAAAAACAATTTTTTCGATTTTCCATTTTATAGGTTCAAGGTAGTTTCTGTCAAATATCACAGTTTGGAGCCGGGAACTTCAAGCGATTCTTCAAGTGCCATGACAATTGAGGTTTGAATATTTTATATTTATTCATTCTAAAATTTGTTTTTAAGGCGTCTATGCTTGATATGGGACTTGGGTGTGTTGATTGGTGGGATCCCGCTGTTTCTGATGAAGTTAAACAAGAAATGAATGAGACTGAAGAACAGATTGAATCATAAAATTGTTTTTACTTTTTGAATTAAAATAATTTATATTGAATATTCCCTTAAGATGAGCAGTTTTATGCTTTTAAATATTTTTTTATTGTCCTTAATAGGCTTTTTACTATTTTATTTTTAATTCGTTTAAAAGATTTTTAAAGATGACAACTGTTGAGAAGCCTCAAGTGACTGCACAACCTGTTCAAGTTTTTGGCCGAAAAAAGACTGCTACTGCTGTGGCATATGCCAAAAAGGGAAAAGGATTGATCAAGGTTTAAAATTTTATTTATTTTTCGAGCTCATTCATTTCCTACGTTTCAGGTCAATGGCCGTCCTTTAGAATTTTTGCAACCTGAGATTCTTCGTATTAAGCTACAAGAGCCATTGTTGATTGTAGGAAAGGACAAATTTGCTGGAATGGATATTCGCATCCGTGTCAAAGGTGGTGGTCATGTTGCACAAATTTATGCAATTCGACAGTCAATTGCTAAAGTTTTGGTGGCTTATTACCAGAAAAATGTGGATGAGCAAAGTAAGAAAGAATTGAAGGATCAACTTGTTGCTTATGATCGTAATTTGCTTGTTGCCGATCCGAGACGTCACGAGCCAAAGAAATTTGGAGGACCTGGTGCTCGTGCTCGTTATCAGAAATCTTATCGTTAAGAAGTATGAAAGATTATAAAATTGTGTGTTACGAATTCATTGTTATTTTGTTGGGATAAATTTGAATAAAAAGGATTGTTGTTGACTTTTCTATTTCGTATAAAACACAAGTACCAACTTTACGCTAACTTTATCAAAAAATACCAAAAACATTGAGATTTTTAAAACAAATTTTTATTGTGTTAATAAATTAAAATAAAAATGTTTTACATCAATTGAGACCTGTAATATTTAAAATCCAAAAATCAAACATTTCTTCAAAAATTTTCACAAATCTGTGGCAACCGGTGGAACTTGATCCCCCTGTGATTGTTGAATCGAATTTTCACCATCTCCATTAATTCCATCCAAATCATTGTCTTCATCAATCATCGCCTCGTTTTCATCCTCTGCAAATTTCCAATTCAAATTTTAGGAAAAATATTTTTAAAAATAACACAGACCTGCTACTGTCCCATTGTTAAGGTCTTCGTCCCATTTGATTGGATAAGTTGTTACACGAACGTCTTCAGTGACAACAGTTCTTTGTAACTTGAAAAATATTTCTAAAATTGTTTAAAGTAAATTAAGAAACCTTTTCAATTATAGGACGAGGAGGTGGGTTTTCGATCAATTCAGCGTCAATATAAGTATGCGTGATGAACCAACCTACAAATTAAATTAATTTTCTTTTGTAATAAAATTTGAAGTAAGGAATTCATTAATTTTCGCTTTTTGAGCGATCAAACTTCTTTTTAGCCATAGGAATAGAAAAAGTCCGTAAAAAGCCCGCAAAGAAAAATATTTTCTAATAAATTTTATTTTTGACTAACCAATCTTCATAAAAAGCTGATCACGATATTTACACTTTAACAACAAAAGTGTAACATCCATAAAATCCTCTGGACGGAGATTTTGTAGTTGAGGTGCCGGAGCCTAAAAATAATTTAAATTTTTAAATAAAATTAAGCAACAAACTTCAAAATCGAATTTATGTCGTCCTTCACGGACTTGTCCAATAACTACAGAATCAAGCACTTGGTCGTGTTCTTCTTTTCCATCAGTAGCAACAAAAACAAGCTCCCATTCAACTTCTTAATTAATTTAAAATAAAAATTAAAATATTGAAAAAAAACCTTCTTTAATATTCTCGAATAATTCAAAAGTTATTTCCAATTTAAATGGGTCTGTTGGTTTTGAAGGATTGTCTAAAATACGAACACCAACTACATTGACACGCGAACACATTTTAAAATAATTTTTTGTATCTAAAATAGAAATTATTAAAAATTAGTGCAGGTACAGGCTAAATCTTGTTTATTTAGGATTTAATAACCTCAAAGAGGACGACATTTGGGAACAAGATATTCGGCGCGGCAAGGTTCGGTGTGGCCAAGTTTATTTTGGGGTTAAAAATTTTGAAAAACATATGTAGCCCTTTTGAAAGACTTAAGTAGCTGAGTCGGTTGATACCAAAATCAGCTTGATTGGATGATTCAGGACAAAGGTAAGATGGATTACGCCGAACCAAGCTGCGCCGAAACTTATGATTTTTGCGCGCCCTTTTGTACTGCTCCTTGTAACAGTGGCACCACACTGGGCGCTCTCGTTGGTATGGGATGTTTGGGTGCCCATGTGAAAAAAATTTTTTTTCGAATTTTCAAAAAATTTTTTTTTTAATTTTTAAATTTTTTTTTAATTTTTAAGTGCTTTGTGTTTGTTTGATTACACCAAAAAATAAGAAAAATCTCTTCTGGATAAACTTGTTGATTTATTTATTAATATTTATTTGTTTATTTATTCGACCGAGGTTATATTGACTTTCAATGTTTGTCTTCCTTAGGATCATCCAAACTTTCTATTGTTATTTTTATGAGAGTGAAAGGTCTAATAACTCCATATTCAATTATAATGTGATTCTTTTATTGAAAGTTGAGGATCTCTCCCTTAAAGTGATTTCTTCTATAGAGAATGCAAAAATTGTTAACATTTATGTATTTGTCAAAGTTCATTCAAAAACAAGATAATATTTGATTAATATTATTAAAAAAATATTTTTTATAATGTATTTACAGTAATTCTTTACTAGCCATCTTTCCTATTATTTTATTAATTCAAAGCTTTAAACGTCTTCGTGTGGGAATTTTTATAAAGAGTAATGACGTTAATTAAACAATATTTTCTTTATTTTATTTAAGCATTTCTTGGAGAAAATAGAAAATTTTATTAAGGCATCTGTTAAATTTTCTATCATTTCTTTTTATTTCATCTGCCAGCTTTTCAAGTTTTTATGATTGGTCGGACAAAATAATTGTTTTAACGTGTTTCCAAGACGACCAATTTAAAATAATAAAAATCTTCAGGGATGGGTGTTTTAGGTAATGCAATAAAGTTGGTGGCTGTTTTAGTTATGAGATGATTATATGAGAAAGTCATCCAATAAATAAATGTGAAAAAAAGAGGAAGCAATGTTTTATAAAAGAGGAGGTATACTGTCCCTACCCTCCTCTTCTTTTTTTAAAACCCCTTCATTCTCGTCTTCTTTATTCTCGTCTCCCCTTTTCTTCATCATCATCATTCCAATTTCTTAACAACATGGAGAGAAGGAGAGTAATGTATTTATTGAGGAAAAGGGCATAAACCTTTAAATAAAAAATTATATTTTTTTGCCTTTCCCCTCCCCTAAATACCTTTTTTAAATGTGTTCTAATAAATATTTTTTTCGCTTGCTCATCGGTTATGGCCAAATCAGTTTAGTTTGGCTGGAGATGAATTTTTTGGTTTGGTTGGCTGTAGCTCTTCTTTCACCGCTTCTTTCTTCTTTCTTAGGCATTTTTTGAAGGGATGCCTCATTCTTTATAATTTGGTTTAGTGTTTTAGTTAAATCATTAGAATGCAAATTAGGCAATGAAGATGTGTGCCAAAAAAGAATGGGGGGCATAAAGGGAAGTAAAAAAAAGTTGGGGGAAGAGGTTCAACCAACAAAAATATTTTAAACAAGTGACAACCAACGGCTGAATTTTTGACATAAAAATATTCGAAACATAAAACAAAATTCACCTGCCTCCCATCAATCTCATCTCTAAATTCCTTTTTTAAGTATTAATATTGTACATCCTCAAAACCATTAATAAATAAATAAGAGACTTGTTGGCACATCCTTCAAAGTATAAAAATATCCCAAAATTTTTAAGATTCTTTTTAACATTTTCTTTTTTTCTTCTCTAATAAAAAACCTTTTTTAAAGCTTTTAACGCCTTGAAGTGTGAAAATCAAAAATATGCATGACTAGGCGCTCTTCTAGTATTTTTGCTTCGTCATTTAAACACACACAACATCTTCAAATTCATTGAATTCTTAAAAATACTGTATTTTTATTTAAACACTCTCCTCCCATTTTTTCTTTAAATTTTAACTTTATTTAATATTTTTATTTCAAAAAATCTTTCCAAAAATAATTTTTTGAATCTTCTTAATTAATAAAAACCACCCCACCATCTCTTTTTTCTCTTCATTTTTTTTTTCGGGAATGCCTTGCATTTTTGATTGCCATAGTCTACTAAAATATTAGACTAGTAAATCTACACTTCCCATCCCCTTCCCCCTCCTCCTTTTCCCTCAATAATAATACTCCAATAACAACAAAAATATAAAAACCTTTTTCTCCTTATTTTTTAACCAGTTAATTTGGCCTTCTAGAGAAGATTATCTCTTTTCTTATAAAATTGCCATATTGAGGACATAAGTGAGGTTAAAAAATAAAAGCAGGTGTTCGACTAATAAATTTGTTAGATCGCGGCTTATTGAACAACTTAAAAATTAATTTAAATATTTAATTGGCATATAGGGAGAAATTGAATAAGACTACCGTATTTACTCGATTAATTCCCCCGAGGAATTATTTTTTCAACCTATCCGTGGCATGGGGAATTAATAGAGGGTGGGGAATTATTCGAGTTTTGAAATTTCAACGTGTATTAGGGTATTTGGGGGTGGGGAATTATTTTTTCAACTCATCCCTGGCATGGGGAATTAATAGAGGGTGGGGAATTATTCGAGGTTGGGGAATTAATCGAGTAAATACGGTAAGTCTCCACAAATTAGAATTATGTACAGGTAAAACATGGAGAAAATTCCATTGCTCGATTGGAAAGCATAGTGTTGTCGAGTTGTTCAGATCCGAATATTTTCTAAGATCAATACTCCACAAGATTAAGACTAGAAGAAAATCCAAGAAGTCTTGAGTTAAGACTCAACAGTTCTACTATAATATTTCTGTCTTTTTCCCAATTGTCTTTGGTCCTTATATCCTTTGGCCAAACGTAATTAAATTTAGTAAAATCCCATTATCTCTAATATTTTTAAATTCAAGTTCAATCCTGAGTCTTTTCGAGATTTTAAAATTTATTTTTAACCTTCAGATTTATTTTAGCTTCTTTTCTTTCTTTGTTTCTCCTTTGTCTCTTCTCCGTACCGTAATAAATTTTAGAGCTAGAAAAGCAATGAATGGCCGCAAAAAGAGTGGAAATCTTTTTTTAATTTCTTAAATTTATTTTAATCTTTTTTATTTTAGAATTTAAAAAATGTCTTTAATTTTAAATCAAAACGAGGAAAATACAAAAAAAGTAAATTCATCAATAAATCAAGAAAATGCTTTATTTGGAGAGGAATGCAATCAACAAGAGGTATTAAATTTAATTTTTGAATTAAAATTGTGTGTAGGAAAGATGATTTCCCGCCAGATGTCCCATTAACAAAAATTTTTTTCTTAAATTCAACAAATAAACCTCCAAATGTTGTTTTTTTAAATAAGGCAAAAATAATTAATTGTATATTTATTTTGAGGCATATAAATTCAAGAAAGGAGCATTTCCTTCTCTCTATTATATTCCCCTCCTTAACAACACAATAAACAACACTAATGGACTGACTTTTATTATTATATTCACCTTTTCCCCCAAAAATTTTTTTCGTTTCTTCTTCCTTAGTTTTGGGCCGTCTTTTCAATTTTTCGTCCATTTCCTCTTTTTTGCTCTTCAATTTTCTTTTCTCTCAATCCTTTTTAGGCCAATATTTGCTTTAAGCTCTCCACTTGGCCTTTCTTAGGAAATAAACTCACCTTTGGCAGAAAGAAGAGGAAAAGGGAGAGGAATTCCGATCCGTAAGGCCCCCATCTAATTGGAATTGGCCAACAGCCGGTCTACAACCAATTATCTCTTTTTTTGTATTGTTTACCGAGAATATTGGAGTAGGATGAGGAGGAATATAAGAAAATAGGAAGCAACAAATTGCCGTCGGCATTCAACCTTTTTGAGGCCCTTTTTTCAATTATTTCCAAAAGATGCGTCCAACCGCGATGATGATGTGGTGGTTCTACTACTAAATATTCTCTTTTTAAAAATATTTTAAAAAAGATTCTTTTTTGGTTTACTCTCCCGGATGCTTCCAACCAATAATCATTCAACAAAACAATTATCTTCTTCTTTTAAAAGAAAATATATTTTAGCTTGTCTCTTGTAGAACTTCTGCCCAAAAGATTTATTTTCCAGCCGAATATATATATTTTTGGTGTATAGATAAAGCAAAAATATACCTATTTATTTGTTTTACTTGAAAATATAAAATTAACACCTTTATAGGATAAATTAAGGAGAAAAAATTTTTTGGGAATAGGACAAGGGAAGCGAGGGGTAGTTAGACCTCCGGGGCAAAGAAAGGCAAACTCACCAAAAATTAAAGTTTGGTGTCTCATACTAACTAAATTTTTAAATAAAAATTTAAATTGTTAAAAAATTATTTTTAAGGAAACTAATCAAAACCAAAGCAATTATATTGATAATCCTCAAGAACAGCAACAACTTACTGAGAAAGAACGAATGATGATGACAGGGGAGAACAGTAATATGGAACGAACGGAAATATTTGGAGAACTAAAAGGAAGGGAAAGGTAAATAAAAAAATGATTTTTTATTTTCTAGAATTGGCACTTTCTTATAAGGATTGAGGAAATGTTATATGTAATATTAGGTGTTAGAAAAAATTTTTTGATTGAGATGGGAGAAATAACACAAAATATAAGGTGTGTATTTACTCTTCTTTTCCTTATTTTTAAGCAACAAAAGCCCTTAAGTGTTTGATATTTTTATCCAAAAAATTATATATTTACACATCTCGATATTGCCGGATTAAGTTTCTTAGTCACGCCTTTGAAAAAGTTTTTGACTCTCAAAACTGTCCATCCAACATTCATTTTAGAAAATCCTTAAAAAATTCCAACACCTTAACTTCATTTTTTAACTTTTAGAATCGATTATATTTATAGCAGGGAACGAGCCAACATAAAAAATAAATTCCCAATTTTAGGCAATTCAGGATCCCGACACAAAAAGACGTCGGGAATTCCCGATTTTCAGAAATCGGGACGGCTCGTTCCCTGATGTATAGTCATTCTCATCGGATTTATTTATAGTAAATAGCTACACTAAAATTCCTGGGACCCCTGTAAGACTTCTCTTAGTTTTTATTTAATCCTCTAAAAAAATTCCTGCACCCCAAAAAACTAACACCTTTTCAATACCTTTTTTTAAAAACTTTTATTTTATTTGGCTCTAAAAATTCTTCTTAAACAATAAAACTCTTCCAACAAGTGCTTCCAAATATCCTTTTCTTTTTTCCCCATTCTTCTCCAGAATTTTTATATATATCGCGCATTATTGCCTGACCTCTCTTCTTTATTTGTCTCCTTCGCCTATTTTTGGATTCAAAATATTCATTTTGCTTTTGTAAGGTCAGGATGGACACAAAAGATTTTTTAATAAAAAATGTAAAGGATTTTCTATTTTTATTTGTGTTTATCTCACAAAAATTGTAACAAATCCTTGTTAATTTACAATCATTTAAGACCGTTATTTTGTGTCCTTTTCCAGGTCTTACCTTTCTCAAAAAATTGTCTTTCGACTTAATATATTTTTAAGCTAGAAAAATTTTTCTTAAAAAAATTTCTTTTTATTTTCCTTATACGGAAAGATATATTTTTCAATTATTTTTTTTCTAAATTTCTATTCACCTCGCACTTTCATTTTCTTCCATTTTTTCATTCAACGCCGAAAATGGGACGAGCGGCACAATTTTCACTTTTCTTCTTCATTTTTCCATTCACTTTTTCCTAAGCCCTCCAGTCATTCTTTTATTCCTTTGTTTTCATCCGCTGCTGACCCAGATTGCGCCATCCGCGTGGAGAAGTAAAAAAGGAGGAGAGTGAATGAATGCCTGCAGATTTAAAGAAACGTAATGATCGTGCAATTACTTCTTTACAAAAAAGGAAAGAAAAGATTTTTTTTCTTAAAAATTAAAAAGTGAAGGGGGAGTGGAGAGGGGAGAGAAATCCTCTCTCGATCATTTTCTTTAAAAAAGAAGTGAAAGCTAAAAAAGGAAAAATTTACATCCTGTCCTCCTTTGCCCTTTTAATGATCTAACTTTTATGAAAAGATTGGTGAAAACAAAATCTTTTATTTTTTATTTGGGTTCATCCGTATAATTGCTCTTCATCCGGAACTGGCAATGCGCGAAAAAGGATAAAGAAAAGTGGGGGAATAAATGAATAGAAATTTAAAAAAATGTCAAGAAAGTGAAAAGGGTTTTCTTCATCTCTCTTTTTTAAAAATTAAGTTCATTCACAAAAAAATTTCCAAAAAATCCAAAAAATATAATTTTTATTTTTTAAGCAGTCCATCGTTAATATCATCATCAACAAATTCACGTTCATTAGAATCCCTTTCACGTCAATTACTTAAACGTCGTTATTATTATCGTTCTTCAATAAATACAGAACAACAACTACCAAAAACCTCAACAGATTCAGAACAAAAAAGAAAAGACGGTGGCCGTCATCGTCGTCGCAAACAAAGCCAACCAAAACCTAGACCTCGTATTAATTCTTTAGATTTGTTAGAAGAAGATAAACAAAAAGAATTAAAAAATCAAATAAAAAGTGAAAGTGATAAAGAAGATGATGAAATTTTGAATTTAAATAGAAGGTATTTTAAATAAAATTTAATAGGAAAAATATTAGAGTTCAACACCGGGACTGGGTTTTTCTTGTTTTAGCCCAGTTTTCATGGTTTTATTTTGATGAAATCTGGGTTTTAGGGTTTTTAGGCCCGGAAACCTCTGCGCGGGTCAGTTCAGGTAAAACCCACTGGGAACAGGCCTGGGAATTTGAAAATGTCTAACTCTAAAAATTAAATTAAGTTAGGGCACAATTATTCTCCTTATTTAAATTATTTCTTATAGGCAATCCTCATCGTCTAATCCTCATCAACACCGTCAAAGACGTGCATCACTTTGTGGTCTTCCCTCCTCAACTATTGGACATCGCTGTTTACTTTGTTCTAAAAAATTGTCTTCCGCCGGGTTATTTTAAATTTAAAATTTTATTTAAAAATATTTTTTCCTTAAAAAACAATTTTTAGGGGCTTAAAACAACACGGAAGTTCAGTCCACCATTCACCCAGTTCATTACATCCTCAAAAACCTTTTCGTTGCAATTATTGCCCCAGAGCATATACTCAACATTCAAACCTTTGTAGACATAAAAAAATACATTCTGAACGTTTAACAACAGAAATATCAATGAAGGCTTTTAATTCTTCTTCCAATTCTTCTTCAAATGCTAATTTAAATTTATTTAAACCTTTATTGCATTTGAACAATAATTTACAATTAATTCAACAGCAACAACAAAATATTGAAATACAGGAGAATAATAAGGTTCTTTTGATTAATTTTTGTTTAGAAATGGAGGCGGACCTCACTATAAGATACCCCCAAAATTAGATACACCTCTATTTAAGAGACGCTCTTTAAAATTTGGGTTGCTATTGGGTGGAGGAGATGTCAAGGCAATCCCCTCTATTCAATATACACCTCAGAGAAGGTACACCTCATTATAGATATACACTCTACTATAAGATACCCACAATACTAGATACACCTCTATTTAACGTTCTTATTCGGCTGAGGAGCTATCTAGATATTCCTTATTTATCCTCAGTAAAAGGTCTGAATTTTTTAACCCCAAGGGTGTACCTTATAATTAGATTCGACTGTTTTTATTAAAAAAAATAATTTTCATTTTTAAAGTTATTCATTCCCTCGTCCACAACACCAACAAATCCTTTAATTATTATGAATAGTCCGTTTTCCTTAAATAATTCTTTATCTAATCAATTATCAACAACACCATTTTCTTCTCCTTCCTCTTCTTCAAATTCTTCATTAGCATCTTCATTATTTCTTAAACAAATTCAACAACAACAATCAACTCCTTCAAATAATTTATTTTTAACACCAAAATCAACAACAACACAAATATTTCCTTCTCCAAATTTTTGGCAAAATAATAATCAAAATAATTCTTCTTCTTCTTCTCTTTTTCCTTCATCAAATAATTTTTGTTATTTATTACCAAGACATCCATCTACTACATCATTAACACATTCTTCTTCTTTTTTGGCTATGGCAGCTGCTGCTGCTATGGCTAGAAATTTAAATTCAGGTAATTTTGAGAGAGGTTTTTTATTTAAATATTTTTTTAAAGTTAATAATCATTCATTTAAATTAAACAATGGAATAAATATTGAAAATGAAAATTTGTTTTCGTCGTCTAATCTTTTTAACAATAACGACTCTATTCGAAAAACTAAATTGACAAATTCTGATGGGGAAAGTTCACCAGATCCAAGCTCTACAACTGAAGAATGTGGATCTTCTGGCTTATCTCATTTGGATATGTAAGCCTTTGCCTTTTTAAGAAAATAAAAAAATAATTTCCCCAAGCGGACTCGAACCCACGACCTTAAGATTATATGTTCTCAAGTCCGCTTAGGGGGTCATGGGTTCGAGCCCGCTTGGGGGAAATTATTTTTTAATTTTCTTTTTTTTAAGAAAAAAAGTCTTTTATTATTTCCTATAGCATAAATAAATATTCTATTCTTTATTTAAATAGAGAACATCGGCAATCATCATCACCAAATTCTTCTTTAAACACTTCTGGAAGAAATAAATTAATTATATCCTCATCATCCCCACTTTCAGATTTATCAATTTCAACAATTCCTGAAGGACAACAAAAGAAGCATGAAAAGGAAGAAAAATATGAATTAGGGCAACAACAAGCAATTATAGATCAACCAACATTAGCTTCTTTATATTCTGCTAGTGCTTTTCTTGGATTACTTCAAAGAGGGGGAGTTGGAGGAGGGGGATGTATTAATAATATTCCTGTTACACAACAATTTGTAAGTTTAATTTTTTATTTGTTCTTGTAAGCTAATTCTATCCTAGAAAATTTGTATAATCTTTGCCTTTTCAAAAAAAATTATTTCCCCAAGCGGACTCGAACCCACGACCTCAAGAGTTCGAACTTAACCAGGCCTTGAAGTCATGGGTCATGGGTTCGAGTTCGCTTGGGGAAATTATTTTTTTAATTTTCTTAAAAAGGCAAAAATCTCCTCTTTTGGGCTAAAGGGGTTATTTTTAAAGAAAATTTAATTTCAAAAAATTTTTAAAGTCAGCATTACCAAATCAATGGCAATCTACAACAACAAATATTAATGATAATACTTCTCCATCTGTTATTAAACTGGGACAAAAACAACAAAAAGAAACAAAGAACAATATAAATGAATTATTAAAAATTAATCAAAAAATATCAAAAAGAAAATTGGAAGGAATTGGGAAAATTACTCAAAGAAAAGGGATTAGAAAAAGTAGAGAAGGCAAAATTAATGGAACAAGAATTACTGGACAAACAATTAAAGAACGTTATCAATGCAGATTTTGTCAAAAAGTATTTCCACGCTCAGCTAATTTAACTAGACATTTGAGAACACATACTGGAGAACAACCATATAAGGTAAGAGAAAAAAATTTGGTGGACTGGTATCCAAAACTTACTCTTAAACCAAGAGTGTTCAGGTGGCTCAGTCGGTAAAGCCCCCGCACGTGGTGGGCGGAATGAAGTAAGGTGTAGAAGGTTCGATTCCTTTTAGGTCCCTTTTTCTCTCTTAACTTCTACTTGACTTTTACTTTATTCTTTTTTGTTTGACAAATCATTTAAATTATTTTAATTTTTTTAAAATTCTTTATAGTGCCAACATTGCGAACGTTCTTTCTCAATAAGTTCAAATTTACAACGTCATGTACGTAATATACACAACAAAGAAAAACCTTTTCGGTTCGTTATTTTAATTATATTTTTAATTTAAATATTTAATTTTCACTAGTTAGATGTTCACATTGTGACCGTTGCTTTGGGCAACAAACAAATTTGGACAGACATTTAAAAAATGCTAAAGGACATCACGAACAAACTGAAAAAATGCCCGCAGATTCGACAACTAGTGGTGGACAAATTTTATTAAGCAGAAAAAATTCTTTTTCTTCAAATAATTCTTCCACTCCACCAATCATTCAATCGGCAAAAAATAATAAAAAAATAAAAGGAAACAACAATAGTATGTTTAGCAGTATTTCTAATTTTTTCTCTTCCCAGACAGAAATTAATAATAATTCAAATAATTAAAAAAAATTTTCAGAAAAAAAAATATTTTATTTAATTTCCCTAATATATTTTTAATAAATATGTTAAAAATTGTTCCAACAATTTAATATTTCCTCTAACATTTATTACTCATTTTACCCAAAAATTTTAATATTTTTTTAAACCCAAAATATTTTCGATTCGTTTTGTGGAAACAAAATTTTATTAATATAAATTACAATTTTATATTATTCTTCAATTTATATATTGTATAAATATGTCTTTAATTAATATACAAATATATTGTCCCATAAATTCTCACCCCCAAATAATGAGCCTCGAAAAATCTCGAAGAATTCGGTTTTTCGAAATTGTGAGGGAAGTTTATGGTACATTTTTTACAACAAATTAATTTTTAAATAAATATAGGTATTTGTCTTTTCAAAATTAAAATAAATTAATTAAGAATACCAAAATCATTTAAAGTAAACTTCTTCAACGGTTTATTTGTTTTATCCAATAAAAGAGAAACTTCCTTCAATATATTTTCGTGAACATTTTCTATTGAGAGTGAAGCATCAATTCTCTTTAATAAAAATTAAAAAATAGATAAATAAAAATAAAAAAAACCTTCCAAGAATTTTTGTCAAAAAGCATTTCCATTTTTTCATAAACAATTTGTTGAAATTCACTTTAAAATTTTTATTAAATTATAGGGTTTTTCTAGGCGGGAGAAGGTGGAGGTCCGGAAAACTTTCGAGAAGCTAGTGCCATGGAATGGAAGGGGCATTTTCAAAAATCTCAAATTTCTCAACTTTATCTCTTAAGGAGCACACCACTTAATTATTTTACCTTCTTTCCATTATTTCTTCTCCAAATCCTCCACGTTTGCTTGTATTTGCAGGAGAAACATCAAAAAATAAAACCAAATCCGGACGAATTAAACCAACTTCAGGTTGACAAGCCCAACATTTATTAATTCCTTTAGCCATAGAATAAGCAATTCCCGAATAACTATAACTACAAAAATAATTTCTTAACAATCTTCTTAATTTAAATATTTACCGATCAACAATTAAATTCTTTCCAGAAAGCAATTCTTCTCGCATTTTTGAATTTAAAAGCCATCGATTGGCAGAAAATAGAAGATGTATAGCTTCAGAATTCTCGTTTAAATTTTTTGCATTTTTGAGGAATTTATTGATAGCTGGTCCTGTTGTTGGTTCTTCTCTGTCTATTAAAAATAAAGATCTAAAAAACTTTGAAAGAAAAAAACCTGGAAAGCGTTGAATTCTAGCATCAATACCCAAACTTTTAAAATGTTCAAACAATAGACGTGCCTGAGTTGTTTTTCCACTTCTATCAAGCCCTTCTAAAACAATTAATAAACCTCTTGATGTGAGAGTATTTTGCGAACTTCCCATAGCTATATTTATATATTTTGTTAAGAAATAATAAAAAATATTAAAAATAATTTTAAATAATTATTTAAAAATAAAATTAAAAACATTTAAATATTCCTCATTTTATCTAACAAACAAATCATCTCTCCTTTAAAGGAAGTCAAAAAAACGAGAAAAACAAAATTTAACTATTTTTACTGAAAAGAAAAAACTTGCTTTTACTTTTCTTTATAATATTCATCTAAATATACTCATCCTTCTTTAATTCCTGTTTATCTACCAATGATACAATGCCTCCTTTGTATGATCAAAATCATTTAATATAAGTCCTCTATAAAAAATAAAATTTAAAAAAGGCTAACGAAGTCTAAAAAACCTGATAACAAAGAACATCAACATTATAAGAAAATAATAGCGAGCAAAAAACTCAACAGGATTCGGAAAATAAGCACCACTAAAGTAATCACGGCGATACAGATAAATCAAACGACAGAATTCCGCCCAACTTAAAAAATACATTTAAAAGAATGGTATTATCTAGCTTACTGGTCCCTAGAAAAAATGAGCAAGAAGTCCTCTTCCTATATTTTTGAGGTTTTCCAGTAGGCAATCGACTGTGACGAGAGAACCGAATTCGACCTGACAGAATTCAAGTTCAGGAAAATAAATAAAATTCTTCTGGAAAACATCAAAGCTTCTTCCTTATTTTTTCTAGGGACCAGTAAACTAGACAATTACTGAAAGAATTACATGGCTGAAGGCGAATAATCACGACGTCCAAACCAAGCACGCAGATCACGCAGTTTTACTTCAGAGAAAGGAATATCCTCTAAAAAATTATCTTGTTAATTTAAAGATAAAAGGAATAACAAACGATTTTTCCCATAATAACGCCAATGACAATAAATTCCATGAACACGAGGATTCCAATCCTTTGAATAAAGTCCAATTTCTGTCTTGTTAAACACATTATTGTAAAAGTAGACTCCTTGGCGCTCCATAAAACGTCCAAAAGCCTTGTTAAAACTAAAGAAAAAATTGTTTTTTTAGAATTAAAATAACAAAAACATACGTATTATAAAACCAAGGCATTGGAAAATCCCGAGGATTTTTAGGTTTTTCGAATAAATATGGCTTTGGTGGCATCTCCTTACGAAACCAATCCACGACACGATCCAGACGAGCTTTACCTCTGATTTGAGACATTTTGCAAACTAAATTATTTATCTATTTTTTATATATTTCTTTTGCCATTTAAGAATATTTGTTTCAGGATTCAAAAATTTGCCCTATTTGGCATAATGCAAAACATTAAGAATAAATGACACTTCATCCCAAAAATCAATAATCGATTTTTAATGACTCATCTAGTGTTCTCTGTTGCCATTTATAGCAAAGATGTTCTACGACAGAATGCGTGGCTTTTCCTTTTTTTGGGATTAACCTTTTTAGGGGGTGGGGTGGGGGGTAGTTATGACTTGCGGACAAGACTTGCTTTTTATAATTTTTAAAAAAATGTAAACATTTTTTTTTCAGTACTTCAACAGCAACACAGCAAAAGCCCCGGAGTCTCTTCGGAGATATTTGGGCAAAAGCCCCGGAGTCTCTTCGGAGATATTTGGGCAAAAGCCCCGGAGTCTCTTCGGAGATATTTGGGCAAAAGCCCCGGAGTCTCTTCGGAGATATTTGGGCAAAAGCCCCGGAGTCTCTTCGGAGATATTTGGGCAAAAGCCCCGGAGTCTCTTCGGAGATATTTGGGCAAAAGCCCCGGAGTCTCTTCGGAGATATTTGGGCAAAAGCCCCGGAGTCTCTTCGGAGATATTTGGGCAAAAGCCCCGGAGTCTCTTCGGAGATATTTGGGCAAAAGCCCCGGAGTCTCTTCGGAGATATTTGGGCAATGGCTTCACTCCAACAGTGCAACGATTAAACTCCAATGCTCTCGTCTACATGGTTTGTTTTTTACTTTATTAAATTCGCAAGTTTTGTCCGCAAGGTTTCTCCCCTAAATGTTTATCCTTTCCCAATGTTAAAGCCAATTAAATGATGGCAATTAAATTAAATAAAAGTTCTTGTCAAATGAGAAGACATATAGCAGATGTTCCATTGGTCAAATGCATTGATTTGTTTGTTTTGAATGGTTGATCTTTTTATAGGTTGTTTTTATCTTCAAAAATTTTTTTAATTACTTAATTTTCAGCTTTGAGAAAGTATCCAGAAGCCTTAAAAATTTCTAAGAGGTCTAAGGCCCAGTGGTCTCTTCGGAGATTGCCCCAGCCCTTCCTCAAATTTTTTCCTTTTTCCCATTTCGGGGGGGGGGGGAATTCCCCCCCTCACCCCCTGGCTACGGGCCTGTGTTTGAATGTGGGGGCTTTAAGGGTCATTCGTGGTTAGGTTTGTTAAGCCTTTACAAACAACACAAATTCCTGCCCTTTTTGTTTCTTTAGAATGTATGGGCGAACTTGAAGAACAATTGGTGAAATATGGACAAGAACTGAGTGTCTACAAGGACAACAATGGTAATTTTTTTAGTTAGGAGGTTTTTTGGGTGGATTTCTGAATGAAATGGGGTCTTAATTCACGTAAAATCCTTTTTTCTTTCAGACTTGAACAATTCCCAGCAACATTATCAACAGGAAAAGCAACAACAAGATGGACATTTAATGGATTTCAAGCGAAGTGGTGCTTCTACAACAATCTAATTTGAATTTTTGGTAATCTTCCGCTTTACTGGTCCCTAGAAAAAAATGAAGAATAAATGCTAGTTTGACATTTTTGAGGCATGCCAGTAGGTAATCGAGCTTGCTGAGTCCGAATCTGAGCTTAGAATTTGTTTATTTCGAACCCCGGACCCGAATTCGACCATGTCAAACAAAGGGTAAAAATTCGAAATTTCAAATTTTATGTCTAATCGGATTCGTTTCTTCGAGCTGAGTCGATTGGCATCAAAATTATTACGTTTCGACATCTTTAGACTAAGTTATGATGTCTGATTTATATAAGGAAGTCTAACCAAGCGTTATTTAATTTATCATAACTCAGTCTAAAGTTGTCGAAACACAATAATTTTGATATCATTCGACTCAGCTTGAAGAGATGCGTCAGAATAGCGATAGCCTAACAGTTTCGAATTCTTACCCCGAATTCGACTTGGTCGAATTCGGGTCTGGGATTCGAAATAAACAAATTCTAAGTTCATATTCGGACTCAGAACACTCGTTTACCTACTGGCAGACCTCAAAAATATCGAAAAAGTACTTCTACCACATTTTTTTCTAGGGACCAGTAAAGCGGAAGATTACCGAATTTTTTTGTTTCTTTTTTTTTGTTTTTTTTTCTTCCTTTTTTTCTCTTTTTTTTTTTAATTTGTTGGGTTTTTATTTTTGTTATAAAATGCTTTAGCTTTGTTTTTATTGTGTCTTGTAGAAACTTAGACAGGACTCAACCGTCCTGTCTTAACTGTGATGTTACTTAATAAAGAATCTCGAGTGATTCCCTGTTGTTTAGAGAAATTATAAAAGAGAAATAGTGTAGTTAGAGAAAAAAATAAATATAAGTAATTATGGCCGGTTCGGTGCTCATTGAGAGCGGAATGGGGAAAGTTGAAAACCCGATTTTGGTGAAAATTAGAAATTCCTTCAAATAAATTATCGATTACTATTGATTTTATCGATTATTTTGGAAAGAAAAAATATTTTAAAAAATAATTATCGATTTTATCGATTAGTATCGATTTTTTGAAAATTTAACTTTTTAAAAGTATTTTGAAAATACGTATCGATTTTTTTATCGATTGATATCGATTTTTTGAAATTAAAAATATCTAAGAACTATTCTTAAAAATAATTATCGATTGATATCGATTTTATCGATTAGTATCGATTTTTTTAAAAATAAAATTTTTTAAGAATTACCCTCTTCGCACTCAAATGCCGCACCCAACCGTCCTATTTAATTTCTTTAATTTTAGTAGCCAGACTCAAGTGTCCAATACTCAACAGAATTAATTTTTGGGGTAGGGGATCATTGAGTCCCGCCGGTTGAGTCCCTGGGCCATATTTTGGGCCATAACTTTTTGAATTTTTAACGAATCAGAATAAATCTTTTATCATTCGAAAGCCCTGAATGTGAGGATTATTTTTGCCAACTAAATTGATTTGATCAGATCATCCTACAAAAAGTTACATTTAGATAAGTGTGCGCAATCGCGATTTTTGACCTTTATTAGGATGTAACTTTTTGTATATTGATCTGATCAGATCAATCCTGCTAGTTAAAATAATCCTTACATTAAGAGCTTTCGTTTAAAATATTAATTAAGTAAATCGATTAAGAATTGGGAAAGTTATGGTCCAAAATATGGCTCCGGGACTCAACCGGCGGGACTCAATGATCCTGTTCCGTAATTTTTGGGATAAACTGTCATTTATTTGGCGCAATAGATATTACGCCAAATTTGGCAAATTTTTAAATTGAATAAAATTTCAAATTTTCCACAAAATGAATTTTATTTTTGTAAATTTTTTTGGGATTAAACCAAACAATTTTTTGGTTGTTTATTAAGACTTTGAAGAATAAAATAATATAAACTAAAAAACCATAAAGTATTTATCGTGATTTAAAAAAACTGGAAATTTTACAAAATGACAAAATTAAAATTATCAACTGAAATATGCTCTAGGATTACTCAATCTTCGTAAATGTGTTGTTGCTTTTGTTCCTGAAGTTGTTGAAGAACCAAGAAGTGAAGTATTTGAAGAATTATTAGAAGATGATGAAGTAACGAAAGAAGGCAATATTGTTGCTAATGAACTTCTTTTACCACGAGGAAAATGCATTGAAGCGATATTCCGATACTGACTTAAAAAACAGAATATATTTGTTACAAAGTTGATTCTGATTTATTAATTCTGATTTTTAAAATAATTCTGATTTTTTATTCTGATTTTTAAATTCTGAAAATTGGGTTTCCCTTTCAGGTACAGTAACCTTTTCGCTCTAAACTGTGGCACTGAGACGACCGCATTTAATTATGTTCTCTAACAACTTTTTTTTCTATTTTATTTTGTTGTCTAACACACTATTTCTTTCTTTTTTGTTCTCTAGCTTTGTAGTTGTCATTTCTTTTAATCGGGGTGGGGGACGTTTGAGTATCGACAACGGAATAGCGTTTTATGGCCATAACTTTTTGTTACATTAATATAGGAAAGAAATTTATATATTATTCGAAAGGTCTCGAGATGCCGCATCTTTTTTATAATTAGACTAATCCGATCTAAACGTCTATATTTAAAGTTATAGGTGATATACCATATTTCAGGCAGAAAAAAGCAATTTTATGGCTGTAACTTCTTTTTGAATGTTAAGATTAGATAGGTCCAGTTATAAAAAAGGCTCAGAATCTTGAGAGCGTTCGAATGATATGAGAATTATTTGAATAGGGCGGAAATACATGTAGAAATACAGTAGCTATCCCGCTCTCAGATTTGGCACTCAACCGACCCTACATTTCTCTAACCCTAATTCTATTTTCTTTTTCTCTAAATTAAGGGACAAAATGTCATTTATAAAAGGCTCCCATACAAAATCTCTATTCCTTAAAATCGCTATTCCTTAAAATCTCTACTAGGGTAAGAATGCTTAAAATCTCTATTCCTTAAAATAACTATTCCTTAAAATCTCTACTGGGGTAAAAATAATTAAAATCTCTACACCGTGCAAATGGACGGTAGAGTCTCAACAAAAGTGTAAAATATGAACTATTCATTGGAAAACCCAGACTTGGTAATGGATACGGATATAATTGATTTAAAAATGGCTGCGGATATCTGCTTGTATCCGCTGTAAATATCGAAGATATACATAATACACGACTGCTTCGCTGCGGTCGTGTTCATTTTGCTTGCGGTGATCGTATCGAAGCGGCTGCTGTCGTTCCGCTGGACATGCCTGGGTTCATCCGCAGCGGCAAAAACAATACAAGCAAAATAATATCAAAAGATAAGCCAGAAATCAGAACAACGTTTCCGCACTGAACGTTGGCACTCAAAAGGCTTCCGAATGAAAAAATAGACATTTTATCCTATTTTTGGCCGTGTAGAGATTTTAAGGCATTTTACCCTGTAGAGATTATGAGGAATAGAGATTTTAAGGAATAGTTATTTTAATCATTTTTAGCCGAGTAGAGATTTTAATGCATTTTAGCTGTGTAGAGATTATAAGGCATTTTAGCCCAGTAGAGATTTTAAGGAATAGAGATTTTGAGGGGATACGTTATAAAAATTTTACATCTCTAAACCTCCACTTACTCCATCATATTTTTTCTCTACCTGCTACATCACATCTTACTTAAAAAAGAGAGAAGGTAGATTGCCGACGGTTGAGTCCAGGCGCCAAGGCACTTAATTGATCATCAAATTAATCGCTTATACACTCAAAATGGAGTAAAATTGAGCTTCGTTTTCTCAAACAATTAGCATATTCACGTCAGACCTTGAAATTCGAAAAAAACGGGCCAGATGAGGTTACAAAAACATCCAAAAAATGTAATTATTTTCTCCAGAGGATACAAACCCTACAAATACCAAGTAATGGCCCAAGGTATGGCTCAACCCGCGAGACTCAATATCAATTATCCTCAACCCCAAAACCTGATAACGTTTGATAATTTTTAAATTCTCATTTGTAAACTCAAACAAAGAAACAAAAAATCGTTAATCTATTTATACAAAATTTTTACCATCGGCTAAAATTTAGAAAAATTATTCTTAATAAAAAAATTTGGAATAATTTCGGAATACTAAACAGACTCCGATTGGGACAAATTATATGTCATTCGATTCAGCTCGGCGAGCTGAGTCGAATGACATCAAAATATCGATTGGGACGTAACTATGGGCCGAGATACAGGGCTCGAAATGGTCAAAAACCATAGGAGGGACCAAGCACTATTTTGGGGTGAAAAATTCGAAAATGCAAATAATACCTCATTCGAAAGAGCTTGACGAGCTGAGTCGAATGATACCAAAATCGCCGTGATTGAACACGATTAGACAAAGTTATAACACAAAAAACAAAAAGCCTAAACCTATGGGTCGTCGGCGAGGCGCTTGTGCAAAACCCCGCGCTTCGCGCGGGGTTTTGCGGCACGCGCCTCGCGGGGAGTCTACGGGCGTTGGGTCTGGGCTCGTAACATAAACCTATTCCTATCTCCCTTGCTCTGGACGTATTTGGGGCCTCCGTAGCAGCATAAATCTCCACAGATGCCATAGGTAAGGAGCTAAAATAAAAGATCATAACTTTGTCCAATCAAGTTAGATTTCATTGATTTTGGTGTCAATCGACTCAGCTCGATGAGCTCTTTCGAATGAGGTATAATTTGCATTTTCGAATTTTTCACCCCAAAATAGTGCTTGGTCCCCCCTATGGTTTTTTGAAATTTAAGGTGCTGTATCTCGGCCCATAGTTACGTCCCAATCGATATTTTGATGTCATTCGACTCAGCTCGCCGAGCTGAGTCGAATGACATATAATTTGTCCCAATCGGAGTCTGTTTATTATTCCGAAATTATACCAAAAATTTAATAAAAAACCAGTAAAAGGAACAGAAAAAAGCAATTGTTCGTCAACATCGCTGTGAACAAAATCTTTTCTGAAAAATTAAAATTTTATTCCAAAAATTTTAAAGTAAAAAAGGAAAAGAAACCCCCTCTCTCTACCCCCTGGTTACGGCCCTGAACCTCTGCCTATTTTTGCTGCGGTCGGCATCCCTGGCTTCCTCCGCAGCAGCAAAAACCTCAACGATGACCACAAGAAGAGCTCAAACAAACGATCTTACAATTAGTCAAACTTGTTAGATCGCGTTGATTTTGGTGTCACTCGATCCACATCATCTCGTCGAGCTTTTCGAATGACGGTAATTTGTCGAAATCGAGGGAGGGGGGGGGGCAACAAACCTCTATAGTTACTACCCAAGGAAAGCAACCGGGTGGAGATTTAAACATCGATAACGGAGATTTTTTAAATTAATAGGTTCTAAAGAGGGACAAAACTTGAAAAGACAAACGAAAAATTATGGAAACCAAATAATCAAACCAACCAATTAATTTTCAAACCTAATTTGCTGAATTCTAACGAAAGATTGTAGTTCTTCAGTGATTTTTTCTGCTGATTCGGTTCTTCTAAAGCCTTCACATCAAATAGATTGTCTTCCCCCAACAATTCTGTGCCCTAAAAAATAATCTTGAGGCCATAGTAAATAACCAAAAATAACCTCTCTAAAAGTTTTAATAGCTTCTGGAACTCTCTCAAAGCTGAAAATTAAGTAATTAAAAAACCTTTAAACATAAAAACAACCTATCAAAAGATCAACCATTCAAAACACGCAAATCATTACATTTAACCAATTGAACATATGCTGTACGTCTTCTCATTTTCAAGAACTTGGCCACCGTTAAATTGGCTTTAACATTGGGAAAGGATAAACTTATATAGGGGGAAACCTTGCGGACAAAACTTGCGGATATTTAATAAAGTAAAAAAAAAACAAACCATGTAGACGAGAGCATTGGAATTTATGTAGACGAGAGCACTGTTTGGAGTGAAGCCAGACTGCCCAGATATCGCCGAAGCGAAGAGTGGGACTTTTTCTGCCCAGATATCGCCGAAGCGAAGAGTGGGACTTTTTCTGCCCAGATATCGCCGAAGCGAAGAGTGGGACTTTTTCTGCCCAGATATCGCCGAAGCGAAGAGTGGGACTTTTTCTGCCCAGATATCGCCGAAGCGAAGAGTGGGACTTTTTCTGCCCAGATATCGCCGAAGCGAAGAGTGGGACTTTTTCTGCCCAGATATCGCCGAAGCGAAGAGTGGGACTTTTTCTGCCCAGATATCGCCGAAGCGAAGAGTGGGACTTTTTCTGCCCAGATATCGCCGAAGCGAAGAGTGGGACTTTTTCTGCCCAGATATCGCCGAAGCGAAGAGTGGGACTTTTTCTGCCCAGATATCGCCAAAGCGAAGAGTGGGACTTTTGTTGCTCCGCTCCAAACACTAAAAATGGGATTCTATTTTTAAGAATTACGGTAATAGTGTCGTTTCCAGTCCACATTTTTTCCTCCCAATTTTTTACCCTATGTTTGTACGGAATGGTCAAATTTTCCCCTTTCTTTCACCAAATTTGCCTTTCCATATTTTGCCTAAAAACAATTAAAAAGACTTCTTTTTCCTTCTATAATAGCCAGAAAACATTTTCCATGCTTGTTGTTTCTCTTTTTAAAAGAACTGAATAAAAAGTTAATCTTTTTGATTGTTTTTAGGCAAAATACGGAAAGGCAAATTTAGTAAAAGAAAGGGGAAAATTTGACCATTCCGTACAAACATAGGGTAAAAAATTGGGAGGAAAAAATGCGGACTGGAAACGACACTATTACCAGAATTACACCTAAACAAACGTTTTGTATCGGCTGCTGAACAACTAAAAAATTGTATTAATTTTTTAAAAATTATAAAGAGCAAGTCTTGTCCGCAACTCAATACTACCCCAGATCCCTAAAAAGGTTAACCCCAAGAAAAGGAAAAGCCACGCATTCTGTTTACCTTTGCTATTAATGGCAACAGATAACACTAGATGAGTCAACAAAAAATCGATTATTGATTTTTGGAATGAAGTATCATTTAATCTTAATATTTTGCATTATGCCAAATAGGGCAAATTTTTGAATCCTGAAACAAATATTCTTAAATAGCAAAAGAAATATAACAGTTTTAAACCGATTTATGCATTTCTAATTTTAAATTGGAAATTTGTTCTATTATGTCAAAAAAATGGAGTAAGTTTTCAGTCTGTTTATCCACGCCTCACACGCTTGTTTTTCGGTTTTTGTGAATTTTTCAGTAACATTAGTTTGTTTTCAGATATTTTTTGAAAATGACATCACAAAAAATTGTTGAGAAAGCTTCTTTTGACAAAGCTTACAACTTCTATCGCAACAAAAATGATAAAGCAGCTATTGGTGTGCTTCGAAAATTAAATCAAAATGAGCCACGAGTTATGGAACTTAAGGCACAAATTGCCTATAGAATGAAAGATTTTGAAGAAGCAATGAATTTATTAAGGTTATTTTTAAAAAAAAATAATTTTTAGAATTTTAGTTAATTTAGAAAATTATTGCGAACACATAGTGACGAATTTGACGAAATCCGCCGATCAAATTTTATAGCAGTCCAAGCCCGTCTTCATTCCCAAGGAAATACTCAAGAAGTAGATCTTGTTAGTCTGGATAAATTTAATTTGATGTTCAATGCAAGTTGCCATTTAATTGCAAGTGGAAAATTAACAGAGGCACATGAATTGCTTTGCAAGGCTTTAGGTTTTGTTTAAAAATTAAATCTAAAAATTAAATTTTTCTAGAAGAGTGTAAACACTCTTTAGCTAAAGAGGGACTTGATGAACTTGCTATTAAAAGAGAAGAAGCTCCTATTAGAACGCAAATTGCTTATGTTCTGAAGGAAATGGGGAATGACAAGGAAGCATTAAAAATTTATCTACAAGTCTTGAAAACAAAGTAAAAATGTTTTTTTTAATATTTTAAGAAGTAATGGGAAGCTTAAGAATAACTCTTGAATATGACAATTTATATGTCGTTCGACTTTTTGACCCCCTTCCAAAATCAGCTTGCTTTCTCCTATGGTTTTTGGGGTTTCACGGGTCTGATATCGGGAGATCCACTCACCGAGCTCTTTTGTATGACATATAAAGTATTTTTAAATCTCACCGAATTAATTTTTTTTAGAAATTTGGAATGGAAATTAAGATCAACAATTTTGACTAACTTACAGGCTGGTTATGAAAAGTTTGGGAAGCGTTGGAGAGCTATAAAGCCAAAGTCTGAACTCGCGAAAGAACAAAAGGTAAACTAATTAGAAATTATAAAAAATAAATTTAAATTTAAAGGTTAAAAAGTCACTCCGAAAACGAAAACGGCGGCTGCCAGCAAATTACGACCCTGCAGTTCAACCAGATCCTGAACGTTGGCTACCTCGACAGGAACGTACGGCATATCGTAAGAAAATGCATAAAAAATTCAAGGATCGGGAAATTGGAAAGGGGACACAAGGAGCTGCTGCTGCAACTACTTCGGCTAATATGTAAATTTTTTAATTGATTAATTGAACTAAAAATTTTGACAAAAATTTGGATAAGTGAAACTTTAAAATATTTATATTTTCAGTGATTACAGCACGAAATCTGCTACAGTTGGGACTGCTCCTGCACCAACATCATCATCACAAGCACCACAAAAACCTGCAGAAGGACCTCGACAACAAAGACCAAACCAAGCCAAAAAGATAAAGAAAAAGAAGGGGGGAAAATGGTAAATGCATATAAATTATTAGCTAAATTGTGTTTTTTGTTTAATAAATAAAATTTTGTTTAAAATATTTAATAATTTTATTTTAAGATAAAACTATTTTATATATGTCTATATTTATATATAGGTATTTTTGAGAGTAAATATTTCTAAAAAACTAATCTTTTGACTAAAAAATTGGAAATCCATTTTTAGTATAAAAATATACAACAGCAATTGCGGCTACACCTCCAAACACAGCAAAAGGTCTAGCAAATTCATACACGTTAAGACGTAGAGAACTTCCCCTTCTTTCGAGCAACATTTGCATATTCTAATAAAAAAATATTTTTTATAAAAATTTAAAGAAAAACCTCTCTATTAACATTATCAATCTTTTCCATTATATCCTTCTGTCTGCGTTGCCGTTCACGTATTTTGTCATATTCTTTTTTATATTCATGAAGAACTGTTGGAGGGTAACTTCCATAGAGAGAACGGGCTGTTGAAACTATTCGATTGCAATTAATCTCTGCTGGGACCTAAAATTTTTAAACATTTCTAAAAAAATTTAAAAAATACATGATTTAATAATTTGTGCATTAATGGCATTTCTTTTTCACAATTTAATATTTCTTCTCTTCTCTCACAAATTAAAGCTGCACTAACATATATAGGCATAAGATAATCAGAACATAAGAAAAAGTCAAAGAAGAGAGTCACCTTTAGTAAAAGAAATTTTTTAGGTAAGAAATAATTTCAAAAAAAACCTGAGAATGATGTTGTAAAGCATGTGAAAACCAAGTCACTTAATTTAAAAAAATAAAATTTTATTAATAAAAAGTCTGGCATTTCTAGCTCTAATGAGGGAAACAGTTGGGGTACATGTGTGCAAAAATAAATTCTCCACTTTTTGGGGATTGGGTTTCTAGACCTCAAATCTAATCCTTATTGTTAACATTTTATGACTCCTTTTCTACATTATTAACAAAAAATAAATTCCTTACATGGCCAACTAAGAGCAAATAAAGTACCCAACTCCAAACCACGCAGTTGTTCTTCAACTTCTCTGTCATGCAAAAATAAAAGAACATAAATATCATCCAATTCTTTTAAAACACTTTCTTCCAACGAACAAGATAAATAATTGCCAAAAGACCCGCGCTGACAAATAGATTGCACTGCTTTAAAAGCCTCATCAGGATCCAATATAAGCAAAAAAGTTAAACAAACATCATGAAAGCCTTTAAAAATAGTATTAAAAATAGTAGGAGACAGGTAAAGGTTTAGCTTAGGGCAAACACCGATCCAGCGACTTCCACGCAGTTATTGCTTATATAAGTGCCTTCACTCACAAGTAGAAGTGAACGAAAACGTTTAGCGAAAGCTGAATGGAATTTCTCCATATTTTTTACTGATCCTAAAACTCGTCCCACACGGAAGATGGGGATAAGAAGGAATTAAAATGGCACAATAACATTCAAAACCCCTCAAAAATGAATTCGATTAACCTTGATAATAATGAAAATCCTCATTTTGGTATAATATTCGAACAATTAAAGGTGTCAACTGTTGTTGAAGCCTTTCCCTTTCAACATCCTCAATGTCAGGCGGAAACCGCGAAAGCGTTCTTATTACATCCAATTCAACTTGTTTCCAGTCTGGATGTGATTGAAGTTCTTCTATTGGAATTTCTAGAGGCTTTAATAAATTAATTAATTTTATAAATTTAAGAAATAAAATAAACTTGTGAACTAGAAGCAACACAATTGTCGAGAGTAATATCGTCATCTTCTTCTTCTTCTGATGAGTCGGAAAATGTAGATAGAGCAGATTCAAAGTCTGAGTCAGATATGTTAGAAGTATTTGCCTTATCACTATTGTTGTTACACTTAAATTCGACGATTTCAAAGTGTTCGCGAGATGTTGAATTGCAGCGTTTAGCTAAAGGAATACTTTTAGCTAATACAGGCCAAATCCTAAAAATAACCAAATTTATTTCGTTATTTAGAATAAATTGACTAATGAAAGAATTTTAAAAAACCTTTACTTTTTCCTAAAATCATCAGATATTAATCCTCCAGATGAAACAGCAAATCCACAAAAATGTTGAAGGTGGACATCCAAACAATTGCCGGTTTCCATTAAAACATCGGAAATTTTTGAGCATTTCTTCGCCAAAGAGAGGGATAAAGCATTAGAAATTGGTGTTAACAAGGTAGTTTGATCTTCATTAGACGACATTATCACAGAAAATACGAACAAACCAAAAATTGAAAACGATTCTTATTTAAAAATGCCTGGCACTCAAACGGCTTACTTGATGTTTATAAAACGGCGAAATAGCGTTGTAAAAGAAAAAGAGCAAATAAAAATAAATCATGGTAGACATCAGAAGAAATTCGAGTACAACTTGTAAGAAAGCTGTTTGAGTGCCAAGCAAGAGATGATTTTAGGGAGCCAAGCAAGAGATGATTTTAGGGAGTACCTTGGTATTTTTTTAAATTATTTAGGTGCTGGTTCAGCAATGGCTTTAAAATTATCTTTATTTTACGACATAAAATCTCCAAATTCTTGGATCTTCTTTAAGGTTATTTCTTGTTAAATTTAATTTTTAATTTATTTTTAAAGGTTTTAAGGCAGAAAATACCAGAATGGATGAAATATCGACAAATATCAATTGAATATTTTCCTGTTAATTGTACTTTTTTGCATAGAGAGATATGTAGGTTTGTTTATTTTTAAATGTTCGTATTTGGTTCCCGTTGTTTCTTAATGTCTCCGTTCTTTTTCACATACTCACATCAGTCGATATTTCTATTTGGCACGCTCCCAGTAACAAACGGTCAGCTAGAGGTCGAGCTGGGTCTTTGCCTGGTCCCATACCTGTGCCTAACCTGGATTTTCCATGTAACCATACCCATCCATTTTTTTGCTTCCTTTCTTTTACCAGGACTGGGAGTTGACTTCAGGCCCAAGCCTGACTTCAAGCCCAAGATCTGGTCAATTTGTTCGAAGGTTATTCCAGACCCATAAAAAACTTTGATCTCTAGTATAGACAAAGTAGACTATTCCCCAATTTTTTTAAATTTATAAATAAATATATTCACAGATGGAACAGATTTGTTATGTGATATTGTCAACAAAAAGAATTATGCAATTAATGAATTAAATCAAATTTGCGATTTTTACAATTTGGAAAAAACAAATTTTGAAATTGTTTGTTTTTATTTAATCAATTTTTAAAATTAAAATTTTATTTTTTAGACAGATTTAATGATTCATAGAAGTTCTCGTGCTTTATATTTATTTTTAAATTTAATGAGACAAAATCATCCAGAATATTATCAAAATCTGGTGGAAAAATTATTTGAAGATTTTTGGGTGAAATTACTTTCGTTTACACACACAGCACATTTTTTTAAGGTTTTTCTATTTAAAAATATTTTTAAATTTTTTTTAGATTGGCCGTGAAATTGGAATTCCTTTTGGAGAGCTAGACAAAACTATAATGCATATTGATGATAGAGAAAATCACAGAGATATGGTCTCAAGAGAATTACATTTATTGCTTGAAGAAAGGGTATTTTTTTAATTTATTAATTTCTGGACCGAAAATTTTTCCTGGACGGTATATTTCCCCCGTAGGAATTTTCTTCCTCTTTTCAACCATGGGGCTGCCTCCCAAAAAGTTTTCTCGAGGTCCTTCCCCATCTGGGAACTGATAAGAGAAAGCAGAACCATCGCTCAGGTAGCTCATGTCAGTCAATAGAGATTCTGGTAGCAGAAAGTGAAAGGGAGCACAGAAATAACTGCCACGGGGTCGCGTGTTTCTTTCCTGCCCAGTGGCTTTTGCTTTTTTCATTTCCTCGCCCAGTTTCCCACCTTTCAAAATTTAATTTAAATTTATTTTTTAAAGATAACATCAATTCCTTGGTTACGTATTGATTCAATTCCAAATAATCAAAAATTGTTTGGATTTACAAATATTTTAAGACTTGAACTTTTGGATGAATTAATTAAAACTCCATTTTATAATCCTTTAAATTATTCAACAGAAGAAATTATTTATAAAAAAGATGAGGAAGAAAAAACAGTTTTGGAGCAGTGGCTAGATCGAAATAGATTAAAAAGGGCGATGAAATTTGTTGAAAAAGTTTAAATAAATTTTAAATTTATTTTAGAGATAAAAAAGTATTTTTTAAAAATTAAATTTTATTTTTTATAGAAAAATTTTTTTTAAATTATAAATGTTTAAACATTTACATATTAAATATCAAAAATTTATTTTTTAAAATTATTTAAAGGGTTTGAAAATTGGTTAAGAAATGCTTTTTCGCCTGAAATTGGTCTCAAAATGTCCTACAGGTTTTTAAATTTATTATTTTCTAAGAACACTACTTTTGATTAAAATTTAAGTTAATTTCGGTTTTCTTTTTTTGGGTTACTAAATTTGTCGACAAAAGTAATTTCTAGTGTGTTTTTACATTTAACTTTTTCAAATTAAAATTTTAATTTTTTAGTTTTTATCACTCGTTTAATTTCTGATGCTCCATTAACCGTTAGAGGATCAAGCGAGCCATTAAAGAAAATTTATAAAGATGCTAATCTCCAAAAAGAATTTGAAAAATACGAAATGATGGATCCCGTCGACATTAATGAACTTTCTAGAGTACACCAAGGAATTGCTCGACAACTTGATAAAGTCAATGAAGTTAGGGTTAAAGAAATGTTTATTCGAATTTATCGAGGAATGAAAGTTTGCACTTTTTGGGTACTTGTTGTTTTTGCAATTTATTTCTATGGATGTTATGCACTTGGACAAGAAACATTTTTGGAAGAAATTGATGAAGAGATTGCTATTGAAAGGGGCGAATTAATGGTGGATGATAGTGGAAAGACAATACCTACAAACTAAATTTTGTTTTTTTATTTAGAAAATATTTTTTTGTTATATAAATTACAGGTTTTTTTTAAATATTTTGGGGTTTAGGAGACTAGTAAGGGATTATGTAGACTTTTAATATGTTAGTTACTGGATTTAGAGACATAACGGGGAGAAGAAATGTCTCACTAATTTGTAAGGACATCACATCCTTGTTCAGACGACCAAATTTCTTTGACTCTTGCTAAACGAATTCTCCTTTTAAGTGACTGAGGAAGGATGTGGGGAAGAACGGCCTGAGGATGTTCTCTCTTGCTGGAAGGCCCTCTTAATATTAAATTTTAATTTATGTTAATCTAACAAGAATTGAGTTCAATAAGTAAAATTTAATTTAAAAATCTTCTGCCTATTTATCAAGTTTTGAGATTCTTTTTTCCAAAAATGGCCGAGAATCCTCCACAACAAGTTGTCGTCTAGTTAAATCTGGTGTTGTATCTCTTCTCCGATTTTTTGAATTTTTAGTTTTTTGCTTTTCAACATTTGTTGATGATCCATTTTTACGTTTACGAGTAAGAAAGTTTGTTGTTTTGATTGGACTAGTAACAGATCCCACAGCCATTGTCATTATTGTATTTCCACAAAATTGTTCCCAAGCATACCGGTCTAGTTGAGGTAAAGGACGATTATTAGTAGTTGTTGTTAATTTAGAAGAAGAAATTATTGTTGGAGGTGGAGGAAGTGAAAGTCTGCTGGCTGAAGAAATTTTTGGGGAAATTGTATGCCTAAGTGCTGAACTTGCTGACAATTTTGTGTTTAAATGAGAATGAAGAGCTGGGCCAAATACTGAGGAAGGATGTTTTTCATTTAGTAATTTATTGGCCATTCTTTCGCCCAATATCTTGAGAAGAAAAAAAAATTATTTTTAAACTTATGAGCCCCACCCAGGCCCGTAGCCAGGATTTTTTTTCGGGGGGGGGGGGGGGGGGGGGAAATTTTTTTGCGCCAAATTTTTGGCGCCGAAGGCGCCAAAAATTTTTATTTTCAGCGCCGCAGGCGAAAATTTTTTGAATTTTAGAAGGTCGTAGGCCAAAAAAATTCACTCTTTCGGCGCCGCAGGCGCCAAAATTTTGATTTTCAGCGCCGCAGGCGAAAATTTTTTGGATTTTGGACCTTAAAAAGCCAGATTTCTTCCTTTTTTAGCGCCGCAGGCGAAAATTTTTTAAATTTCAGAGGCCGTAGGCCAAAAAAATTCACTTTTTTGCCCCAGCCCTTCCCCAAATTTTTTCCTTTTTCCCATTTCGGGGGGGGGGGAATTCCCCCCCTCACCCCCCCCTGGCTACGGGCCTGGCCCCACCCTTATTTTTTATTTTTCCCCAATTCCTGAGAAAAGGAACAATGGGAAGTTCATGACCACTACCCCTCTACTTCCCCCGATCCTCGAGAGAAAGATCTTCAAAATGGAGTCTCGAAAATCCTCGAAAAAAGGAGAAGGGGCTAATGGGAAGTCATGACCCCTCTGTTTGTCCCAAATCCTCAAGAAAGGGACTCTGAGTTAATGACTCCTCTTTTTCCTCCTAATCCCCAAGTAAGTCCTCAAAAAAATAATTTTAAAATTAAAAATTAACCGTTCGACAAAAAGCCCTTCTATATTTAGCAGAAAGAATGTTGTAAAGAATTGGATTACATGCAGAATTAGAATAATAACAATATCCAGAAATATAAAAAACAACACTAAAAAGTGAAAATACTGCAGAAGAAGGTTCTCCATTAATTTCTTCGTTGTTAACATTTCCCGCTTCATTTAAATAAATACTTAAAAGTCTTTGAATATGAAAAGGTAGCCAACAAAGAAAAAACATTACAACAACAGAAACTGTAAAAATTAAAAAAAAATATTTTAAAAATTAAAGAGAGAGGTAAAGTTTAGCCTAAAGCAGGCATCAATACTGCGGCCTCATGCAGTTATTGCTGGGCGCTCTACCGACAGGGATTGGCGGATTACCCAAGACTTAGAAATTTGAAACCCGGACTTTTTTAGACCCAAAACCGACCAGACCGAAATTGCCCAGATTTTTCTCAACCCGATCCATGCCTGCTCTACCGACTTATGTAGAGCCCCACCTAGTAAGCATTTTAAATGCTAGCCGGTTAGACTTCTTTCCCCTTCCTTGCAAAAATTAAAATAATCAAACCTAATATTTTAAGTAAACTTTTTCTTGACCGCATTTTTTGAGCTCTTTCACCGCCAAAAATTGCTTTTGAAGAACGAACTGATGAACATAAACATTGTAAAATGTGGCAATAAACAAGTGTAATTAATAATGCTGGAAGTAGGAAGAAAAGAAAAAATGCTGTCAAAATAAAATTGCGTTGAGCTATAGGTCTGTGAAAGTCTAAAGCACAAGTATCCTGCGAAAAAAAATTTTTTTGAAAATTAAAAAAATATTTAAAAAGTTATTTAACGCTTTATTTTGTTCAAATAAAATTATTTCCCTCAATGGGATTCGAACCTTCATCCCTTTGTATTATAAATCCAAAAATTATCCCACTTAACTAAAAATGACTTTTTTCTTGGGGTGGATGTACTGTTTGCTGGGGTTAATCTCTGCTACTTTATTATTTTAAAATCCCTTACAGTATTTCTAAGAGTAGAATTATCATCAGAAATTAGAGGTAACAACCATTTCTGCCCAATAGTCCAATCTGGAAGAGGTAATTTATTAACCACAACAATATCCAAAACAGGAAGGGCAGCAATAAAAGCACATATCCAAACAGCAATAATTACACGAATTGCCCGATCAAGAGTAGAAAAGAGTTTTATTCGAAGAGGAAAACTAGAAATTAAAAAAAAATGATTTTTTCTCTGTTATAGAGTGATGGGTCGGAGTGAGAGAAAAGATAGGAAAGGATTTTGGGTCAGTTTAAATTATCTCCTATCGACAGGGCTCGAACCTCTACCCATTATAAATCTAAGGAATTATCCCACTTAACTAAAAATGACTTTATTCTTGAGGTGCTAGCACACTTTGCTGGAGGGTGGTTTCACACTTTGCCGTCAGTGTTTAACCTCTGAACAAATGACAGTCCAAAATTCGAACCCGGAAGAACGTCATTATTGATCGGATATCAAAAAACGATTTAAAAAATAAATAACAAAACCAACCAAATAGCCAACCAGCGTTCAACAGAAAAACAAGTAATCGTTAAAATAGAAGCATAAGAAGTAAATTCAATCAAAAAAGCTCTCCCTTTACAAACAAATTCTCCAAATTTGTATGGATATAAAACATCAAAAACTCCATAAAGTTCCATTGGAAGGCCAAGAGTTAAAATAAGTAAATCAGAAACAGCCAAAGAAAATAAATAATAATTTGTTGGGTTTTGCATAGATTTGTTTTTTAAAATAACTAGGCAAGTGCAAATATTTCCAAATAAACCAATTAACAAAATTAGGCCATAAATTATTGCTGTTGGAACAATTATTGAGGACTTTAAAAAAGAAATTTTTTTAAGAGAATTTAAAGGAGACACCTCATTAGAAGAAAAATCCCCCTATAAGATACACCTCCCTACAAGAAACCCTCACTATAAAAACCCTCCTTTATAGGAGACCTCCAATATTAGATTTGTATTCCTCTACAAAAGAGACACTCTTTAAAATTCGGTTGGATTGGGTAAGGGAGCTCCCTAAGCGAGACCCTCTATTTAATAGACCCTTCATTATAAGATACAATTTCTTCACCCCAAGGGGATATCCAAAAAGGAGGTTCAACTAAACCATAAAAAACAAAAAAAAACTTACAACAGCACAACGTTCACCCAACTTTTCCAAAACATATTCAGTTATATTTTCGAATAAATAATGTAAGGGAGAACACGAATTTTGTTGATTTAATTTATTCATTTTTCTAAAAATTTAAAAAATAAGCAGCTAAAAATACTTTTAAAAACAAAAATAATCAATCTTTAAAAACAACAAAAAAATATATTTAGGTGGGTGGAAGAAGAACGCGTATTTTCATGGCTCGTAAATTTCTGAGGAGACGGGGGGCATCATATTTTTTACTTTAAATTTTCGCTTGAATAAATTTTGTTTGTTTGGTTGAAAAAAGGGCAGGCTTGCAAAATGAGGTAAATGACGCTAATAAGTGAAGACTTTTGACAAATTAATTTTATAAAAAAATAGAGGAGGGCTTCTTTAATTTAAAAATATCAGAAGCCAAATAAACGGCAAAACACAAAATTCTCTTGGGAAATAATTAAAAAATAATTTTTGAAAAATAAGAATTAATATGACCTAAGCTTTTTTTAAAAGGGGGAAGAAGTCTTTAATTAAATATTATAAGGAAAATTTGTCTGGTTTTTATGTTTGAAAATAGTGACCTAAGCTTTTTTTTAAAAATTAGTAAAAGTTAAATGGAAAATTATTCTGACGACATTTGCGGTCCGACATTTGTGAACAAAATAGGCTTATTGAAGATGAGATCCAGAAAAGATCTGGTTCTTGTCTAGTACCATAGCCTAAGCATAAATTAATATTTTGGCACTACAGTACTCTTTCAGTACCCATTACAGTACTTTAAATAGCCAAAAATTTTGTGGGTGTTCTCAAATGTCGGTACGCAATTGTCGCTCTACCTTCTACGTAAACTGACTTTAATTCCACTGGGATAGTAACATTTATTTTTTAAATAAAAAACTTGTAGAAGTAAAAAGAAAAGTTTTTAAGCTAATAAATAAATAAATAATGAGGAGGAAAAAAATTATTTTTAAAAAATAAATTAGCTAATTTATTTAGACAATTCCAGTATTTTTGAAGGGCAAAAGTTCCTTTTTTAATGGAGTATTTTAATAACCGGAAGAGATAAAATGAAAAAATGCGCTAGAAAGGATGTGGAATTAGTTGAAAAAATAGTTGCAATTTGTGAAAAGGTCAAAAAAATTTTTGGATTTTCTTGGGGGTTTTTGGCGATTATGGCATTTTTTGGATTTTTTTGGCATTCTGTTGAAAATTTTTTCTTTTGGCGTTTTTTGTATTTTTTAAAATTTTGTTTTTCAAAAATAAATTTAAGAAGACAAAGTACTTATACTTTTAAAAAAATATACTTTTTTGGAAGAAAAAAATGCCAAAAATGCCAAAAAAGAATTATTTTACATAAAAGCAACAGGTGCTTAAAAAGGAAGAACTTGAGAAATTTTTAAAAATAATGACAGGCGCAAGGAAAATGAGAAGGGGGGAGGAAATGAGTGAACAACTTAAAGGAGGGGAAAAATAAATTCATAAAAAAATATTTAAAAGATAACAAAAGAAGGGATAAAAGAGAAGAAATGTTTTTTAAAAAAAAAAGAAATTTGAGAGGGGAGGGGATTTAAAAAAAATTTTTTTTGTTCTTTAAACGTGTAAACAAGAAGAAGAACATGTTTTTATTGAACAAGAATTAATCGTCTTCTTCCGAATATCAAAAATCTCTTTTTTTCTATTTTTAATAAATTATTTAAATTGAGAAGAAAGGGGGGGGGGGGAATGTATGCATATCTTGCTTAAATTATTTAAAACAATTAATTTTTTAAAGAATTGTAGAAATTAATTGAAATTTAGTTAAAAATAGAACAAAGAAAATAAATGTTAAATAAAAAATAATTTATATTTTTTAATTAACATTTATTAAAAAAAATTTTTCTACAAAAAAATTCCAAAAATTTTTTTTTAATTTTTCCCTCCAAAAAATGATCGCCACAAAAGTTAAAAAAAAGAAGTTTAGAAAAGACGGAAAATAAATTCAAAATTTAAAAAATAAATTAAAAACGATTTTTTGAAAAGTTTTAACAAAAATTCACCCAAAACAAAATTATTATCACCAAAAAGACTCGAACCCGGCTCGAAAATACATTTCTGACAAATGTAAAATTCCACTTAACCATGCTTACTACAGGCAAAAAAACTAGCCGCTTTGTCGCTATTTTACAAAAAATATTCTAAAAAATTTTCTAAAAAATTTTCTACAAATATTTCCCCTCCAAAAATGAAGTAAAAAGTTGGTAATAAATTAGTTGTGCTAGTTATGTACGTATTTGATGTATGGGAATATTAAAAAAAAATTTTCTAGCAAATTACACTAAAAAATAATAAAAAAATAATTTTTTGATGTACTTTTATTTATATTTAAATGTCTAATGAGAATGTGAAAAAATAACACAATTAATTCATTTCTGTCATGAGAAAATGCAATTTGATGCGCTTTACTTTCTTCTCGTTTGGCACAAAAATTTTATGGGAAAGAAGATTAAAAAAGGGACAGAAAATCCAGAAAATTTTAAAAATAAATTAAAAATCGATTTTTTAATTAAATTTAACAAAAAATCAATTAAATTAAAAAAATTATCCCCAAAAAGGATTCGAACCCTGCTCAAAAATACACTGCTGATCACAACCAAATTCCACTTAACCATGAATGTGTCTACTTGTCGAGGCACCAAAGTGACCTATTTCTGATAATTTAATAGCCGTTTCGTTGCCGATTTTATCGAATTCGTTAGAAATTTTGATAATTTTATTTTAATAATTTTATTTTAATTTTTCTTTTAAATTATTCAAGTGACAATTAAATAGCGTCATTTTGATATTTTTCAAAGAAGATTAAAAATTAGAAAAAAATTATTTTTTAAATTATATCCAAAAGATTAAAGCACTATTTACAGATTTAAAAAATGTCTTCATCTTTAATTTTAATTTTTTCTTTTTTTTTGAATTTTCTTTTTAATATTTTTGTCATTTAAATACCTATACCCTTTCTATTTTATTAAGAATAAAATATTAATTAAAGGGTATTTTTTTCTTTTCAAAAATTTTTTTAATTTTTAGGTTGTCAAGGTGACATGCGCGAAATTCAAATTAAAAAATAAAAAAAAAGGAGAGGAGGAAAGGAAGAAAAAAGGGAGAGGAAATATTAAACAAAAATAAAGGTTTTTTTATTCAAAAAAAAATTTTTTTTCAAAATAAAAATTAATTTATGGATCCTTTACTGGACGGAACTTTACATCGTGGAGGAGCTGATGCTTTACGTATTTTTAGGTTATTTTAAAATAATTTGAGTTATTTTTTAAATCCTTTTAGAGAAGCTTTTTTAACAGAAATTGGCCCTTCTGAATTTGAGAATAATAATGGGCGTTTAATTTCATTACGTGAATTATTGGATGTAATTATCTGCAGTGGAAAAGATATACAAATTGAGGTAAATTTGAAAAGAATTTAACTTGGACTTCATTGTCAGATAAGAAGCGTCAAAAGCTTTTAAATGTCAAATAAGGGAAATACCCTTGACATTTTTTGGGGCTGTAAAAACCGTTTCTTTTGAGGCTTATTTTGGATAGGAAGGTATCGCTTACCGTTAGGCAGCTCCCTCATTCATTGTCAATAGTCAAACAAATCTTACAATTAGAAAAAACCGTATCCTCAAGGGACAATCTTTATTATCACTGGGAATTTTATAGCTTTTGGTACCATTCGATAAAGGACCTCCGACTTCCTATTATAACGTGGTTTTCATTTTATTGCAAATAAATTTATTATTTTTTTTTAGGATTTGCTTCGTTTACGTCCATACGCAACAGAAAAAGGTTGTTTTTTGAAGAAATAGTTTTTTTTAAATAATTTTTGTAGACGAAATATTTTCTTTTGAAGAGTGTTTTCAGGTTTTGTTTTGAATTTTAAAAATAAATTAAAAAAATTTTTTTAAAGATTTATCAAAATATTCCATCAACTGGTTTAGACGAAATTTACGATTTATTTGAATTATTTGTAATAACTGAAAATGAAATAAATTGGGAATTATTAAATAATAAAATGTTGGAATTAATTGAAACAACAAACAATAACGACGACAATAATTATTTAATTAATTGGCTAAAATTGAATAAACAAAAGGGAACAGATATTGAAAATGTAAATAAGGGTTTTTTTATTTATTTAATTTTTAGAAATTAAAAAAATTTTTGTAAAGAAATTTTCTTTGAAAAAATTTAAAAAAACATAATTTTTTTTTGTTTTTGTGTGAAAAAATTTTTTTGTTCGAAAAAAAACAAAAAGGAACAGATTTGTTCAGAAAAATAATTTTGAAAAATTTTTCCGCTCACGAAATTTTCTTCTTTTTTTTGTCAAAAAATTTTTTTCCTTTGTCCAAAGAAAACAATTTCTCTTTTAATTTTAAGTTAATTTATGAATTAATTGAAACCAAGAAGAGATTACGTCTATTAAATTCGCAAATTGTTGAAGAAGAAGGGCTTGAATTGAATAATAATAATTTTGGTGAAGGGAATAATTCACATAAAGGTAAATTTTAAAAAATTATTTTTTTTGAAATTTTCCCTCCAAAAAATCAATTAATTTTGTATTTCCATAGTTTGTGCAAAAATAAAATAGAAAAAAATATTTTTTTCGTGACCAGATGAATTGTTTTGCAAAATAATAAAATAATACTTAATTAAATATATGTGAAGGTGGAGGGAAAATAAATGGAGAAAAAAAGTTGGAAAATAATAAAAATATATGGTATTGTATTTAAACATTTTTATTTGTTTTTATACCTTTTCTTTCCACCTTCACATAAAAGTTTATTTTTCTATTTATATGTCAGGTTTATTATATTCTATTGTTAACTGAGTTTTAATTATAGAAAATAAACCTGAGCTACAAAATTCAACTTGATTTATAACTTAAACTCGAATTATTTAAAATAAACCTAAATTATGAAGATTGAACTTGAATAATAAAAAATAAACTTGAAATATAAAGCTAATCTTGAATTATAAAAAATAAAGCTGAATTATAAAGAATAAACTTGAACTATTAAGATTGAACTTGAATTATAAAAAATAAACTTGAAATACAAAGTTATTAAACTTGAATTATAAAAATAAACTTGAATTATATAAAATGAACTTGAGTTATAAATAACAAACTTGAATTATAAAGTTTAAACTTGAATTAAAAAAATAAACTTGAAATAAAATAAATAAACTTTAATTATAAATTTAAAAATAAACTTGAATACTATATTTCAGGCTTATTTATCAATAGAATATAATAAACCTGATCTATAAATATAAAAATAAACTTTAATTTTTATTTTTTTCAAGTTTCTAATTGTTCATTCATGTTGTCTCGTTGCGAGAGTGCGGAATCTCTTAGCTCCCTTTTTTCAAATAGAAATAGCAACACAAACAACAACAGACAAATAAAAGAATTTGAATATTCTTCACCAAGAAATTTAACTACCCAACAACAATTAAAAGAATTTGTGGAAGAAAAAATTCAACTAAAAAGTTTAATAATTCAGAGAGAAATGACTGAAACTAATTGTATTGCTTTTTCTTTTAATTTGGAAAAATCAAGAAAATTAAAATTGGGAATTTGTGTTAATGAATTGAGTAAGTAGAAAATTTTATTTTTTTTTAAAATACTGCAAATTCTCTAATATAAGCCCTGGGTTCTATTTTTCACGATATTTCTTTGATTGAGCTTCTATTTGATATCGGAGCTTCTATTAGGGATGGGGCTTATATTGGAGAGAGGGCTTATATTTTTCAATGTGTCTCTCCGGTTAGGCTTATATTGAAGAGCGGGCTTATATTAGAGCATTTACGATATTTTCTAAATTTATTTTTAATTTTTAAAATTTTAGTTGATTCTTCATTAAATCGTTTTCATAATTCAATTCAAGGAATTATTGTAAATTTGAAATATATTTTTTAAAAAATTAAGTTTAAAAATATTTTTTAAAGATGTCTTCAGAATTGGATTTACATCAAAAAATTTATGGTGTTACTAAACGAAGGGAACAAGGAGTAAATTTTTGGTTAAAATTTTTTTTATTTTATTTTTTTTTTAAGATGGCTACAACAGAATGGGTTCAGGTTGACATTTTGAAAAAAAATTTTTTTTTCATTCTTTTAAAATTTATTTTTTAGTGAACTCGAAACCACTAAAAAATATTTTCTACTTAATTTCCAACTAAAATAAAATTTAAAAAAATCCAAATTTAAGGTGCCTGCTGGAAATCATTTAATAAGAGTTAAATTTTGTCGCGCATTAAAAATGGTTGAGACGGAAAAATCTGATAGAATTATTGATGAAAAAACTGGGAGATTGACAAAACCTTTCAAGTACTTTAATTTTTAAAAATTTAAGAAAATTTAAAGAGTAATGCTAATGAATTTATTTGATATTTTTGATTTGGATGATGATGGACTTTTAAGTCGAAGAGAATTTGAAGCTTATAGTATTCTTGCTGGTACTGGACCTGTTAGTGAACAAGTAAAAATAGAAATTTTTTTGAAAATTTTATGAATTTTTTAAGGAATGGACACGTATTTGTACAGATTTTGAATTAAGACAGCAACATATACCAATGAAGACATTTGTACAAATGCATCAAAGAGAGGCAGAAAGTTATGGCCCAAAAGGAAATTTAGAACAAATGTGGAAAGCTGTTAGGGCGCTTGGACATAATCGACGATTTTTTATGAGCACAGTAAGAAAAAATTTTTTAATATAAAATTTTGGCGTTAGTCTAGTTTATGAGTCCAATGAAGCTTTATGAGTCCTTTGAAAGTTTATAAGTCCAATAAAAATTTTATAAGTTCAACTAAATTGGTGGGTGCCTTGCTTCATTAAAGGGTTCATTGGACTCATAAATTAGACCAGCTCCAATTTTATTAATTTATATAGACGTGTCCACTTCGTTTAACATTACATTGTTCTGAAGGCCCATTGCTTATCGAACCATTTCGTGTTGACCGATTTTATTCGGATGAGATAGACAATCTTTTAGCTGAACATTTTTGGGAACAAGGAAAGCCGTTACCCTATTTAAAAGAATTTACAAGTCTTCGCCAATTTAAAGCTGATTATTATGTTGTGTTGATAGCTGGAAAAACAAAACAAACAACTCATTATGAGCTTGACTTGAGAGGTTCAAATAATGTAAATATTGAAGGAAAAGAATTAATTATTGACCAAAAAGTTCAACCAAATATAATTCAGGTTTGTGGTTTTATTTTTTAAGGGAGCGTGGCCAAACGCCGAATTGCCAACCCCTCGAAGCTGCCAAAATACCAAACCGAGCAAAAATACAAATGTAGGTAAAGGTTGTTTCAATTAACTTGGAAGGGTGTTAGTAAACCATATTTTTTTATTTCGGCGTGTTTTTTGGAGGTTTGGGATTTCGATCGTTGGTATTGCGATATCTTCTCTTTTTTTAATTGAAAAAAATTTTATTTTAAAGATTTTAACTGTTGTAATTGCCCAGTCAGAAAATTGGTATTTAAGTGTGAAAATGAAAGGAGCTCCAATAAAATCTGAAAAAAGAAAAGAAGAAATAAATGTCGAGAAGATTAATTGATAAAATGGTTTTCTAGTCTTAAAAATTTTTTTTTAATTTTTTTTTATTTTTAAAAAATTTTTTAGAAATATTTAAATATGACTTATAAAGTAAATTTTTTTTTAATTTTTTCTATTGGCACTCAACAAGCCATGTTTCAAATATTTTTATTTTTCATTTAGTTTATGTTAAAAATGTCAAAATAACAAAAAGGTTTTTAACGCCTTTAACGTGTTTATATTTTTTAATTTTATTTTTAAAATTTTTTTAAATAATTTTTATTTAGAAAATAATGTCTTTAGCCGATTTTGTGAATGAACAAAAGAACAAATCAGGAAATCGAAATTATTTTAATGTGGCAACATTTGGTTCTAAAGTTAGTAAATCATTCAACGGATTCTTCAAAACAAGCGATAGTATTGATGACACGGAAAGATTAACGAGTGAACCTGCACAGAATGGACAACTTCCTTCAAATAGAAATAGGTTTGAAGTACTTTTTTTTGTAAAATTTCCTGTTCTCAGGGTTAGGGATTCCTTTGTCTTTTGGTGTAAGGGATGAAGTCTGATTTTCATTGTGCACAGTTATCAGTTCCAGGCATTTTTTGGAATTCCTAGGTTTTTTCTGGTCTGGAGTTTATCTGTATTAAAGACCTGGGTCAGTGGATTCGAAAATCTTACTTTTATCTATGCTAAGAAAACGTCTATAATTTTTTCTAGGCCTGAGTCTTTCCTAACTGCAGATTTTGTGTTGAAAATCCAGACCTTTTTCCGACTAAAAACGTGGGTCGATGGTTGTCCAGACCTTTAAAATCCAGACCTTTAATCCAGACCTTTAAAATACAACAAAATGTATTTGGGGTGTATCTAATATTAAATTTCAATAAAAATATTTTTAGACGTACTGGTTGGATGAGCTTTTCCTCCTCTTCCTCAACTTCAGTAAATGGCCAAGTAACTGCAGATGCTAATCCATGCGGACTTAGCCGTTTTCAACGCATTGCAGCGTTTTTTCTTTGTTTGTTTGCTGCTGGATTTTGTTTTACCACGGTTTTTTTTTGAAATTTTTTAAATTAAAATTATTTTTAAATATAGGCAATGATGTTGTTACCAATCTTAATTATTCAAACAAGAAAATTTGCAGCTTTAAATACCCTTGGTTCTGCTTTTTTTGTTGTCAGGTTTTTTTAAAGTTTTTTTTCAAAATTATTTTTCCCCTTTAGTTTTGGCTTTCTTTGGGGACCAGTTCCTTATTTTAAATTTCTCTTCTCTGAATCTAGACGATTAGTGACTGCTATTTATTTAATCAGTGTGATTACAACCCTTTATACTTCTTTATGGCTTAAAAGCACAGTTCTTACAATTATTGCTTCGAGTTTTGAGGCTTTTGCTTTAATTTGGTAAATTTAACTTTTTTATCTAGTCAGACCTCATTATAAGATACCATTCAATCTAAAATACGTTTCTTTAGATTTTGGTTGCCCACTAGAATTTAGCTGGGTCTAGGCTAAAGTCTGGCGTTTCTATGCCCAGAGAACGGATCCCCAGGCATTTTTGGACTTTCTAGGAGTTTTTCTATCCGTGGGCTTTTTAGGACTACAAACCGGGTCAGTGGTTTCAGAATTCAGACTAGGTGCAAGGACCTGACTGAAGGATACCCTCCCTCTATTTAAGAAATTTTTTAATTTTTATTTTCAGGTTTCTCCTTTCTTATGTTCCAGGAGGTGAAAATGGGCTTAAATGGATGGGTAGAATGGCCAAGATGGCATTTTGTACAAAACAAGCATCTACTCTAGTCTTGCCTATTTAAATAAAAGGTCATAATATTTTATTTTTTAATTATTTTTTATAAAAAAAATTGTTTAAATATATATATATATTAAATATTTTATATATTTTTGTGTGTTGTACAAAAAAATATATTTTTTAATTAAAAAATTTTTAAAAATCGAAATTTACAATAATAAGGAATTTTAAGAAATTTGTGAACTTTAAGGGTTAATTTCTTTTCTATTTTTTCTCTTATTTCCTTCGTCCAACTAAAATAATCTTAAAAAGGGTTTAAGCTTAGGTAAGCGTTGCACGAAGCTATAGGGAAAGGGAATTGGATACAGGGATATCACGAACTTCTTCCTGTTTTTTTCCTGCTTAATTCCCATAACTAACCCGACTCGGAACCCCGGGGGGTTTTTCGAAACCTGGCAGGCTCTACTTTTTCCCATCCCATGACGTCCTAAAAATTAGAAAAATCCTTAAAAAATCCCTTAAAGTTTAAAAATTCCCTGACAAATTTTTAAACAAATAATTAAATTAAGATGTCATCATTCTAACGAATTCTTCATAATTTATCTTTAAAAATAAATATTTTTTTTAAAAATCCCTCTAATTTCCTACCTGTCCATCCCCATCAATATCAACTTCCTCAATAATTTCATCAACTTCATTTTCACTAAATTGTTCCCCCATAGTCGTCATAAAATATCTAAATTCATCTGCTGTAATATATCCATTCCCGTCTCTATCAAAAACTCTAAAGGCTTCTCGAATCACTTTAAAAAATTATTTTTAAATATTTTCTGGGATCAGCCCAGAATTACGGGGAACATAAAACGGAAATTCTCCTGTGCCAGACTGTTAGATAAGGTAAAAGGGAGCAGGCCTAAGTATACCTCCAGAGCCAGTTCACCACTAGGATGTTGATCTCTAGGTTGGTGTCCTCCCGGAAGTTTACATTCTGTGGACCGTCCCAATTATAAAAAAATTAATTTACATACTTTCACTATCATTTTCCTGAAAAATAAATTTTTTTAAAAATTTCTATCTCCTCCCTTACTTTATTCATTCTTTTCATCATTTGACAAAATTCAGCAAAATCTATATTTCCACTTCCATCAATATCAACTTCATTTACCATATCTAATAATTCTTGTTCTGTTGGATTTTGGCCTAAAGAGCGCATTGCTACACCCAATTCTTTTGATGAAATTGATCCGTTTCCGTCCTGTTTTTAAATTTATTTTTAGTTTTTTAGTGAACCTCTCACTATAAATGCACCTTGGGGTAAAAATTTGTCTCTTATAATGAGTTGTTTATTAAATAGAGGGTGTCGCTTATGCAGTCCCCCATCCGATAACTAACCGGATTTTAAAAAGGGTCCCTTAAATAGAGGTGTACATAATGTTGGGGGTATCTTATAGAGAGGTTCCTTGTATTGAGGGTATCTTAAATAGAGGGTTATTGTCCTAGGCAGTTCCCCTACTCCAAATTTTAAAGGGCGTACCCTAAATAGACGGAGGTTATAGGGAAACTATTTTAAAATTAAAAAAATTCCAATTTACCTTATCAAATAATCGAAAAGCTTCTTTATATTCAATCATTTCTTCTTCACTAATTCCATCTAAAGCCGTGTCAGCCAATGCTTGATTTTTCCATCTATTAAATAAACTTAATTTTCTCGTTGACATTGCTGCTGCTAATGAACTTGCACGTGATTTACGTCTATCTCTTTCTGTTTCTTGTTGTTGGGAATTTTGAATGTTTGTTGTTCTATTAAATGTTGAATTTTGTCTTTTTAATTGGTTAACATTGGGGGAACGAGTAGTTGATGGGCCTGGCAAGCTTTAAAAAATGGGGGAGATAACAATGATAATTTTTGGTGATAAAGGAGGGCCACAAAAGGGAGGACCATTAAAAAGTCGAATCTAATAAAATACCCCCACTTCTATTTAAGAGACGATCTTTAAAATTATTTGGTTGACCTTTGGGGAGAGGTATCCATTGGTACCCTTTATTTAAGATACCCTCAATTTAGAGGCTTAACCTGACTGAACTCAAGGTAATGTTGGCTGTGTGTGTGGGACCTAACTAATCGTATCCTATATTAATAAACACCTCTTCACCCGATATTCAAAAACAAGATTCGACTAAACACCCCATATACTAGAGAATAAACAAACTTTATAGCATTTGTTGGTGTCCAACCACCATTTATTGTATTATTTGTCCTTACAATACCCGTATTAATTGGCAAATTAAATTCGTTGTTAGTTGCAGCAATTTCTAAATTATTTTGAGTTGTTGTTGTTCTTCTTCTTCTTTTGGATGGACTGCTTGAAATTGTTGGGGAAGCAAAACTTGTCGTAGTATTTCTTCTATCCCCTCCTCCAAGCATCATCATTTTTGAAGGATTAAAGAGCGCAGAAAAAAGGCAAAAAAAGAAAAAAAATTCCTTAAAGTTAAGGAGATGAATGACGAGATTTTTGAGAAAAGAAGCTTTTTTGACTTTCTTTTCTTTAAATCTAATCTGACACTCTTTTTTTCTTTTTTTATGTAAATATTTACTTAATATAAATTTTTTTATTTAATAAATTCAATCTGCATAAAAAATGTTTTTTTTCTACGGAAATTAAAAAAAGCAAAGATGAAAAAAAACTTGGGGAAGGAAAAATATTTTTTTATTTTATTTTGCTTGTTTGTTTGTTAAGGAAACAAAAACTAGCCACCAAATGACGAGATTGCTTGTGTCCTTCCCTTTTATTCCAAAAAGAATTTATTTGTGTGTCCAATGAAAGGAAACCCAAAAAATATAAAGAAAAGAAAATGTGACGGGAGGGGAACAAATTGGGGGGAATGTTCTTCTTTAAAAAAAATTTTTTTCTTTCTTTTATCGGGTGGATTAGTTAACTAAGTAAAAAAGAAGACTTAAAAATTATAAAAATATATGAACAAAAAAAATAAAAACCATAAATGGATTTGATATTTTATTAAATATATTTACTTTAATTAAATAGGGATTAACCCACAAGATCAACTTCTTAGAGAACAAACACCTTTGGGCCCTGGGAATTTACCCAAGAGATCGATACCCTTACAGAACAACCTAGATCAACTCATTAGTATACAACAATTTTGAGATCCCAGGAATTCACCCAAAAGATGATCCTCAAGATCCTAGGAAATTGACTCAAAATATCACCTCCTTAGAAATCAACACCTTAAGGATCATATGAATTAACCCACAAGATCAACAATTTAGAGAGCAACACACGAAAAACCCCAGGACTCACCCAAGAGATCAACGCCTTACAGAACAACATCCTGGGGATCTTAGTAATTCCTAGGGACGGACCATGTTAAATATCTAATAGGGTGGACCATGTTAAATATTTTTTAAAATTTTAAGAAAAACGAAAAAGTATTGGAAATTGCCCAGCCTATATTTTCTTTGACGTCTTTGCGCAAAAAAAATAAAAAAATTTTTTTTTCTTGGGATATCTCATTAGTAGAATATTTTTTTCTACAAATCCCTTTCCTTTCTATTTATTAAAGTATGGCAACATATTTTTATTTTTACTTTAAAGGACAATAATTTCTGTGAAAAATATTTTTTCCGTTACTTAAAGCTTTTTACGTGTTCGCGCATTTCTTTTTAATTTATTAAAAGAATAAAAAGATAATTTTTGTCTTCTTTAAAGGAAAATATTAAATCCTTTCAAAAAATTCTTTCAAAAATTCTTTTAAAAAACTCTTTTTTTCTTTTCATCCTTTTCAGGCATTTTTATTACTCAAAAAAACATTTTCCCTGGAGAATACAAGAGAAATAAATAAATATATGTTTAGAGAGAGATTTGATATATTTTAAGGAGGGAATATATTTCTTTAACAAAATTATTTTTAAAAATCTCCTTTTTTAGTTTACCGAAATAAAATATTTTATATAATAAATATACTTTTATTTATTCTCAAAGGATCTTTTTTTTTAAAAAATCCAAAAATAAATTACCCAAAAAATTTTTTAAAAATATATTTAATTGATCAATTTGTCTAGGGGTTCTAGGGAATTTTCTTAAAAAATAATCCTTCGTTTCGTTGTAATTTTTATATTTTCGTTAAATTAAGTGTGAAACAAATATATAAATACGAGAAAATGGCAAACATTTAGTACAAAATAAAAAAAAAGTTAGAAAAATAAATATTAAATATAAGCAGAACAGATAAACCTTACGACATGATACACCCTGATCCGTAGAAAATTTTTCAAAACCCGGCTCAACCTTCTTTTTCTCAACCAAACCATCCCCACTTAAAAAGGTACTCTCAAAAAAGTCTTTTATAATGAGGTGTTCCTTAAATAGAAGGTATTATATTTAGGCAGCTTCCTCCGACCCAATGGCCAGCCAAATATTAAATAGCGTCTCTTAAATAGAGGTTTTCTAATATTGGGGTATCTTATAGAGAGGTTCGACTGTAACTGCTTATTAGCTTAAAGGAATTTAAAAGAGATTTACTAATAAACCTATCCAGACGGAACATTTCTTCTTCCTTCTTTTAATGAAATTGATTCTTCAAAAGTATGGGTATTTAATTTAAATCCAACTATAGTTAAACCCTAAAAATAAAATTTTTAAAAATTTTCTGTAAAAATAAAAAAAACCACAAAAGTAGCAACACTTGACCCTGTTGCCATCCCAACAAAAATATCTGACCAATGATGCAAATTATCTCTAATCCTTGTATATGCAATAAACATGGCAGTTGAAAGAACACAAATTTGTAAAAGAGGAATTACAACAACGTAATTAATTAGAGGTTTTAATCGACAATGTAAATAAAGCTGTAAATAAAAAATTTAAATATGGGATGAGGACTTTATAAGAGGACAGTCCTACCACCAAGCCTTAGAGCACTAATGGAACCTTCCTATGCGATTTGGACTCCATAATACTCGAAGAGGACTCAAGAGACTTCCTTAATAGAAAACACCTCTTAAGCCGACTACCAAACTTTAGAGCAATAGACGGGCCTTTCTATTAAGTGATGAATACTGGAGGACTCTGAGACTTCCTTAATACCCTAGCCACACTATCAAGCTTTGGAACACTATATGAACCTTCCTAGATTTAAAAAAAACTCTAACAATAAGTTAATACATACAGCAGTGAAGACAGCAGCGCACATTGATAAACTTGAATGGCCACTGAAAAAACTTAGACGACCCTCAAAAATCAAAGAAGAATTTGAAGTATTTGCACAAGTATAATTCTCAACATAAAAATGTTGATTTTCTGGAAGAGAACAAAAATGAGCTTCTTTTTCCTTTCCATTAATTAGAGGGTCACATATTGCCAAAAAATGTGGTCGAAGTCGTCCAACAGAAAACTTGGCCAATGAAGTGAAAATTAATGTAGCAAGGATTGCAACACAGAAAAATCCTTTTTTAAAGAAAATTAAAATAAAAAATTTTCACAAAAAACCCTGAAAGAAAACCAAACGGATAAGCCATCGAACACGAAATGATTCTCCATGTTCATAAATCACCAAATGTTCTGAAGCTGTTCTGTGATCAACTAAACGCCAATATTCGCCAATAATAAACTAAATATAGTAATTCTATTATTTGGCATTTCAATGGTTTGTGGGGGGTTTGGCATTTCAATGTTTTTGCATTACAAGACGTCTCCAGTAAATTGACGTCTCCTCCATTCCCTATAACCATTCCATGCCTATAACAGTCCACACCGCCATAATTTCGTCTAGCAATAAGATTTTCGAACCCTAGATGACCTAATATGGTCCGATGTAGAAAAGAAATCGCGGAATGGATGGGCCCAGAAAAAAGGAAAAAAAACCTTACTGTCAAGTTAGTCACCAATAAACAATAAAGAATTAACATCCAAAGAGGAATTGTTCCAGTTTTATAAGGCAAACGAATAGAATTATCATCACAAAAAAATCCACGAGTGAAAGGCCCAAGAATGTGAAGGAATGCCTCAATTAAAGCACCTAACAAAAATTTATTTTTTAATAAGAAAATTAAATTTACCAAAAATAAAAATCAGAGCAAAATTGATTAAAACACGTTTAATTGGCAATTTAGCTTTTGGTTTTAATCCAAGAAACGAAGCAATTCTAGTTAGAAAAGTTGATGTTGTACGACTATTAAATTCACCACATTCGATGGAAACATCCGGTTGGATTTCTCGTTGATTTTCCATCAAAAAAAGCTTTAAAAATTAATTGAAATTTAATAAGAGAAATTAAACAAGATTAAAAAAATCTTTTAAAATAAGAAAAAAAATTCACAAAAAATATAATTTACCCAAAAAATTCAGACAAAAATTATCGGGAATAAAAGAGAAAGTTGAAACAAAAAAATTAATTTAAAATTTATGTAAATATCTCAAATGAAAATTTAAATTTTTTTATAAAATCTTCCCATATTTTTATCATCATTTCTTTTTTATCGCCATAACAGCAGCTGCGGCTACACCGAGAATGGCAGCTCCACCAAATCCAAAAGTTAAGGCCAAACCAACAAGGCCATCTAAAATTAATTTTCGTGTTATTTTATTTCGTTTATTCCATAAAACTAGGGATGCCACGGGTTGTAAGAAACACAAACTAGGAAAATTTCCAAAACCCAGTCTAATATTACCTCTTAACCCCTCAATGACCTGTCCAAAACCCATATTTTTGTGACCTAAACCGATTTAAGAAAATCTTGAAAATCCTGAAATTCCTAAAATAAACCCGTTGCCCATCCTTTTTTCCAAACCTCGTTTCATTCGTTGCTCAATAAGTTCTTTCAAATCCAAGGCTTGATGATTGTCACTCTCTGCTGATAACAATAAATTAATATATTCCAAAGCTCTGTCATATTCCTTTAAAAAAAATAAGTTATAAATTTTTTAAATCAAAAAATTTAATACTTTAATACGAGTATGAGCTATAGCAAGGTAATAGACATAATCCCGTTTTGGCATATCAGACTCAACCCTTTTCAAAAGACCTTAAAATTAAAAAAATTTAAATAAAAATTAAAAAACAAAAAATACTTTCGAGAATATAAATTCCTGTTCTAACATCTTCTTTGGTTGACTTAATCAAAGCATGAGCATAATAAAAGGCTGTTTGAGCAGCAGGAGCCCCACGCCTGCTTTCCTCAGCATATTGTTTCCTGAATTTTTCCAAGTCCTCTGGATTCACAATTTCGTCAACCTGAATAAATTTTTGAGTTAATTGGATAATTTAAATTGAAAACTCACTACAAAAGCAACGTCCATAGCAAAACACGAGAATTCTTAAAAAACGAAGATCTAAAACGAAGAAATTAAAAAAAATTATTTAAAAGATAAATATGGTTTTGAAAACAACAAAACTTTTTCTAAAATCAAAAATATAAGTTTAGAGCAAATTTAATTTTTTTAGAGTCAAATCATCTATATTCTAACAAGCAAAAGTAAAGAATATTAATTTATTTAACTTAGTCTTTACTCTTCTCTTTACTTTTCTTCAATTCTTTCATTTCACTTTTCTTCCTCCTCCAATTCTTTAATGCGCTTCTTGTGTCGTTCAATCACATCTTGATGATGTTTTGCTTGCTCCTCATGGTGTGATTGTTCACGGACCAATTGTTGCTTGAGCGCCTTGAGTTGAGCTTGCTTCTAAAAATTAAAAAAAATCAAAAAATCTTTTGAGCTAGGGATAGACTTGAACGCATCGACTAAACGAAACCCAAAGGTACAGATTAACAATCGGTCGTATCCAACTCTAGCTTTAACAAATCAAACCAATTTGTGAAAATATTCCTCCTCACGTGCAGCTTCCATCTTCCCATAAGCACCGCCAGCATCACGAATTGAACCTCCACTTCCACCTCCCTTTCCAGCGCCACTACCCATGTCACCCATTTGAGAAAACATTCGCGAACTGAAAATAAAATATAATAAATTAGGAAAACAAAAAAAACCTGGAGTTAAACGAGCGAACAATAACTTTGGTTGAAAACATTTATATTTAACTAGATAAAAATTAATTTGTTAAAACAAGGTTAAAATATGTAAGTAGTAAAGAAATCAACTTCTCAAAAAGATGATAGATTTAAATTTATGAAGATCAATAACAAAAAAAAATAAAGAAGCAACGAAACAAAATAGAATAAAAATATAATATATAACATTTAAAAGAATAAAAAAAATTTTTGCAAAAATTAGAGTTCAAACTTTACACATTGCAGAGTCAGCAACCGGGAATTTTTCAACCGCGAAAAACCTAATTTCATCAAAATACCATGTTTCTGAACTCGGAAACCCCCAGCCCGGGTTAGTACTCTACCAAAAATGTTAATAGCGCTCAGAATAATTTGTCGACATTTATTTCAGAATTACGTCCCTTAAAATTGTACAAAATTTACTCATCATAGCGCAAATAACAATAAAATAAGTCAAACATAAAATACCCAACATAGGAATATACCACTTAACCAACAGACTCTTGTCACACAAGGGAATAAAAAACATCAAATAATTAATCAAATTCGTCATCACTAAAAGCATCTTTATAAATTTGTTGAACTTGTGATTCAGTCGAATCAGAAAGTAAATTGTCCATTGCTGGTTCCCATATTAAAATTGAACGGTCATTTGAGGATGTAACAATCTAAAAAAATAATTTTTGTTAAAATAAAAGGTAAAAGTTTAGCTCAGAGCAGACATAGATCCTGTGACCTCCTGGCTATTTCTGGGTGTTTTTGCTCCGTACAGGTGCTCTATAAATAGGTCAAGCTACTCGAACCCTGAAATTTGAATCTGTCAGAATTTCTGCGACCCAAAACCCAACTTTTTCGTAACTCTACTGAGGTCCCAGGATGGCCTAGTCTCTTCCCTCTTACATCAACAAAAAAAGTAAAAAACCTGTTGATAATTATAACGATATGAACATGAAATTACTCTTTGAAAATGTCCATGAAGTCTAAGAACATTGTCGGATTTTAATGGAATAAGTTTACTAGAATTCAGTGAAGGACAGACATTAATTAACAAAAGATCATTTGCAAAAGGAATAAAAGCCCAAAGTTTTTGCCCTTCATCACTAATTTCAAAATTTGTTGGAAGAGCATCTTGAGAAGGCAAATTGTCAAAATCTGTTAACTTAAGTAGAAATAAACGTAAAAATATTTTAAATAAAAAAAACCTTCATCCAAGATAAAAGTTTCAAATTTGAGTTCCAAAGACAAAGCTTCTGATCATGAGACATTGAAATTAAAAAACGTCCATCAGCAGAAGCACGCAAACAAGTAATTCTATCAGCATGTGCCAGTTTCCGTCGTTTTGGTGGAGAAGGATGACTCAAAAAAGGAGATGATACTTCTCTCAATTTTGCCTTTCCGCTTCTAAAATAATTTGTTTAAACGTAAAAATACTTTAAAAGTTACCTAATATCCCAAAGAGCAATCTTTCCCAAATCACTTCCAGTTGCCAAAATATATTTTGATGGAGAAAGCCAACGAACACTATAAATTCTTTGCTCTTTTGCACGAAGATTTTGAGGAATGTGACCAATCCTGAGGAGGAAAAATTTTCTTTAATAAAACAAAAAAACCGTGGATCAATAAAAGAAACATTTGAGGAAGCAGTTGCTACAGCAATTAATGAAGAAGCATTAGTGCTCGAAACAGTCCAATGAAAATGTGAAATTGGTTGAATAAATTTAAAGTCTTCAATTGATGTAAATACTGACGAATCCCAAATCTGTTTTTAAAATCTATTAGAATACTAGTTAAGTTTACGGCTCCTTTTTCATTCCCTATACTTGGCGGGATAAGGCCTTCGATTAAAAATAAGAGGAATGGAGTTGATAACTCCACCAGCACCTTTTGCTGAAAATTTGAAGCCCTATAACTATCCGAAAATGACTCTATAGCAAGAAAGTCAAACAATGGAAATAAATTATCGACTATGCTCTGTCCAATAATCCCGAAATATATAAATATTGAAAGTTCGGATTGGTCCATTGTAATAAAATATTTAATAAATGAAAAGAAAAAGGAGCCGACAAACGTAACCATTACTTTAATTTGTCTAAAAAACAACAAAAAACACAAACCTTCAACAAATTATCCATTCCTGTAGTAACAAAAATAGAAGTGTCAACAGGATACCACTGACAACCATTAACCATATGATGATGATTATTCTTCTTTCGAGTTTGTATTATTTTGTAGTTGAGAGGATAAGTTTCAGCAATAGAATTATAATTAGTATAAGATTCAAAATCAACAATCGACACTGCTCCTCTTGAATTTCCGCATAGAAGACTAAAAAATATTTTTTTTAATTGCCGTTTATGTGACACGTTTTTCATCTCTCCCATAATTGACCGCTTTTGCTGCTGGCACTGGAAGGATTTATTGTTAATACCGAACCATAGGTTCTAAAAAACAGAGTTGGTACTTATCCCCACGATCCCAGCTTTATTTGTATCAACAGAAAATGGAGGGGAATTCAGAGAAAGATAAAAAAATGACATCTAAACGTCAATTTTATTAAAAAAAAATTTCTTTAAAAAATATATAAAATTTACAATCGGCCATCAATCCGTTCAAATGCCATAGTTGATGTCCCTGAATCTGTAGTAACTTGAACCGCATGCCTACAACTTGAGCGTAAAGTCGAAATACGTCTATCAATTATTTCAAGCCGATCCAAACGACTTCCTTTACCACTATCAAAAATAAAAATTTAATTTAAATATTATTTAGAGAACTAGCTACATTTCTCTGTTTTGAAACGCAAACGTGTAGATATTAGTCATCGTATTTGTAAATTGGGCGATTAGAACCTTTACATAAAAGAAATTTGTCCTTGTTGACATTTTGGGCTTTTACCCTTTTTGACTATTTGTTTTTGGCATTATGCTTAATTTAACGGCAATTGTTCATTTGTTAGGTCGTCAGAGAAAAATTCGTTTTGTAAAATTGATGGATAATTTTTCGTTCAAAAGCTCCAAAATTTTGGATATATTTTAGATATTGGATTTGGATACTCAATGGTTAAATAAAAGAAGATGTTGAACTTTTATTTTTTAATGTTAAATTTTGTTTTTAGATTAGATTTTAATTATCTTTTTGATAGAAACTTTTGTTGCAGAGGTTGCTGCTGATTTATCTACAGATTTTGTTTGCAAATTTGTTTCTTTTTTTATTAGGTTCATTTTTAGTTCCGAGTTTTAACGATTCGAATTTTTAAAATTTTAGCGTGTTTCTCATATTTTATTCCATTCTAAAATGAAACAAAGTGATGACAGTCGAGATGGAGCGAAAGATAGGAGCGGTGCTAGTAGTTCTCATGGTGCATGTGGATCCTCACAAGTAATTTAATTGAGAGGCAATCTTTTGTTTACTAAGTCCAATAAAAGTTTTTGTTGATACTTTAAATTCTTTCTTATCTATCAGTCTTCCCGATTTTTAGTGAAATTTAAAAGCTAGAAGATTGTTGATCATTTCATTTAAACAATTACAAATTTTTATTTAGGTAGCAGGCAGATCATCAGTTCTTTCACAACCTCCACTAAGTTATGCTAGAGCCGTAGCTCCCAATCCTCCTGTTTTGCAAATGCAAAAGCTTTTAACTGAGGTTTCAGCTAAATATATCTAAATCTAAATAACCATGTTAATTTGTTACATTTTAGTCAGAGAATGTAGACAAAGTTTGTTCATATTTTAAAAATCATTAGTAATGGGTTGTTAGATAAATAATGAGCCCTTTTCGCATTTTTAGTCTTTTTTATGTATAGGTATTCGAATTTTAGTTAGAATTATTTTACATTTACTAGAGTCGATGGTTCACACTTTTTTCTACTATTCTAAACCATCTAAAAAATAAATTTTGATTTTTGCAATTTTTTAAAAATTTTTAAAAATTATGTCCTCAAAATCTGAAATTCGGACTGTTGTTTTGTATTGCTTCAAACTCGGTCTAAGTACAACTCAAGCCAAAAAAGAAAATGCCGCCTTGAAGGGCACAAGTTGGGCATCTTTTGCAATAATTAAGCGATGTTACAAAAAAATTCCGTGATGGAGATATGGGCCTAGATTCCAAAAACCCCAAATTTGGGCTAAATTTGTGGTTTTACGCTGGGAATTAACTCCTAAGGGCTAGAGATTGCCGGGCGAACTCTACAGAACAATATTGGACTGAGTTCAGATTGCTTTTGATCGTTTCACTGCTTGTGGGGTTCGTTATGGTCAAGTTGTCTTTCAACAGAAAAATGCACCACCCGCATCGCGCGAACGCAACTCGATCCCACATTACGAAGACACTCGTATGGCAACTTTTATTTCATCCGCCTTATTCTCCGGATATTACGTCGTCTGATTACCACTTATTCCGTTCGATAAAAAATCTTTTGCGAGATGTGAGCTTCAAAAATGATGCTCAACCCTCAAATCGGGTTGCCATATTTCTTGATACCAAATCTGCCACTAGATTTTATCAGAGGGGAATTAAAAAACATCCCAGGATGTGGCAAGATGTGATAGATAATAATGGGTATTAGATTGTTTCTTGATTTCATTTCATTATTTAGTTATAGTAAATTGTTTTAATTATGCGCAAAGGGCTCATTATTTATCTAACAACCCATTACTTGAAATTTGTTTGTTGTAAAAATTTACTAAAAGTTTTGTCATGTTTTACATTAGTTGTTATTTTTAGTTTGTATTTATTAGAGATGGGAAAATTCGAATTAGAATCGAATACTTCGAATTAAAAATTATTCGATTTTACAAAAAATTCGGATTCGAAAATATTCAATCGATTATTCTGTTCTTCCCATCTTATTGTTTTCTGGTCCCCCAAGCTCAACATAGACATTGACCATTTTTAGGCCTAATATTTTTTGCTAAAACAAAATAAATTTTTTAGCCTTCCTAATGCTACGGTTACATAAAAATCGCGCGCGACACGCGACAGAAAAGATAATGTAAAAAGAGGAGAGAAAAATCGCGCGCGATTTTGTCGCTTTTTTCTAGTGGTTACATAAAAAGCGACTTCCGCCGGCGTCTTGTCGCGCGCGACTTTGTCGCTTTTTTGAGTGGTTACATAAACCGCGACTTCCGCCGGCGACTTGTCGCGCGCGATTTTGTCGCTTTTTCTAGTGGTTACATAAAATGCGATTTCCGCCGGCGACACTTTTTTTGATTCAAACATGTTTGAATTTTCGGCGACACTTTTTTGCGACATGCTATTTCTCGATCAATTCTGATCCGATTTTCAAAATTTAAAAAGATTCTGAAAGTTCAGTTTATTCTCTATCGATCAATATAAATTTTATATTTTTAAAGCTAAATTTTATGGGTCAAAATTGATTTTGAAAAAGGTATACTTTTTGCAAAAAAATATTCTTTTTTTCGATATTTTTGAAATTTTCAGTATGCTAACGAGTATTTTTATCATAACTTTTTATCAATCGGTCAAAAATTCTGAATTTTTAATATGTTGTAGAGCTTTTGATTCTCTATCATATGATATCAAAAACATAAAAAAGTGACCATTTCTTGATGAGTAGGGCTCGTCCCATATATACACTAAATATTTTTCCTGATTTCCCAGTGAAAACCCGGTCTAACTCTAATATCATCTGATTAACAGAGGAATGAATAGATATCAGAGGATTAAGTGGGATATCTGTGGATTAAGAGAGATTAAGAGTATTTGAATGCTTTTATGTAGACTTAGAAGGATAACGGTATATTTGGAGTGATAAAGGATGATTTGAAGTAGAGTTGGCCGGTATCGGGATTTAGAGAAAAACCCGGGATCGGGATTTTGGAATGGTGATCCCGATCCCGGATCCCGACACGGGATCGGGATTGGCCGAAATCGGGATCGGGATTTGGACTGGAGATACCGATCCCGGTCCCGATCCCGAATCGGGACCGGGATTGAAAACTCGGGATCGGGATTTACTAAAAAAATTTTTTTTAACTTTTAAATTTTTATTTTCTTCACAAACGACTCAATATAATTCTAAAATTTCCACTGCGGTGCTAAAATATTGAGCTAAAGTCTCATAGACGCATGATTTACTTTCTGGTTCAGGGCAGGGGGGTCCACCGATATCCTTCTATGCTCCAAATCCACTTATACTCCCCTCAACCCCTCTTGATCCCTCGATATCATACCAAATCACTCAATATTTCATTAAAGTGTAAAGACAGTTTTGTTTATTTTTGCGGCGCCGCAGGCGAAAATTTTGAGAATTTTGGATGTCAAGATGCCAAATTTCTTCCATTTTCTGCGCCGCAGGCGAAAATTTTTCTTAATTTCATGCCTCCCCTCTTCTGTTAACTTTAATTCACAGACTTCTAGTCAATTTATAAAGTCGGGATTTGCATCGGGATCTGCTGCACATCCCGATCCCGATCCCGGATCCCGGCTCGGGATTGAAATTGGCCGGGATCGGGATATTTATTTCGGGAGCGGGATCAGAAAAATCGGAATCGGGATTTGAAAAACCCGGGATAATCCCGCCCGATCCCGACCGGGATCCCGATCCCGGTCGCCCGATCCGTCCAAGAAAACAAAACCGAAAAACCACCAATCAAAGTTCAACAACCTCAAAGGAATGTTTGGGATTTTCTCTAGAAAATACTCTTGACCTTCGATATGAAGGCAAATTCCTCTATATCCCGCTTGAACAACTTTATACCTCTTTCCAATTTCAGCGCCGCAGGCGAAAATTTGAGAATTTTGGAAGACCACTGGGCAAGATTTCTTCCTTTTTTCCTAATTCTAGGATCCTAAAATAGTCCCAAATTGTTGACATTTTTTCTAAAATAGGTATATTGAAAATATCTCATGTCTTGTGGCAAAATACGAGATACGAGACCTCTAAAAAACACGAGATTTCACTAGATACGAGAGGAGCGCCACAGCAAGTAATTTAAAAATGATGTACTACGAATTAAAAAAACCTGATCGGTACCATGGCAGAATAAAATGATTTGATTTTATAAATTTTATTTTAGTTAATATTCAAAAAATTTTTAATCGGATTTAGTGGTTACATAAAAATCGCGCGCGACACGCGACAGTCGCTAGGCGACAAGACGCGCGCGACAGTCGCTAGTGGCGTGGTTACATAAAATCAGCGTTTGTCGCTTTGCGACAGTCGCTTTTGCGGAAGACGCCGATTTTATGTAACCACGCCACTAGCGACTGTCGCCGGCGACATGTCGCCTAGCGACTGTCGCGTGTCGCGCGCGATTTTTATGTAACCGTAGCATAAAGATAATCGATAAATTCGCTTTTAATTTTATAGATGCCACAAAAACTTTTATAGAGGATATTTGACTTATACCCAAGTTGAGCAATTTATTATGATAATAGAGGATTATATTAAAAAATTGGACGTGCTAGACAAGAAAAAAATTTCAGCAAAATTATCTCGTTATGTTAAATTGGGAGAATACGACCAATCAACAAAAATGCTTTATTTTAATAAAAAGAAGGTTAAGGACCATTTGTGGAGTTCAATATTCATTTGACCTGGAACTTGATGATAAAAAGGCATAGGATGTCGTAGCTAGTGTTTTGAACAAATAAAAAATTTATAGACAAATGAAAAAAAAGAATATATACATACTTATCGTTGCCTAAACATTTTGTTAGTTTAGGCATTATATTGATTTTTTACCGGTAATTTATTTATGTTTTTGCTGATTTTTGATTATTTTTTGTGATAAATTGATGACAATAATTGTTCATTTTTCAATTGTTTTTAGATCCATCATTTTCTCCCAGGGGCTAGTGAACTAGAAGATTACCTAAAAATTTGCGATCGCCCATAAATCCATTCAAATGCCATAGTTGATGTCCCAGAATCTGTATTAACTTGAATTGCACGTTTATAGCTTGGTAATGTTGAAATACGTCGATCAATTATGTCAAGCCGACCCAGAAGATTTCTTTATCGCTATTAAAAGTCTAATTTAATTTATATTAGGACTAGCTACATTTCTCTGTTTTGAAACGCAAACGTGTAGATTTTTGTCATCTATTTGTGAATCGGGTGATTAAAAACATTTTACATAAAAGAAATTTGTCCTTGCTGGCATTTTGTCATTTTACCCTTATTGGCTTTTTTGTTTTGGCATTATGCTTGCTTAAGGGGTAGGGACGTTTCAGAGTAGCCGAGACTAGGGGACTATTCAGTGCAAGCCATTCCAGAGTACCCGGTTTCAGTTAGAGTAGCGGGGACGTGGTTTTTTTATTTTTAGTGTGTTTACTTTATTTTAGCGTGTTTTTTATTTTTTTAGCGTGTTCCTATTCCAAAATGAAACAAAGTGATGACCATCGAGGTGGTACGCAGCAAGACTATCAATCTCGAGATGGAGCTCATGATGGAAGCGGTGCTAGTAGTTCTCATGGTGAACATGGAAGCTCACAACCAGAAGTGATTTTGACGGAGGAGGTTTCAGTTATAAATAATTTAAATAAATTTAAATTCATCTTTTCGGAAAATAATTGTTTAATCTGTTTATTTAGTCCGCAAAATAAATTTCTGATTTTCTAAATAACCATAATAATTTGTTACATTTTAGTCAGAGAAGGTAGATATGAACGAATTTCTGCGGCTTAAAAACAATGAAATTGAGATGACGGTTTGAGCTTTTCATCCATTTTTTTATCAATTTATAGGAGAAAATGGAGAAACTTCTTGAGGAGAATTCAGAGCTTCTCAAATGCATTGAACAATCGCGGAGAGAAGCTTGGACGACTATGCCTAATAAAGTTGATAAGGTATTCTTTTTTTCTCAATTATTTTTATTTAAATTCGGTCCCAACAGGAAATCTACACGCCTTCTAAATTCCTTGACGAGGCCAAAGAATGTCTCAATGTGTATCCGCCAAATCTGGTACAGAGTAGTGAAAAAGTATTGATTTTATTTTTTTAACTTTTAAAAATGTATTGTTTTTTTAGACTTGGCAAGGTTTTGCTTCCGCTGTAGCTCTGTTTCTTAAAGATTTAGAAGTGATCGAGTGGGGTGGTTCAAAATTTGTTGGTATAAATCTACGAAGCTATTCTTCAACTATCAGTGTGGGATATTTTTTGGCTACTATGGCAGCACATTTTTGTTCCGAGATGGAACTTTCAATTGCTGTTGGATGCGCTGAAGAGTTCGTTCATATTTTAATTAGAAGCGAATACTTTGAATTAAAAATTATTCGATTTTACAAAAATGTGGGTTAGAGTTCGAATCATTTGAAAATATTCGATCGATTATCCAATTCTTTCTATCTTATTATTTTCTGGTCCCCTAAGCTCATGTCAATATAACATTGACCTTTTTAATAATATTCTTTGTTAAAACGAGAAAATTTTTTTGGCTTTCCTAAAACCGATAAATTCTTTTTTATTTTATAGTTGCTACGATAATTTCAACTATTGCAATTTGACCCATAACCTAATTGAGGAATCCATTGAGGAAATTGAGAATTACATTAAAAAATTGAATAAGCTGAACAATTCAAGAAAATTTATTGCGGCACACATAGCTCCTTTTGTGGAAAAAGGAGAATACGACCAATCAACAAAAATGCTTTATTTTAATAAAAAGAAGGTTAAAGACTCCATTTGCGGTGTTGAATATTCATTTGACTTGGAATTTGATGAAAAAAAGGAAGAGGATGTTGTGGCTAGTGTTTTGAACAAATAAAAAATTTATAGACATGAAAAAACAATATATACATACTTATCTCCAATTTTAAAATTTATTGTTGCCTAAACATTTTGTTAGTTTAGGCATTGGTTTTATGCTTTTCTGATTCTTGATTATTTTTTATGATAAATTGATGGCAATAATTGTTCCTTTTTTTAATTGTTTTGAAATTCATTTTTATATTTTTTATAATTGGTTTATTTGATTTTACACATTTTTAGGGTCATTTTTCTTGCTATTTTAAATTGTATATGTCAACAAATGCACTTAAATACCAAAAGTCAACTTCATTTTCCATTCGCACCAAAGAAAACCAATTGTTTTACTGCTGGTCTAAAAGATGTTCTTATAGATGTGATTCATCAACATCCTGTAATTTGGAATTCTTCTCTAACTGATTACAAGAATGTTAGCATTAAATAGTATTTTTTTAAATATTATCTTTTTATTATAGAATTTGACTGGAAACCGGTTATTTGATAAAATCCCAGGGTTTTCTGGGATTTCCTGTTTTTAGTATTTTAGTCCAGCCTGAATCTTGCCTTAAAACCGAAACCCGTCCCGGAAATTGGAAAATGTCGAACTTTGCTTTATTACATAGTTTTATTTGTTTTTAGCCTCAAAGTAGGATTGATGCCTTTGCAGAAATTGCTAAATTATTCTCTGACGATAATTATAATTATACTGGTATAATTTTTTAGAGTTCAATTAAACCGAGTAATTTGCTTTTTTTAAGGAGCACAAATAGAATATGAATGGGAAAATTTGCGCGATACTTTCAATGCAATATTGGCAAGACTTTCACTTGGAGGAAGTCGTGATGATATTACTTGGCGTTATTGGCCAAAGGTTTATTAAAAAATTAGCTATATATTTTTTTATTTTTTTGTGTTTCTAGTTGCAATTTCTTGCTAAATTTGTAACTCCTATGCCAGAAAAATCTCCTGAAAGTGAAGAAAATCAACAAAGTGATAATGAATATACAAACGAGGCAACACCAGACAAAATGACAGGCAAAATTTTTCTTACCGCCGAAAAAGATGAGGCTCTTATATCTGCTATCAAGGATCGACCTATTATTTGGGATTATTCTCATCCTTATTACAATAATGTAAATGTTTTATTTTTTTTTATCGTCTATTAGGTTTGTTCACGAACGGTTGATTTTTGTGGTGCCCATTACTCGTTTGTTTATTTTTCAGCGTATGAAAAGAGCCTCTACTTATGCTGAAGTGGCTAAATTACTTTCTGATGATAATCATAAATATTCTGGTATTTTTAATTTATTTTTATTGAGCAAATTTATTTTAAGGAAAAAATTTAAAGTTGATTTGGAGAAGTTTGATTAAAACTTTTAGAGACATTTCAAGGAGAGTTAAATCAAATGTTGAAGCTGATGATAAAGTTACTTGGCGTTATTGGCAAAAGGTTTATTTACAGTTAAAATTTTTTTTAAATTTCTAGTTGCAATTTATAACTCCTGAAAAGTCAGATAATGCAAAATCAATTATAATAAAAGACAGAATTTTTCTTACCGCCGAAAAAGATGAGGCTCTTATATCTGCTATCAAGGATCATCCTGTTATTTGGGATCGTTCTCATCCTTATCACAAAAATGTAAATCAGTTTTATTTTTTTCCTTTTTTGCCTATAGGGGTGTTAACGAACGGTTGATTTTTGTCTAGGACAGCTTAAATGGATAATAAGAGCTTTTGAGCAGCCACCAAGGCCCTTGCTTCTTTTTATAGGTGAAAGAATTCACTTTTTTGATAATTTTCTTCAAAAAATTTTCATTTTCCTCCATTTCAGGGGGCTTCAACTCCCTAAGTCCTCACCTGGACCGCCACAGGCAATAAATTGCTGCTCGTGAACCAGAGGGTGAATTTCGACCGACCTCTGCCGTTAAGACCTATATTTTTACTTTTTTTTTCAGAATATACAGCGATGTAATGTTTATGCTGAAGTGGCCAAATTACTCTCTGATGATAATCATAAATATTCTGGTATTTTTTTAATTTTTTATTTAGCAAATTAATTTTAAGGAAGAAAAGTAATGATGGTCTGGCAAAATTTACTTGCCACTTTCAGAAAGGTTAAAGCAAATGACCTAGCTGCTAATGATACATTTACTTGGCGTTATTGGCAAAAGGTTTATTGAAAAGTTAAATTTTTATTTTTTTTAAATTTCTAGTTGCAATTTATGGCTAAGCCAAAAAATCAACAAAAACCAGTAAAAATAACAATTCCCGAAGAAAAAAAGGATGCTCTTATATCTGCTTGCAAGGATCGTCCTATTCTTTGGGATCGTTCTCATCCTGATTACAAAAATGTAAATTAGTTATATTTTTTCCTTTTGGGGCCTATTAGGTATGTTCACGACCGGTTAATTTTTGCTTGTGTCAGCTCATCAGGTTAATCAACCGGAAATTAACCGGTTGTGAATAACCTACTATTCGTTTATGTATTTTTCAGTTACGAAAAAAATCTATTGTTTATGCTGAAGTGGCTGAAATACTTTCTGATGATAATCATAAATATTCTGGTATTTTTTTAAATTTTTATTCACATCAGCAAATTTATTTTAAGGAAGAGAAGTTTTCTTGGTCTGGAAAAGGCTTCGTGAATATTTTGTAATACTTAAATCAACTGGTTTAGCTGCTGATGATGCATGTACTTGGAAATACTGGAAAAATGTTTATTTAAAACTTAATTATGTTTGATTTTTTAAATTTAAGTTGCAATTTATTGCTAAATTCGTAACTTCTCAACAAATTAGCAATAATAAAAAAATAAAAGATCGAGTCTTTCTTACCGCCGCAAAAGATGAAGCTCTTATATCTGCTATCAAGGATCGTCCTGTTATTTGGGATCGTTCTCATCCTGATTACAAAAAAGTAAATGTTTTTTTTCTTGTTTTTTGTTTGGTGCCTATTAGGTTTTTCACGCCCAGTTTATTTTTCCAAATGGTTGTCGGAACTGCTGAAGTTAATCTATAAAATTTAGATTAACTTTTTTTTTTACAACTCTGGTGCCTATTACTCTTTTGTTTATTTTTCAGTTACGAAGAAAAGCTACTGTTTATGCTGAAGTGGCTGAAATACTCTCTGATGATAAGCATAAATATTCTGGTATTTTTTTAAAATTTTTATTTAGCAAATTTATTTTAAGGAAGAGAAGTAATGATGGTTTGGAAAACTTTGCTTGCCACTTTCAGAAAAGTTAAAAGAAATGACCTAGCTGCTGATGATACATTTACTTGGCGTTATTGGCAAAAGGTTTAATAAAAATTCAATAATTTTTAATTTTTTAAAAATTTCTAGTTGCAATTTATTGCAAAATTTATTGCTAAACCTGCAAAATCAGAAAAGCAACCGAAAAACGACAGTAAAATAAAATTAGGTAGAGTAATAAAAGACAAAATTTTTCTTACCGCCGAGAAGGATGAGGCTCTTATATCTGCTTGCAAGGATCGTCCTATTCTTTGGGATCGTTCTCATCCTGATTACAAAAATGTAAAGTTTTTTTATTTGTTTTTTGTATCCTGTTTCTGACTTAATGCTACTATTACTTTTACCTCTTAAATTAATTTTTTTCCAGATTGTTCAAAGAGCCTATGCCTTTGATCAAGTGGCTAAAATACTTTCTGATGATCATCATAAATATTCTAGTTTTTTTTTATTTTTATTGATCTGAGCAAATTTTATTTTAAGGAGTAAAAGTAGGGTTTATTTGGCGAAGTTTGCTGTCAACTTTCTATGTATTTTTAAAGAAAATTGAATCAAATGGAGGGGCTAGTGATACAGTTACTTGGCAGCACTGGCACAAGGTTAAGCTTAAAACTTTAATTTTATTTTCGCGTTTTTAGTTACAATTTCTTGCTAATAACAAGCAACTAAATAACAGAATTGAAGAGCAGCCTGCTAGTGCTGGAACACAAAAATCAAGATCATCTCAAGAAGATTTTCGCAAAGGCAGTCAAGACTACGTTTTGTTTACTTCCGAGCAAAAAGAAGCTTTTATTGATGCTATTCGGGAACGTCAAATTATTTGGGGTTTTATGCCACGTAACTTCGAGGAGGTTAGTTTTATTAAGTTAGATCTTCCTATAAGATACTCCCAATCAATTTAAGATACATTAAGCGATTTTACCTTCTATTTAAAATACATTCGTAAGATACTTTTCATCCTTTAGTGTATCTTATAGTGAGTTTTTTGGTTAGAATTTTTTTTATTTTATTAGTTTCAAGAAAGGAGAGCTGCCTATAATGAAGTCGCTGAAATTCTTTCCAACGATAAATCAAAATATACAGGTTATTTTTTATAATTTAAAATTTAAAAACTAAAGTTTTTAGGACCAGAAATGCAATATTTATGGCATAATTTGCGTAGTTCATTTCAACATATGTTGAAAAAGGTTATTGCAAATGAAGGAGATGATAGTAAAATTACTTGGATTTATTGGAAAAAGGTTAATTAAAAATTTTTTTAGAATTTTTCTTTATTCTTTTTTTAGTTAAAATTTATTGAAGAATATGAGCGTACAAAAATAAATATAAGAATGTATTCAAGTTTTAAATTTTAAAAAATAAAATTTTAATATTATAGGCCCGAGGAGGCGTCGTCTCTTAATTCAAAAAATGCGGGCGAAGAAGAAGGGGAAGAAGAACAAATAAACGAGGTAAATAAATATTTTTTTAATCTTTTTTGTTTAATCTTTAGCCGTCTACGAGTGATAACTATCATCATGATTCTCAAAAGGAAAAAGGTTTGTTCAATTTCCTATAAAGATCGAAAAATAAAAAAGCCTTACATTAACCAAATTCTTGACCTTGACTTAAGGAAAAATGAAGGTCTGGATTTAGATCCAGCTCGATCTCTAATTTAATTTTTCAAAATAGATTTATTTTTCAGATTTTGTCAACAACTTGAATTCTATGACTGTTGATTTGTCTAATTTTGCCATCTTTCCTGATGAGGTTGAAAAGGTTTTTTTCTTTATTTTTTTTCTGACAGATCACAAATAAATAAATTTTAAGGGTGTTAAAAAGTTGGATAGCCATGCCCATATTAAAACAAGAAGTTCAACATGTAATAATGATAATATTTTGTCAATTAATACTAGTCCAAATTTGGCCAATTCAAATAACTCGTCAAGCAGCCAAATTGATGAATGGAAGAAAAAATCTCGTCATTTTACAAATTGCGCACATACCGATACATGTGATCCTTTTGGATTATTTGAAGCAAATGAAGAGAATATTTGTTTTAGCTGTTTGGAGATTAGAGCTGATTTAAGAAAAAAGGTTCGGAAATATTTTTCTATTGATTAATTTAAAGAGCAGTCGCCATAAGATACCTCCAAAAATGTTTAAGAGACGCTCTTTAAAATAGTCGGCCACAGGGTGGGGTAGCTGTCTAATCAATACCTTCTATTTAAGATACACCTTATTATAAGGATACCCCCTATTTAATGTACACCTCATTAATAAGAGACGATTTTTCCAGGGTTATCTTATAGTGAGGATTGATTGTATTTAACTAAAATATTTATAATTAAGGCCATTTTAATGTGGGACGGCGAACAATTGGAACAACAACTTTGTGATTATGCATATTTCCATGCCATTAAAATATTTAATCCTAATGCTGAATATCAATTTGCTAATTCAAAATGTTTGTGTTTTTATAAATATTAACTTAAAAAATTTGTTTTTAAGCTCAACATCCTTATTTTCTTTCTTATAAAAATATTAGACAACAAGTAAAAATTATTCTTAAAAATTTGTCTTCTTTATTTAATTTCCCTTCTGAAATGACAAATGCTGCAAAAAGAGCTTTTATGAAACAGACAAAAAATAATCAAAACGCTTTGAGAATTTCTACATATTGCAAGGTTTGGAATTTTTAAAAAATAATATTTGAAGCCCTAGACAGAAGTAGAACCTGCGATTATATTAAAGATTCTATACCGACTATGGATGTCACGGGGATTGAAAAAAAAGTCGGATGAGGACTTTCAAGATTTTCTTTGGATCGGGGTTCGGGGCGAAAATAAGATTGAGTTTCGGATAACCCGTGACCTCCATGCTTCGGTCATTTCAAACTTTTCACTAATTTTTCTTTTAAATTTTAAGATTTGTTGTGAGAAGGTAACTTTTACGACATGTGTTCTTACATTTGAAGGAAATAAATATAGAAATAATTTTGAATTAATTGAAAATGATGATCCAAAGGTTTTTATTTAATTCAAAAATTTTTTCTAATAGAAAAATTTTTAGCCTAATAATTTCATTGTCTGTTTTCGCCATGCAAAATTGTTTTGTATTTATTATCGCCTTCTCCATATGGATTGGAATATTCATTGGAATTGTTATTTGAGGGTTATTTTTTAATTAAAATTTTTTTAATAAATTTAATTTCTAGATATCTCAAATTCAAAAACGTTTGCCTAATTTGAATGATTCTAATGTTATAAATGCTATTGATCCTCAAATTTTTATGGTATTTTTTATGTTTTAAGAAAATAAAAGTTGGGTATACCCTCGGAAACAAAATTTTCTTTAAGTTTTTAGGGGTTTCCGAAAATTCACAATTTTCCCGGATTTATGTATTTAGGCATAATCCTACCAGGAATTGGTTTACCCGGTACTCGCTTTTCTCTCAAATTGTGACATCCCCGATCCCCACTTATGTCAGCGTGTTACAAAATATATGTAAAAAATCATTTTTAAAAATTTTTCAGTATATTTCGAAGGAATATTTTTCTTTATTTAAAATGCTAGATGAACGCTTATATGATGGAAGTGATGGAAATAAAAAAAGTTTTAGTTACGGAGTTACGGACTCGTTACTTGAAGGCTTTTATAGCTGGGACAAATTTAATGACTATATCAAGGATATGGGAATATTGAAAAGAATAGAAGAAGAAAAATAGTAATATTTTTTTATATATTAAAAATTTTTAGACATCTTTTTATTTATATGTTAACACAGCAATTTAACCAACAACCAAAAAATTTTCCCCCACCGGGGTTCGAACCTCCGACCTTCTGGGTATTTTATCGGAAAATTTTCCCACTACACCAAAGTATTTTTCTTGGATGGTTAAGTGGTTTAAATTGCTGTGTAAACATGGACCAGCAGGTAAATAAAATTTTATTTATTTTTCTGAACGTGTGCTGCCAGTATTTTGCTGAATTATCTCTGTAGGTTGTTGATTAATACTTTGAGATGAAGATTTTTTTGAGGCTCTAGAAGTTGATGAACTAAGAAAACCAGTATTTTGTTGTTCTTCGTTCTGATCTTTTTGTTGTTGTTTTGAAGTTGTTGAACTACCTCCGCCAGTTATGTTTGTAGCAGCGGAAGCTAATTGTCTGCCAAGTTCGCGAGCAGCGATACGAAGACCTGGGGCCTACAAAAGGAGATGAAAGGAGGAAAAAATGATTGAAATGGATGAAGAAAGAAACGGCAAAAAGCTATATAAAGCTAATAGAAAATATCACAGGTCTAGGCTTCTTCAGAAATTTTAGTTGTTGGAACGTTGTTGTGCTGCAACACTAGATGAAGAACAACTACTAGAATCTCTTCTAATTCCTCTACTACTATTTACATTGCCTCTAGTCATTGTTAATGTTGAAGAATCGAAAGAATTTGGTTGACATTTTGTCTTCTTTTCTCGCTCAATTCCAACAAAAGAGCCGGATCTTGAGCCTGAACTTCCTCTCAAACCTTTGCAAGTATTTAAAGTATTCAAGGGAAATTGTGGATTGTCCAAACTTTGTTGATTTGTTGTTGTTTTTGAAGGCGTTTTGCGAGAAGCTTTGCGTGAAATTAACGTTGAGAAGGAGTACTGAAATTAATTAGTAGGCAAAAAAGAAAAAAAGCAAAAAAGTAATTAAAAAATTAAAGCAGAAAAGTAAAGAAGCTAAAGAAAAGCAAAGTTCTAAAAAAAAAGTCTAAAAACTAACTAGAAAGCAGGAAAAAATAAAAAAAATCTAAAAAACCTTTTTCCCAGAAATGTTCAACAGATCACGATATCTATAAATTAATTCCAAATTTTCTAAAAAATTTTCGATTCTTCCCCCCAATTTACAAGTCTGAACGAAGAAATCTCTGGTAGCTATCATTCTTCATTAAACAAAAAATGTGATCAGCAGCCTCATCAAATGACCATCGATTTGGATTATTTTTGAGATTCTCGTCAATTATTTCCATTACTTTACAATCGATATTGACTGGAGATTGAGCATTGGAGTCGATAAATTCATTGTAGATTTCTGTGACGAGGACGGGCACCATTCGACAGCTACATTTACGGAGTTTTTGGACCTGGAAATGTAAAAAAAGATAAGTTTTTGGTAGGTTAAGACATGGAGCTAAACTTGCGGATAAAAATATTTTTGCGGACATCCGCAAAATATCCACTCCTAAAAAAGGACCCTTAAAATGCCCCAAAAAATTTATATAAAAATAACCTCCATCCAAAAACGCAAATTTTCTCCAGAATATTCTTTATCAAGAAATTTTTGTAGTGTTTCTCTTCCAACCTTTTAATTCATAAAAATTTATTTTTTAATTAGAAAAATTAAAACCGGATCAATTAATAATTCTTCAAAGGATTCTTCCCACAATTTTAACCTTCTAGTTGAAATATCGCCAGTTCTAAAATTTGAGATTTAAAAATTTTAATGTCTGAAAAAAACATTTTGTCATGCTGCCAAAAATCAACAGTATCTGAAATCCAGGGATTTGGTTGTCCTTGAAATGGATCTGTAGCTGAACCCAGTTGGACAATAAATGCATCGAATGAAACACTGTGGAAAGTAAATGGATTTTTACTTTTAATAAGTCAGATTTCTCTATAAAACACCCCCAATACTAACTACTAATTAAGATCCTGGGAGGGGGAAGTCGCCTAAGTGATACTCTCTATTTAAAAGTCGCCTCATTAAAAGAGACTATTGGATAAGTAATTTGCTTAAGCCCCTGTCCAGGATACTCTCTATTTAAAGGACGCCTCATTATAATAGACTTTTCCTAGCCTTTTCCTAGACCCAAAATATAAAATAATACCGATGTCCATAATATTGTAAATAACTTTCCGCTAATTTTGATGTCTTCAATACATTTTTAGACAATCTTGTTTGCAATTCAGAAATCTTTTTAAAAAACAAATTTTTAATTAAAGAATATTAATTTACTTCAATTTTTAAATAGTCTTTTATTTGTGTATATCTTCTCCTGCCAGGTTTTTGATAAAAACGGACCTCCCTGAAAATAAAATTTTTTAAAATAAATTCTTTTTTATTCCTTCTACACTTATTAAAATGAGACGAAAGATAGGCGCAACATTTTTTTCTTACACAAAAAACATGCCCAGGGGCATAAAGTTTGAGAAAAAAAGGGGCGGAAATTGGGCCAAAAAGTCCAGGTTTTGAGTAACCTTGACAGCTCTGGAATAAGTTGATTGTTTTTTTCAATAGGTCGATCATTTTTTAATAAGTTATTCGCGCCAAAATGCCACGCCGATTTTTCCCCAAAATTATTTTAAAAAAGAAAACCTTATATTGGGCGTTTTTAAATTATTTGAATTATTTAATTGAGATTCATTATCTTCCATTTGAATAACCAAAGTATTGCAAGTAGATTGTTTAGATCTTCCAGAACGACTTAATTTTCTAATATCCACCTTTAAAAATTGAAAAAAATAAAAATTTTTTAAATTCAATTTTGTTTACTTCAGTTGTATTAACACATCCAGGCACGGGTCTATGCAAATCCCAAAATGCTCTCTCTTGGCTATCCAATATTTGTCTTTCTATTCTGTCCCGTTTTTTGTCAACCCTTTAAAATAATTTTTATTAAAATTTAAAGATTCGGGAATTTCTAGGGGGGGGGGGGCTTGAAAATTTTAGAAAGGGGCAGAATCCCGTGCGATTGAAAAAAATTGAGAAAAAACCCCGAATTTTGAGATGGAAGTTTTTCCATGTGAGAACCCGTTCCTTATTAAATTTCTTTAGAATATTTAAAAAAAATTATTTCTCTTTACTTATATTGCGCCTCTGCTTGCATAAAAACGAATTCCCATTTTCTACTTAACATTTTTTGTAATTTTGCCAAGTTTTCTGCTTCAAAATCTTCCAATTCTAAATGTGCTTTGTTTTGCATTGTTCTTTTACACAAATAAACGGCTTTAAATAAATTTAAATTAAAAAATAATTTTTTAAATTAAATTTAAAAAATCCGCAAAAAATGTCCGCAATTTTTTGCGGACATTTTAAAAATAAAAAAAACCGTAATCCATATTTTCAGGTTCCCAACAATTCGAAGGCCAAAAATAGGGAGTTTGGAAACGATAAAAAGAAGTGTCTCCTCCTTTCATTGTAATTACGTGATCATCAACTTGAAATATATATCCGTGGGAAGCAAATAAATGAAGTAAATGATTGGCATCTATCTCATCAAAAACGTCAATGTGCTGAAAATTTTAATTTTATTACATATTTAAAAAATACTTACAGCAATTAACCAAACAATCAAATCCTGGCCGGAGAATACAGAAACTATTCTAAAAAATTTAAAAAAATAAAAAACGATAAAGTCCGCAAGTTTTGTCCGCAAAAAGATGCGGACAAAAATTGCGGACTTTTTTTTTAAATAAAATAATACTTTGAAAGAAAACTTTTGACAGTTTTTATTTTAATTCCATCCTCAGAATGTAACATTTGGCTTTAAAAAATTTTTATTTTAAATTTATTTTTAATGCTTTACTTTATTAATTTTTCCATTTTCCTGTAAATAAGCATATTTGGATGTGGATGCTTTTCTTCTGCAAAACTGGTACTACAACTAGTGGTGCTTGTACAATTACTGCTCGCCATTAATGTTCTAAAACCAAAAAAAATAAAAATGATAAACGATAAAATCCGCAAGTTTTGTCCGCAAATTTTTTGCGGACAAAACTTGCGGACTTTTCTCAAATAAAATTTTTTAAATTTAAAATTATTTTTAACGGTATTTCCAGTCAAAATAAATTTATGAAAAAAAAATCTTAAGAAAAAAGAACGAAAGAAAAATCCTTTTTAAACATAAAAAAGACAAATAAGCAGGGGATTAAAAAATATAATAAATTATATTTTTAAATTCTTTATTTTTCTGAGAAATAAAAAGAAAAAACACGGAAGTATAAAGCAAAAGAATTAAAAGTACATAGTAAATACAAATATTCTGGCAAATCATAGTATATTTTACTACCCACAATTAATTAAGCCAAGGTGTTGACTGTGGTGTAGTGGGATAAAATTCAGTTTTTTGAGGGAGAGTGGAAGGGGTTCGATCCTCTTTGATGGTAAATGATTTTTTACTCAAAAATTTTTCCTATTTTTCTTGTTAAAAATTTCCGGGACTTTTACAGCCTTAAAAATTTTTTATTTTGTTTTTTAATTCAAAAATATTCAAAAAACAAGCAAAAATAAACAAACAAAATTTTCTTGGCCATTATTTCCTCTTTGTTTAGGAAATGTTTAAAAAGAATGAGTGAGAGGATATATTTTTTTATTGATTATTGAAGACTGTCGGGAATGAAAGTAAAAAGGCTTTAAGAGCAAAAAAGGAGAAAGGAAAAGTAGATATATGGGAAAAAAATAAATTGAGTGTATTTGAGTGCTTTTTAGTTAAAAATATAAATTAAATTAATTGGATATTTTCATGGAAAATTAATTTTAAAATTGAAGGGAAAGGGTAAAACAAGGGGAAATAAGAGAGGATTAAATTGGAGTCCCTAAAAGTTCAAAAAATTCGTTAAAAGAAAATTTTTTTGTTTTTTCTATATATTCGGATATTTAGTGCAGTTTCCCCCCCCCCATGGGGACTTATCTATGAAGTACTAGCTACCCATCTTCGGATGATAGAACCAATGGTCCTCGGTATTGGGGATGAGTACCTTTATTCAGGTTGAGTAAAGCAGAGATCATTGTATTATCCAAAGATTTAGTGAAAATATTTGAGTAAATCTAACCCATGGGAGGGAAACTACACTAATTCCCATACTTCTATATTTGCTTAAAAAATTTTTTTGAGGTAAAAAAACTTCAAAAAAATACAGCAAAAAACAAATACTGGTAACGTGACAAAAAATAAAAATCCCTCAATTTTTGACTATTCTTCCTTCTTCTTGTAGAGAATGACAAAGAAAGGAAGGCTGATCATTAACAACAAAAAAAATATTTCAAGTGGACAACAAAAAAAAGACAATGGCACGTATTTTACAAAATAATTATTATTCTTGTTTTCCTTCTCTTTTTTATTGTTCTCTCATATTTTTCTAGAGAAACGTCATATCCTTATTTTTGTATATTTTATTTAAATAATGGACCACCAACACTGGAAAATAAATTTTTTTTTGGGAAAATAAAAATAACCACATTAATTTTTATGTTTATTTATTGTTCTCTCCTTTTTTAATTCTTTAAAATAAAACAAATAAAAAAATAAATTTTTTTTCTCGCTGTGGACAATGTCCATAATTCTCCTCTCCTTTTTCCCCCACAATTTCCTTTTAATATTTTAAACAAAAATTAAATTAAATAAATCATTTAGAAGCCAGGCCATTCTTCTTCCCAAAAAATATCTCTAATCCTTTAATTAAAAAATGTCTCCATCCTCAGGCATTTACAGAAATATTTTTAATTTAAATAATATTTTATTTAAATTATTTTTGATGGCTTTTTGGGTATCTACTGGAATTTATGGAGAAGGTTTATATCAAAATAAAATTGCTGTCGAACCTCATTATAAGATACCACCAACATTAGATACACTTCTATTTAAGAGACGGCCTTAAAATCTGGTTGGTCAACGGGTTGGAGAGCTGCCTAAGCGATACCCTCTATTTAATAAACACCTCTTTATAAGAGAAATACTCTCTATAAGATGCTCTCAATATTAGCAACACCTCTATTTAAGATAAGCCCTTTAAAATATAGTTAGCTAGTGGACAAGTAAACTGTTTAAAAAATACTCTCTATTTAAGCAACACCTCTTTATAAGAGACCTTTTTAAAGGATACCTTATATTTAAGCAACACCTCTTTATAAGAGACTATTTTTTCAACCCTAAAAGGGGGTATCTTATAACGAGGTCCGACTGTTTTTATTTTAATAGAAACATTGTTATCATCAAATCAACAAAGAATATCTTCACTTCCATCATCTCTCCCTTCCTCTTCCCTCCCCTTTTCTTCATCTTCCCTTGTTCTAGCCGATCCCAACTTTTCTCACCAATCAGCCTATTCTCCCCCAGCAGAGCCCAATCCAATTTTGGCATCAGAATATCAACAAAATGATGACGAAATTGGAGGAAATAGTGAAGTCTTGTATGATGAATCGTCTTTAAAAGAAGAAGAAAAATTAAAAAATAATTTAATAAATAATCTAAAAATTAGACAAAATTTAAAAAAAGATGAGCAAATGGATGGATTAGTAGAAAAATCCAAAAAAGAAAAAAATAGTTTTTCCTCGTCAGAATCACAAGGGTTAATTAAAAGAAGACAGTTTAGCCAATATGGAGCAGCACAAATTGGAGGAATGCCAGAAATGCCTACAGGAATTGGTCAATTTAAAATTCGGGAAAAGGTTTACAATACGTCCCACTCATGAATACGTACTGTAATTCGAGAAGGCTCGTCGGAGCTGAGTAGAATGACACCAAAATTCTGAGGGGCTTACAAATCTGGACTGAGATAAAGGGCTCGAAATGGTCAAAAACCGTGAAGGGGATTGCTTGCAGTTTTGTCGTTTCCCCCTAGTAATTTTTTTTGTTGATGTACAAAATGGTCAGTCATTCATTCGAGCTCTTTTGAATGGAATATATTTTTGTTCATATTTTGTCCATATTCATGAGTGGTACTTACTGTAAACTTTTACCCAAAAAATTTTATTCGTTTAACAAATAATTTAATTTTCAGCAGGTCCTCCAGGCCCTCCAGCAAGTGCTTGCCCAGGGGGCCCAGCTTTGCCTATTGAGTGTGATCCGAAAAGGCCTTGGCCCCAATGTCCTCCTCAAAGTTATTGTTATGCTACAAATTCTGTTGATATTGGACCTTATTATTGCTGTCCAGTTTGTTAGTTTTCTAATTTAAAATGCGAGAATCTCGCTACTATAAGGTACGCTCTTGCACCTTATAACGAGCTGTGTATTAAATAGAGGTTAATTAGTTAGGGTATATCTTATAGTGAGCTTTGGCTGTATTTTCAAGTAAAACACAATCGGACCTCGTTGTAAGATGCACCTTTGGGGCTGAAAAATGGTCGCTTATAATGAGTTTTAAATAGAGAGGTCTCTACTATCGGGGGTAGATTAAATAGAGAGTTTTTCTTTTATTGCGTGTATCTTATAATGAAGTATTAATAAAAATTCCAAATTAAAAGGGTCAACGTATGGAGCAGCTTGGAGACCAGCCACCCCATTTTATAATTATGTTCCTCCTCCACCTCCAAATTGGGCTGAGCCAGCAATGCAAATGGCCGCATCTCCTCGCTATGGACCTTTTAGAAAAAATTTAAAGGTAAATTTAAGTAAAAAATATTTATAAAAAATTATTTAAAGGAACAAAATGGTGAAGAAAATATAAAGGAAGAAGAACCAGAAGAAATTCAGAACACCCAAAAAAGTTTGAGAAGATTATAAAATAATCTTTTTTTTGTTTTTTTAACTTTACTTAATATAAAGAAATATTAAAAAAATTTAACATTAGTTCACATAAGGGGGCATATCTCGCTTAATTCTTGTGCCATCTAAGTTTTCTATACCTCATTCGAAAGAGCATAAAATACTTAATCTAAAACGTCGGCTCCGATCTGCCTACAATAAGTATTTTAAAAGACACAGGACCGGGAATTAGCTTTTTTATATAGTTTTTAAACATGTGGTAGTTTCAAAGTCTCCTCTAGCTAGATCAAAAAGTTAATCGGTGGTCTTCTTCAGTAGACTGGTGTGTTCACCACGCTGCCTCATTCACAGCCTTAGGAATTAGATAGCCTATATGCTTTACAGGCTAACATACTTCGATTTGTATTCGGTATTGGTAATAAACTCCAACCCATTCCTCCAAAAATTTCTTTAAATATTGGCACTTTTATTGACACTTTAATTTGTGATAATTCAAAAATATTTTAGTCTAGTCTTAAAAAAATGATAAGAAAAAATTAAAAAATAATTAATTTTTTAATATACTTTGGAGTTAATTAGTCAACAATTATTTTCTTAAGAAAATAATAAAAAATTAAATATTTTTAAGATTAAAGCCAAAATCATACGATTATATTTATTAATTTTAATAGGAAAATAATAAAAATGAATGTCAGTTAAATTTGAAAAGAAGGGGTCAACCCCGTTCGCCAAAACTCCTTTCCCTCATTTTTTACTTGTTCCTTGTTCATCTACTTTCCCGTGTCCTCAAAAAATAAAAATGATAACGGAGAGAAAGTGGTTAATTTGCCTTCCCACATATTTGACCAAAACGACATTTTGCCAATAAGGCTAAAATACACGTTTTGCCAATTAATTGTTGGCAAAACGTGTATTTTTAGCCTTATTGGCAAAATGTGGTTTTGGTCAAATATGGAATAAGGGCTTTTTTGTTATCTCAAAAAATATTTAATTATTTAACCAATAAATTCATTGCAACAATAAAAATGGGCGGCGTATTAGAGAGGAGAAAAAGCATTTATTTAAATTGAGGGGAACAGTTTATATTTCATTGCATTTGAAGCTCATCACAACGAAATAATTAAATCCCCCCATTTCTTCTCTAAATATTGGCCATTTCATTGAAATTTTGCCTGTTTAAATTTCAAAGAAAAAATTTTAGAAGAATTTAAGAGGTCATTTACTTAATTCCCCCTCTCCACACACGTGTTTGTTTAATACACGCGCTTCAAAAAATCACAACATATTTCTGTGGATTTTATTCAAAAATTTTTTTCAGTCCAAAAAATTAAAAAAAATTTTCTTTTAAAAATGGCTACAGCATTAAGTAATGTTCCCTGTCTTATAACTGAATGTGAAACAAAGGCGTCATTTGATGATGAAAATGATTACGATTTGGTGATTTTTATTTGTTTTTATTTCAGGGAATTATCAGAATGATGAAATTAGGAATTTTGTTGAAAATATTTTTATTTATTAGAAGAATATAAAAATACAACCGAACCCCCTATAGGATACACCTTTTGGGGGTCGAAAAAATTCCTACCTTAAAGCGAGGGTATACTAAACTGAGGGTATCGCTTCACCTTGTGGCTAACCAAAAACGTCTCTTAAATAGAGGTATCTGTTATTGGGAGTATCTTATAGTGAGGGTACCTTATAATGAGGTGTCTATTAAATAGAGGGTATCACTTAGGAAGCTCCCCCATCTTTTGGCCAATCAAGCTTTTAAAGAGCGTCCTTTAAATAGAAGTATTTCTAATATTGGGAGAATCTTTTATGAGTGTATAAAATTAATTTTTAAGGCCTTTGCAATGGACTCCTATGTAGCTGAAGTGGATCCAAACCAGGCACACACAACACTTATTTTTACGCTTAAAGAAGAAGCTGGGGCACTCGCAGAAACACTAAAAGTCTTTAAAGTATAACGAAAAAAAATTTTTTAATTGAAGAAATATTTTTTTAAAATTAAGTTGAAGAACCTCAATTTAACCCACATCGAGTCCAGACCTTCAAAAGTCCATCCAGGATGTTACGAATTTATGGTGGAATGTGCAGAAGATTCGAATCCGGAGAGTTTGGAGGAAGTTATTTCTTTGTTTCGAAGGCGTGCGGAAAGTGCGGGGTTACACAAACCTAGAGTGCATGACCATAATTCGCAAATACGTCAGAATCCTGGTTGGTTTTTTGGATAGCTATGAGGGGGATATGATAGTGGGGATAATCATAAGATGGATACTATACCCATTCCAGCTCCTTCAGCATCAACTCCAAGCTCATTCGTTCCAATAGGCGCCCACATATTCCAATAGTAGCACACTGATTCCAATAAAAACCCACATATTCCAATAGACGCCCACTCTTTACGGTATCTCCTCTCTTTTAGAAGCCCACCCCATTAAAAATAAATGCCCATTAATTCCTCTTTTTATACAGAAAGCGTGCCTTGGTTCCCAATGAAGATGTCAGATATTGACCATTTTGCCAATCGTGTATTAAGCTATGGCGCAGAACTTGACGCTGACCATCCGGTTTTTAAAAGATTGAACAAAAATATTTAAAGTTTTTAAGGGTTTTCATGATGAAATATACAGAGCTCGACGAAAGGAATTTGCAGATATTGCCGCTTCTTTTCGCTAGTTGGAAATTTTTTTAATTAAAAAATAAATTTTCCTTTAGTGGAGATAAAATCCCTCAAGTGGAATATACACTAGAAGAAGTTGGGACTTGGAGGAAAATTTATGAGGAATTGGTGGGGCTATATCCAACACATGCCTGTCGTGAATTTAATTATGTATGTGTACTTTTATAGCCGAACCTCTTTATAAGATACTCCCAATATTAGATACACCTCTATTTAAGAGACACCTTAGACCTCGCTATAAGCGACTATTTTTAAAATCTAGGGGTGTATGTTATAGTGAAAGTCCAACAGTCTAAAATTTTAATTTATATTTATTCATAGATCTTCCCTCTTCTACAACAAAATTGTGGGTACGGCCCAGACCATATTCCACAACTGCAGAATGTTTCCGACTTTCTAAAAGACTGTACTGGCTTTACATTGCGTCCAGTAGCCGGTTTGCTCAGTTCAAGAGACTTTTTGGCTGGATTGGCTTTTCGAGTAAATTTTCGGAAAATTAACCCCTTCAAGCAAAATTTATATTTTCTAAAAAGGTCTTCCACTCAACCCAATATATTCGACATTCATCCAAGCCAGACTATACTCCAGAACCAGATGTCTGTCATGAACTTTTGGGGCACGTTCCTCTTTTTGCTGATCCAGATTTTGCCAAATTTTCTCAAGAAATTGGAATGGCATCTTTAGGGGCTTCTGATGAAATGATAGAAAAGCTTGCATCTGTGAGAGAAATTCTAAGAAAATTAAAAAAAAATTTTTTAAGTTATACTGGTTTACTGTTGAATTTGGTATTTGTGTGCAGGAAGGGGAGAAGAAGGCCTATGGAGCTGGTCTACTTAGCTCGTTTGTTTTTTCTTAATATTTGCCTATTGGGATTGGTATGGATCCAACCTAGCAGTAACATAAGCAGTCCACAAAAAAGTCACTTTTGGTGTAGTGGGAAAATGCTTGGATTTATAAAAATGAAGGTGAAGGTTCGAATCCCAATGACGGAAAATGATTTTATTTTATGACCTAAGTAATCAAAAACACCAAAAACGAATAAACGACTGATTTTTATTTATTTTTCCTATTTTTAGTTTCGGAGAATTACAATATGCGTTGAGTGGAAAGCCAGAATTACTCCCCTTCGACCCAGCAATGACTACCGAGACTAAATATCCAATTACTTCTTATCAACCAAAATATTTTGTTGCTGAATCTTTTACTGATGCTAAAAATAAATTAACGTTCTTTCTAATAATTTTAGAAAAAATTTTAAAAAATTAATTTTTTAGGGCTTGGGCAGCAACAATTCCTCGAACATTCCAAGTTAGTTACAATCCTTATACTCAAAGAGTTGAATTATTGGATCATCCAAAAGCTGTTCAGAAATTGGCAAAAGATGTTAAAAGTTTGTTTTTTAATTATAAATTTTTTTAAAATTTCCTTCCAATTTTTTCTAGCACAAATGGCAAAGCTGGAAGATGCCCTCAAAAAATTGAATTTCTCCAAATAAATTTTTTTTCTGAAAACGTGTAGATTCCTTCGAACGCTTACTTAGTTGACTCTTTCGAATATTTTCACTTATATATATATTAAAATTAATTTTTATGTATCTTCAAACAATATTTATATTAACCAAAAACAACAATTTTTTATATAATTCTTGAATCAATTATATAATTTCAAAAAATTTCCATTTTTTCTCTCCTCTCCTTGTCAATCAAAAAACATTAGCACTTCACTTCTTCCAAAGCTAAATAATAAAATTATTAAATTGAAAAATAATAATGTATTAGAGTCCTTTCCCTATGATAAAAATCCTATGGAATGGTTGAAAAATACCCCGTCTGTTTTAGAGCCAACCCCTTCCGCTCCTTAGCTTCCCTTTGTGGTGGGTTGAAAAGACCTCCTAAGGGCTCTATGCCACCAAAGAAACAACCCAAGCTCTACTACAGAAAAATATATTATCTAAAAATTCAAAACCTTCTTTAATTAGCATTAGAGTTGGAACTTCCTCATCACCCTCCTGACGATATTCAACAATTGCCACTTGCCCTTCTCCCTTTCCCTCAGCCATATTCTCACCTTAAAATGTTTTAAATTCAAAAATTAAATTAAAAAAGAAATACCAATAAAAAATGCAAGAGTTTTGAAACGATCCTTAGCTAACAAAGAAACAACCCAAGACTGAATTTTCTTCTTAAAAGCGTCAACTTGTTCAGCAGACTTTCCTTGTTTCTGCATGTGCTCAATAACCTTCTTCATAAAATCTTTTATGTAAGCTTTGAAAGTTGCTTGATCCTTTGAAAAAGAAATTTTGAAATTTAAGAGGATAAGATTATGGTCATGAGTGTGGGTATCTCAAAAAGTCTATCCGGACATTAGCAGTGAAGTTATGGCTCCGGAGCCGACCCCGAGTGGTGCATGATTTGAAATCCCGTAGCTGAAGTCTAGATATGAGAATGTCTAGAGCCGTGGGTAAGAATGTCCTATGTCCAGCACCCGACATTATTTGGAAACATTAATCAGTTGGCCCAGCATAATTGGTGCTGGAATGACTTTTAAATTGCCATGTCTTCAAAAAATATCCCGCCCCCAGGCCCGTAGCCAGGGGGGGGTGAGGGGGGAATTCCCCCCCCCCCCCCCGAAATGGGAAAAAGGAAAAAATTTTGGGTAAGGGCTGGGGCAAAAAAGTGAATTTTTTTGGCCTAAGGCCTCTGAAATTTAAAAAATTTTCGCCTGCGGCGCTAAAAAAGGAAGAAATCTGGCTTCTTTAGGTCCAAAATTCAAAAAATTTTCGCCTGCGGCGCCGAAAATCAAATTTTTGGCGCCTGCGGCGCCGAAAAAGTGAATTTTTTTGGCCTACGGCCTTCTAAAATTCTCAATATTTTCGCCTGCGGCACTGAAAATAAAAATTTTTGGCGCCTTCGGCGCCAAAAATTTGGCGCAGAAAAAATTTCCCCCCTTGCCCCCCCCCCCCGAAAAAAATCCTGGCTACGGGCCTGCCCGCCCCCTCCACAATTACCAAAGATATTTTTACCTCATAACAATTCATCTCCTGAAGACGATGATTGAGTACAAAGTCAATACCTCTCTCAACATGTTCTTCAGTTCCTTCATCCATCTCCTCAGCTGACGGGTTTGCCCCAGCCAAAGCAATATCTCCTTCCTTTCGAACAACTTGGCGTCCTTTGAACTCAAAAATGAGATCGTCCACAAGTTTCATCGGATAAGAGTCGGAGGAGAGCTCGTCCTCTAAATATGTTGATAATTAATCCTTTATAATTGCCAAAGGCCCCCATTTTCCCCTTATCCTCCCTTGCCAGTTCAGAGATCAACACTGATCATATCCTATTTAAAAAAAATGAGGATTACCACCCAAAAATCACCCAACCCTAAATTAAAAATATACCTGTGAAAACGTCCTTGTAAATAATCATATTTCTTCAAAAATTTCTTTAAAAAGTATCTAAAATTAAGCTTAAAAATAAAGATTAAACACAAAAAAAATGAAAAGATAAATATGTTTGAAAAATAAACAAATGAAAAATTAAAGAAAAAAACAGCTTAAAATATATTTTCAACAGAATAGCAACAAATTAATTATTTCACTAAAAACTTCCATTTTAATCAAATAAGCCAAAGCCCATATCGTCATCAGACTCTTCCTTCTCTTCAACCTTTTTGGCTGGTTCTTCCTTTGCAGCCGCCGGTGCAGCAGCAGCAGCTGGGGCCGCAGCGGCCACAGCTGATGCAAACTTTGATGGATCAGCTAGATACTCTTTAAGCTATTAAAAAATTTATTTTATTTCCGAAAAATTTCAAAAAACCTTCTCAGCCTCTTTAAAAGTAACATCAGTTTCAGCACAAACAGACAACAAACGCTTGAATGCGTTAGCAATAATATGCGGAATAGAAGCCTTTGTTGGATACGAAATTCCGAGAGAGACGGCCGCTATATTTCGAACTCCATTCATAAAACGAGCTCTCAAATCATCCGTAGTAATGTCCAAAACATCAGGAGAATAAATTGCTCCAGTGTCATAAACCTTTATAAATGAGAAGGGTAAAATTCAAGTCTGCACCCACCCTTTTCCTGCTCAAAGATTAAAATGGTCTGACTCCTCCTTAAACTTCACCTTATTTCCTCGGTCAATCAATATCCCACATTCCTTCCTCAAAGTTTATAAAATGTCAATTTTAAAATTAGTAATCCTCTTATTGACTGTTTGTGCCATAGGGAAAAAGAGTGAAGTTGAGGAAGGAGAAAAGTTTGACAATTCTTAATAGTCAAAGGAAAGAAAAAAGAAATTACCGACAGAAATAAGCCCAAGAATTTTTTAAAAATTTAAACCTGTTGTACAGCAAGACCATAAGAAAACGGTTGAATGTTCAACATGTTAAGCAAAGCAGCTTCAGAAGCGCCAACCTTTTCGCCAAGTTTTATAATATGAACTTCATTCAGAATTTCAATAGTTCCACGAGAAATTTTTGTTGGAATCTGAAGCGCTTGGAAGAAAGAAGTCTTCTCAGGTCCCATCCCAGTATTTTGCGGTGGCAGTTTGACATCGAGAGGTGCTAAAGCACCAGCTTTGGCTGGAGCACCCTGAAATAATTTTTCTTCAAACAATGAAGACGAACAAACCCGCTTGTTTTCCAACAACTTTTTACGAATTTCAGACAAATCCTCAGTCGTAAAAACAAATCCAACATTGCCAACAATATAAGGAAGCAATTTTTCAAGCAATGGATTCTTCTGCAAATGGCCTCGAATTGCCTTCCTTATCATTGTATTCTTTCCCATCAAAATCTCGCCATGTCCTTAATAGAAATTAGAGTAAGAGAGAGGAATTTAGCCCCGAGCAGGGATCGATCCTATGAATCCCTGGGAGTTGTTGGTCGGCGCCTACGCTCATCAATTGCAAGAGAGGGATGTCGGGTTGAACAAAAATTCGGATAGGGGTTATGGTCAAAAAAGTTTGGGTATGAGTAACCCGATTTGTAACCTGGTACAGGCGCTCTACCGACAGAGCTATCAGGGCGATGCTTCAAGGCCCTGCCACTAACTGGTAAGCGTTTTAAATGAATCATCCCCACACCTTCTTACCTTTATAGAATTTAAATTTAAAGAAACCTCGCATTGCTTGACGAATTTCCTGCATTTGTTTAGAACCAACATTGTCAACGCCAACTAACAAACATTTTGGATAGTCGTCAAAAAGAGCCTAAAATTTATTTAATTAAAAAATACAAAAAAATATACAATGATTCGAGTAAAATAATTTGCTTTCCAAGCAGTTCTGTCTCCTTTGCCCATGATAGCAGCACTCAACAACAATAAAATTAATATTAAAAACTAAAATCTAAAATAGAAATTAATTGATTTTAGCCTAAAAATACCGTCAACGCCTACAAAAATAAAAAAAAAATTCCAATAAGAAAAAGACAACGAGAAAACAGAGAAAACAAGATAAAAGGGTAAGGGATGGTTCAGTGCCAGCGGTTTGAAGACCGTTTCAGTGTTAATTCAGAGAAGCAGAGGTTGCACTGAAAGGTTGCACTGAAACGTCCTTTACCAATAAAAAACGTTTTCGGGTCGATTGAGTCCCACTAGAAGATTTTCCCAGGACTTTTTCTATTTCAGCCTCTAATTCTCTAACTTAGTTTAAAAAGAGAGAGTTAGCATTTCGATGAGAGTTGCTAAAGATTTAGACAAACGGATTTCTCCATTTTTGGCCATTTCTACAGTAAATCTCGTTGTATTTTTATTTTATTTTACTGTAATATTTTTAAATTGCTAATGTATTTTTAGATGTCTTAAGTAGCTTTTTATTTTTCCAAAATTATATTAAATTTATTGAAATGGCTTATCGAAACAACGGCTTAAACTGCATAGAATTACGTGAAAAGCTCAAAATTGCTTTGGAAGAAGAATATGAAGAGAAAAGGAGAACAAGATTAAAGGTTTTTTTGCTTAAGTTTATTTAAGACATCCACTGCTGTGTTGTGTGGTTGACACACCCTACTTGCATTTAGGGGGGTCCCTGGTGCCAGTTTTTTTGTCCTTGTAGGGGGTCCATGTACTAGATGGTACACCCCGAGTGGGGAGACAATCGGGTCTAGCCTTGAGGCAGCAAGGTATTAACATAGCAATTAACAAGTATATCCCAATCCCATCTACATTTAGCTGTATAATTAGCCTTTATGATTGATATTTCACTGAAAATTTCTTTAAAAATTTTAGGAAGGAATTACTGGAGTTGGCGAAATATTGAAGCAAATTAGAGATCCCCGCTCTACAGGAAAACAACGTATTATTTTAAACGAGTTGGGAGCGCCCATAAATGGCACATCTTTTTCATTTTGGAGTGCAAACCGGGCACCAGCTTCTTTTATTGCTTCAGCAACTGGAGAAAATACTGCACTGCCTTCTACCTCTAATAATCATCTTGTTAATGGTATTTTTTAAATTTTTTTTGGAGAATTTTACTAGCTTTAGACAGCAAGGGTTAGTCAGGGGGTCGATTGGGGCTAAAATTCCTCTCCACAAATTTTTCATTTTCCCTCATTTTGGGGGTGGGGTTTCAGCCCCCTTGCTACGCCCTTGTTCTCATCCTGGCTATCCAAATTTTAAAAAAATCTCTTAAATGGGGATATATTTTATTTGGGGATATCTTCTTAAACGGGGTTCGGTTATATTCTTACTAGGAATCTAAACTTAATCAAAAATCATTTTTTAAAGGCTTAAGCAATGTTGTAACAACATTAAAACCAATTCCTGTTCTCGTTCACTCCCAAAGTTCTGATGAGATTTCTGCTGCTGTTCTTCACCCAACAAAGCCTTCTGAAATTCGTAAATTAATTCGTTCAAAAATGGTTCGTTGCCGTATTTGTAAAAATCGGTTTTTGGAACGACATTTGTATGAAAGACATTTACGTGATAAACATCCAATTGAATTTTTGGCTTATGAAATACAGCAAGAAGAGGAAATGATTCAACAAAGAAAAGAAGAGTTGGAAACAAATAGATTAGATGAAATAATTAGTGGAGGATTTATTCCTCCACAAGAAGATTTGGATGCTTCCAAATATGAAGTCGATATTAATGAGTTTGTTTTTTTTCTTTTAAATTAAAATTTTCTGGGTTATAGTGTCCGTTTTTGCTCCCTTTTCACTTTGATTAATTCCTAGGGTTTAATGTGGTTATTTTTGGATTTTATAGGAGTTTTTGAGCTTAAGACCTTCAGAGTTTGATTCTGATTTTTTGACAATTGTCACATATTTTTGCTTTGTCCTGTGGGGTTCGTGTGGTTTATGGCCTTTGTGTGGAGCCTTTGATGTGAGAATGTCCCAGTGATGACCACTTTTTTGCGTTTAACTTTCTAAAATAAAAATTTTTTAGAATTCCACTTCCCGGTGAATTAACAGGCGGAATTCCTGCACGTTTTGATCGTTATGGTGTTTTATTTCAACCTAAACGTATTTACAAAAAGAAAGTTTCTCCGCAATGCATGTTTTGTGATAAACGTTATCGGAACGAGCATTCATTGAAAAAACATATTTCGAAAAAACATGCAGAATCTGCTGAATGGGTTCAATGTTTGAAATGTTTTAAGCCTGTTCCAAGTAAAGAAGAAATGCAAAATCATTTGTGTGAATTGGTTAGGAAATTTTTTTTGTAATTTTTCTTCTAATTTTTCACATTTTTGTAGGTCTTTATTTGTTTTGAATGTGTTCCAATTCGTAATTTATGTACGGAAGTCAGACTTTTTAATCATCGTGCAAAATTTCATCGTGGTCAACATTCTGGATTTAAATGCAATCTTTGCACTCAAAAATTCCTAACACCAAGAAAATTACGAAAACACAAGAAAATGTCTCATGTCTTCACAAAAACTTATCAATGCCATTTTTGCGAGGAATTGTTTATCAGCGAAACTGCGGTAAAGAATATTTTAATACGATTGAGCCTCATTATAAAATACCCCCAATATTAGATACTTCCAAACCTCTATATAAGAGACTTCAAAAATTTGGTTGGCCACAGTGTGGAGAGTTTTCTCTGAACGATACCTTCTATTTAAGAGACGTCTTATAAGTTACCCCCAATATAAGTTATAACTCAATTTAAGCGACGCTCTATAAAAGTTGGTTGATTACTGGGTGTGGGAGGGCTGTCTGAACGATATCCTCTATTTAACGTACACACATTGTAAGAGACCCCGTTATAAAAGACTATTTTCCATCTCCAAGGGGTATATTATAGTGAGGTTTTTGCCTGTATTTTGCTTCTATTTTAGACAATATTTTTTTTAAAGGTCACTACTCATGAACGTATTCATACTGGTATTATAAAATTTGAATGCAAAATTTGTGATTTCAAATGTAATCGTTTTCTAAATATGGAAGAACATCGAAAAGATGAACATGGCTATTTATGCACAATTTGTCAATCAAAATTGGGTGAATGGGCAGATTTGAAAAATCACATGTTAATTGAACATGGCGGTTATTTGTCCTCAGAATTTAATTCAGGTTCAAAAGTGTCAAGTAGAATAGGGAACAAGAAAATATATTTTTTTGTATATATTTGGTGTGGTGCTTGGATGTGCCTGTCTCCTTCGCCTTCCGCCGAATTTTCGTGTTTTTTGGTTTTTCGCTCTGGCGTTTCGTTTTTCGAATTTCGGTTTTTTTGATTAAAGTTAATTTAAAAAGCGAAAGATGAAGGATGAAACACCAAAAAAGACGAAAATTCGGCGAAAGGTGTTAGAGAGATTAGCACATTTTTGGTGTGGGTCTATTTAACCACTCTAAATTAATATTTTTTTCAACATTAATAATTTTTTAAAATTTTGTTGGTCTTTTTATATAGAGTCAATAGCCGGCAAAATTACGCCTTGGGCTAGTACTCTTTTTTCTTTCGAATTTTTTCTAATTAACAAGCTTTTAGAAAAATCTGTTTTAGCCAAATAATTTATTTTTAATAGAAGGAAAAAATGATTGCAGAGAAAAAGAGATTAAATTAATGAATTTTAAGCCCTTTAAAATAACTTAATTTTTAGTAGAATTTTATTTTAATTAAAAGTGATCTCATTTAAAATAAAGATTTCCAAAAAAAGATTATAATTAATATATTCACTGTTTAATTTCATTTATTTTTTTAAATTTATTTTTTTAATATTTATTTTCAGCTTTTCTTTAAATAAGCTTTTAGGCTACATCGAAAGCCCTCGTGTTTGGCTTATGTTCAAAGGCGAATAGAAGAAGAATGAAAATGAATGAAAAATGCCAAAACTGAAGAATTAGAATTTTGAAGATTTGCGGCAAAAGAAATCAAAAAAAGCTTCAAAAAATGATTTTTAATAAATTTCCCCCATTTTATCTTTTTTTCACACACATTTATTTTGACTATTTTTACATTGTTGTTTTTTTTCTCTTCAGGATATAAAAATTAGAAAAAATAATTTATTGAGACATTTAGTAGGCTAGGAAAAGTAAGGGCATCGATGACTCTGAGATAATTTTGTGTAAAAGTATTTTGTTATAACGTACATCCTTAGGGCCAATAAAATGTATCTTATAACGAGGTGAATCTGAACCTCCTCACTATAAGATTAACTCGTGGTGAGAGCAGGGCTGGGCGCAATTGCGGATTACGTGTTTTTTTGGCTTGCGGATTGAGTTTGCGGATTTTCAAATTAAATTTTTTTCCTTTTGCGCCCAGCCTTGGTTGGGAGTCATTCGTCCTTTAAAATGAAGGTATTAAATAAAGTAAATTAAAAACTTCATTATAAGATACACCCTTGGAAACATCCATATAGGATAAACCCTTGGGGCTGTACTTAGTCTCTTATAATGAGGTGTATCTTAAATAGAGAGTATTTTAGTGATGTTTATTTAACTTTTTCGAGATGAGTTCCGTCTTCTGTAATGACGTGAACGGTCATTCATTTCTTTTAAAGTTAAAAACAGGTAATTAGATTTCGTAACGTGGGTTACAAATTGTTGGGTAGAAGCAGTAATTATTTAAAATTATTATTTCAAGTCAAGCTCTCGTGACATTTTTTCATTTTTTCTTTTTAGTTGATTATTATTTTAAAGAGTAAAAAATTTTTTTGTTGATATTTAAAAGTGAATGTTTACAATATTTTAAATGAGGTAATGAATGACTCGTCGAGCCGACCTCGTTATAAGCTACCCTCGCTATAAGATACACCGAATACTAGATAACCTTTCTATTTAAGTAACGCTCTTTAAAAACTTAGTTGGCTACTGATTGGGGGAGATGCCCCTCCTCTTTTTAAGATACGCCTCATTATAAGATACCCTCACTATAAAATACACCCAATACTAGATAACCCCTCTATTTAAGGTACGCTCTTTAAAAGCCTAGTAGGCTACTGATGGGAGAGATTCCCTTATTGGGTAGAGGGGGAGGGATAATAGGCATATCCTCTATGTAAGATACCCCTCATTATAAGATACGGTTCTTTCAACGGGTGTATCTTAAAGTGAGTGTATTTTATCCAGCTCTAGTTTAATCCACACCAATTTTCCTTGTTAGGTAAAAATTACTTTTTAAATCCAAATTTACGTCAGAAAAGGTAAAATTAATCTATTTGGTGCTGGACTGCAAAAATGTTTAAAAATTCTTTTTTGGTAGATAATGGAGCTCTAATCCGTCCCCAAAATAGTAATTAAAATAAATTATAAAAACTAACTACATTTAATTTTTTCATTTTCCGCTAGCTTTATTTTTACCTTTAATAGCTAAATTAGTCTTTATATAACTCTCAACGACAATTTAACGCCAAATAATTAACTCTCTTAATTTAACAAAGGTTAAAAATGTATTTTATCGTTTTATCCTTTTTTAAATTCTTAAAAAAGGAAAAATCAAATCCGGCCAAAATCATTTATTTTTGTATTATCGCGTGAGATATTTTTGAGAAATATGAGTGGAAAGCTCAAAAGCAATTTTTTATAATTTCTTTTCTGCCATTCCAATTTTATTTTTCTATTTTAATTAATTTTTATAGAAGGATTTTATTTATTTTTTATTTCCTAGAAGAAGCATATTAAAAATGTTTCATGTCTATGACGCAAAATATTTTATTTTTCAAACTATTTAAAAACTTTTACTTAATTTTTATTTAATTTTTTTAGTTAAATCCTCTTAAATATTAATTTTTAAAGAAAGATGAATAAAATATATTTTTTTAATTTATGTCTGCAAATTATTTTTTTAATTATTTTGGCCAAATCAGAAGCTTTTAACATTCGTCATTTAAAAAAAGGTAGAAATATTTTTTAATTATAGTCGAACCTCTCTATAAGATACACCCTCAGGGCTGGAAATAGTCTCTTATAATGAGGTGCATATTAAATAGAGGGTATCGCTTAGCAATTGTCGTATTTGCAAATGTCGTTTTACCCACCCAATGATTAAATGGAAGAGCGTCTCCTATATAGAGGTTTCCTTATATTGGGGGTATCTTATACGGAGGTCTGACTATTCTTAATTAAAAAATATTATTATTTGTTTTTTAAAGAATCTCCTTTAAATTTTGTTGAAGAACAAGAAAATAGCTTCCCGCCACCAAAATCAGAACAACAAAAACTCTCAATAATTTATTTGCCAGAAGAAGAAATTGACAATTCTGGAGATGAAATTTTAATTAAAAATAATTCTGACCAATTAAACAAAAGAACAGCACAAGAACGCTCTACCGAAATCTTTACTCGGATGCGGAGCATTTGTGCCCGTATGCCGAGGCTTAAAAGAAAGAGAACTCCAAAGCCGGGATCGCCTGAATCTTTGGTTGCTTTTTTGTGTTCTAGCGCCAATATATTTTGAGGTGAAATGAATTTGGGAAAAGAAAAAAGTTTTTTGATTAAAAAAATATATATTTGTAAAAATATTTTATACTCTTTCGTTTGGAAATTAATTTGTATTTTTTAAAATAATTTGAAGCAAATTAAAAAAAAATTTTTTATTTGATCTCGAAATTGTTTATAAATTCTCTTTCATTTTTAAAAATTTTAATTGACGTGTTTTTAATTGAATTTTAAAAAATACACTAGACCCTCAAAAGAGAAGAACAACAAATAGCGTGTATTAGATAGAGGTGGTTCAAATATTGGGGATGAAATGCACCTCTATTTAATATACGTTTTTTCAAAAGTAGATTGCTAACTGGATGGGGATGTTGTCCAGACGATACCTTCTATTAGAATATCCCTCTATTTAAGAATCAGCTCAAAGATACGATTCCCTTAGTTCTCATAATAATTTATTTTTCCAAAAATAGCAAAAAATAAGAATATAATTGTTTCTGAAATTTAAAACCAATAAAGAAAAAAATGTTAAAAAAGTAAGATCTTCATAAATTTAATAATTGTAAAAAAGCAATTTTTTCATCCAAACTTCCAGAACATAAAAATACCAAAAAATCATTCCCTTCCTTTTCTTCATTAATTACTATCCATTTAAGGCACTGTATTGAATTACTGTGAATATTGTTTAAACAAATATTCAATTGTTTTGACCATTTTGGTAGTCGGTCATTTGAAGGGATTATAGAAAATATCTAAATGAGGAGCGACATTTGCGAACACGTCAGAGAAACGACATTTGCGGACATGACATTTTCGCACATGACTGGACCGAGGTTGCGGACTGAACTTGGTCTTTTGCGGTCAGTCCGCAAAAGTTTATCCGCAAATGTCGTTTTGATAACTCGTCAAAAAACACACCTGAATCTCTCCATTATTTAATCCTGCCGCTATTTTTGGATTTTCTTCAAAATTTTTAGTTGTAATGGCTAATGCTGTACAATTTGTATTACTAAAAAGGAAAGATTAAAAATATTTTTTTAAATAAAAAAAACTTTTTAATTTTTTGTAGAACACATTCAACCCTCAATTCTTCGGAGGAAAAAGAAATTAAATAAATTTGTCCAATAACAGAAATAAAAATTAAAGTTTGATTTTTAGTGTTGAGGACACACCAACAAATAAATTGATGATGTTTTGGATGCTTCAACTTTGAAAAAAATTTATTTATAATTTAAAAATTTATAACGGAAACTGAGCACGAACCGAAAAAAATTTTTTTCAAAGTCTTTGGGTTTGTATTTATTTTGTCCGAAATTTGTCTCTTTGGATTTCGAAGTTGAAGGTAGGCCTCTTAACAATTTTAAGGTTCAGGACCCTCGCCCAAATGATGAGACCAACCTTTTATCTTTGCGTAGGTCTCGAAAACGGCAGGGATTAATGGGTGCCGAAAAAATTTTTTAATGGGACACTCAAGGCACTCACTTTTCCGACCCGAAGCTTAGAAATTTAAAAAACCCTTCCCAGCTTTTTTTCACCCCAACCTTGGTTATAAAAACTGATGGGGACGATACTGAACCCCAACCTCAATTTCAAAACCCAAAAATGAGAAAAGAGAATAAGTCTACTAAAAATTTTCTTAAAGAACGTCTATTGCAACAAAAAATAAAATAAAAACTAACATACTGCATCAATTACTTGTTTAGTTTTTAAATTAAAAACGCAAATTGTGCTGTCCTCAAAAACAAGCAAAATTAAATTGTCTTTAAAAAATAAAATTTTAAACAAAAATTAATTCCAAAAAAAACCTTCAATTAATTCAATTCCCATCAATAAACCTTTAAACATTGTTTTAAATATGTCATCGTTTTGTTTATTTTTAGCTACATTTTTAGTCAAAAATTCTTCAGATAGAAGCAGAATTTGTTCAAAACCATTTTTGTGGTAAACACGCAAAATATTAGTTAAATCCTAAAAAAATAATTAAAGGCATTGTTTCTATTGACTTTTTTGCAAATAATCATGGGAAATCTTCGAATACCCGGAACCGAACCAAAAATCCAAAACGAAAATTCTCTGTTACTGGGTTCAGTCCGAATCGACAACCCTGGTCCAACCATTATTCAACAGCGTCCTCAAAAACCACTCCACTCATTTCAAACAGCATTTCTTCCTTCGCCAATTTTACTCCATTTCCCCGTGGCATATCTAAATAAGGCATTAATAGAGAAAAGATTGAAATGGAATAAAATTGGAGAAGGAAGAAAGGCTGACCATTATTACATGTTAACAATTCTGAGACACAAAATATGGGGGTGATATATCCATAAAGTACCTAACTTATTAAGCAGAGACCGGGCCGAACTGGGAGGGCGTACGAGAATCTAGAACGAAATAAAAAAAAATTAGATTTTCGACAAATTTTTATTGAAGATCTCATCCCGGCCCGGACTCTAATTTAAATTGTCTAATTAAAAATTAACCTCTTTATCAGGCACAAAAACTCTTTTATTATCTAAATCGGCCAAAGCTCTACAAAATCCATAATGTTCAGTTGAAAATTCTTTTAAAGGCAATAATCCAATAATTGAAGAATTTGAAGAAAATTTAATTTTGAAAAGAGAAATGGATGATCCTCGAAAATTGATAAAAATAATTGTTTCGCTGGCTTCTAAATTAAAATAAAAATAAAAGAAAATTTTATTTGGCACGTTTTTATTGTTTTTGTTATTTAATTAGTTGACTATGTGAAAATAAAAAATATTCCCAGCAGTGGGATCCGAACCTCCTCCCCTTATAAGTAAAATCCAGGAATTTTCCCACTACACCAAAATGCACACTTTAATTAAAAACTGTCTTCATAAACATCGTCAAAAATTATTTTCCGAGATGAGGACTCGAACCTCCCCCAATTTACACTAAAAATCCAAGCATTTTCCCACTACACCAAAAAGTACATTTTAAATAAAAATTATTTTAAAAATTAAACCTTTCTCCAAAGGCCACAATCCAATTGCCAAAATATGTCTTTTATTGCCATCTTCTTTAAAAATATTTTTTTTTAATTTTAAAATTAAAATAAAAAACAAACCATAAATATTAACCAATTCCAAATTTTTAAACAAAAAATTCAAACATTTTCCACAATTTGTGCCAATTAAAATTATTTTGAGTCCATTCAATAATTGATGAAATACAAAAGAAGGAAATTCTTTTTGATTATTTAAATATTGAGAAAATAGAGGTTCTAATTTTAAATTCATTTATCTAAATAAATAAATTAACTAGAGAATTTTTAGCACTCAAACGTCCCACATAAGCGCGATATTTAACGGACCGATGAAACCGGGAACAGGAATTCCCCTCCGGTCAACCTTCAGAAACAGTTTCCCGGTTCCCGGACCCGGTTTTTTCAAAATTCCGATCTCTAGACGGAGGAAAACTTAAATCAAAAATCTAGAGGTTCTGGCCACAAAGTTTTAAGTTTGCGACTAAATGGCTTTAACGACTAAATGGCCAGTTAGACACCGCAAGCCACTTAGGCGCAGGGTTAAATTTAAAGTCTGTGGGAGGCCATTTAGGCGCAGAGTATAAATTCTCCACAAGTTGGCACGTATCAAAAAAAATTCTAAAAAACAAAAAATAAATAAAAATGCGTTTCTACATTTTACCAAAAAGTTTTTCCTCATTAGAAATTTCCCCAACCCCAATTGGATTAATTTTATTTTTAATTTTATTCATTCCAATATTTTTAATTTCTTTAAAATTAATTTTATTTATTTACAAAATATTTTTTAAAAATTTGAGAATTTTAATTTCTCCTTTATTAAATATTTATGATTTTGAAAAACCAACAAAAATGAGAGAATAAATTTGGAGGAATGAATGATTGATTAAAGTAAATTTTTAAATAAATTATTATTTTTATCTGATTATTTTTAAAAATTTTTTAATCAATAAATTTTTTTTTAAAATTTTTGATGAATTAAATTAATGAATTTAATGTTTTTAATAATTGTTTTTGTAGGAAGAAAATTTTTCTTTTAATTTTAGGCTGCAGTTAAGTAGGCTGCCTTGCGTATAAGTGACTCGCACCTAAGTGTCCGTCTGTCACTAAAGTAGAAGTCGGCGCGGGACGGGATCCGGACGATTTTCCGGGATCCCAAAATCCCGGATTTTTTTTTTGATTTTAGGGATCTTCTTTAATTGAAAAACATTTTAAAAATGGTGTGATTAATTAATAAATAAAGCAGGAGATTGCTTTTGTTAAATTTTCACACTGTAGGACACACTCAAGTTGGCACTCTAACGGCTTTTATTGAAAATTTACATTTTGAAATATACAAAGAAGAAATAGTGAAAGAAAAGAAAATAGAAAAAATGGCGGCCATTTTTGGCGGCATATAAAAGCCTCAATATCTTGGCTCCTTACCACCCGCAACCAGCCAACGAAACTACTTCTCTTCTACTTTCTCTACCATAAATCGTCCAATGTCGTCTACAATGAAAACTGCGTCAACAATGTCGGATGGTAGCGTGCAATCGTTCCAAGGGTCAGTTTCCATTTGATAACTTTCTAATCCGTTCTAATCTTTTCTCTTTTTTAGCGCCACACAGGAGTTCGTTGTAATTTCCGACATTGCTTCTGGCGGGTACGGCGCTGTATTCAAAGTCCGAGGCTCTAAAGGAGGCGTTTTTGCTCTAAAACTTGAGAAGCGTGCTCCAAAGCGTGACCACTACAAGCTGCAGATGGAGGTGCGGGTGTTGCAGGCCGCTGCCTTGGCAAAGCCGGAAGAGAGACAACACTTGCCCACGCTCATTGACCATAGTGAACCGCACAGTTCAAGCAGTAGTATGTTCATTGTCATGACGCTTTTGGGCAAGTCGCTGGGAGACATAAAGCGAGCGTACAGAAAGAGGATCTTCAGGTTTGTTACCTGAGTGGTCTAATTTTTTAATTCATCTCTTTAACATTTTTAGCCCTAACACTGCCTACTATTGTGCCATCCAGTCGATTGACGCGATCAAAGAAATGCACGATCTTGGCTTTCTTCACCGCGACATCAAACCGGCAAATTTTGTGATTGGAATGCAAGGGAGCAAATACTGCAATACGGTTTTCGTTGTGGACTACGGGATTGCACGGAAGATTCTTGACGCTAAGGGGAGTATGCTGACACCACGAAGAAAGGTAAAAAAAGATAAAATCATGAGTAAATTGGTTATCTTGTTCAATTTTCAGATAAAGTTCAAAGGCACCGTCCGCTTCGCCCCAGTGACCATGCACAAGATGGAGGAGCTTGGACGTAAAGACGACTGCGAGAGTTGGATCTATATGGTTGTGGACATGGTCAACGTTAATCGACTTCCGTGGCACATGGTTACCGACGTAGACGAAGTTGAGCGAATGAAGAGGAAGGCGATTGCTGAGCCAAAAACATTGTTCCCAAACCATGAGGTTTGTTGATAGAAACGGGGAACAAAAAAACAAAAAAAAACTTTGTTTTTACAGGAGAGCGAGTTACATGAAGTGATAAAATATTTAAATGGACTGCACTATGTGGACAAGATTGACTACAACTGGATTCGCGAAATGGTCAAGCGTGTGGCGAAACGACGGGACTGCACTCTTATGGAGCCGTTTGACTGGCAACTTAAAAAAAGAAGAACGATGTCGACCTAAGAATCGTGTGATTTTTTTTTCTCCGATTTTTTGTACGTATTAATTGTATGTATTTGCCCATCCATAAATATAATATTTGTGTAATTTATTTTTGTTTAGAATAAATATTTTTTCCTTGTTTAATTTAAAAATTGGGAGCAGACGATCAGGGTGAAAATTAGGTCATTTGGAGAGGGCATCTTCCTTTTAATTATTTTTTTATCATCTTTTTGTGGGATGAAAAATCATTTTTTGATAAATTTTTAGCTCATTTTTAAGAGTATGTAGTAATTGTTTTAGGTAAATTGTTTTAGGTCACCTCCAATGTTTTCTTTAAATTTTGATTCACGTAAATCCACATTTTTGGCTACTGTTCTCTCCTTTGCTTGTTTTCTTTCTGCTATTGTCTTTATTCCAATCAGCTTCATTCACAATCAACAAAGACTTTCTTACCTGCTTGCCAATGTTGAGTTATGCAAAGCTGAAACTAGAGATATTGTGTCTCAACTGGCTATAAGACCTATCCGTGTTAAACGAGACATTGACAGCAATAGTAACCCCTATGCACGTTACGCCGCAATTTTGTCGGCATCACGGGGTGCCTGTTGCTCTTGCAGCCAAGGTTTTAAAACTTGAACTAATTCAATTTTCTTTTTAAAAATAAAGGACCGCCCGGGGAGAGAGGAAAGCCTGGACGAGATGGACGCCCTGGAAAGGACGCTACGCCAGGATCAGAAGGATATCCAGGGAGGAATGGCAAATACCTGCCGGCACCCCCAGCTGGCACTGACAGTTGTCAGAAAGTTGTCATTATATGACTTTAAATAATCTTATTAAATTTTAGTGCCCTCCAGGTTCAAACGGACCTCCAGGATTGCCTGGGACCAAAGGTATTTAAAAATAAGTGTTAATTATTATTTTCTGCTTTATTATAGGCCCTCGTGGTCCTCCCGGTAAAGCTGGACAGACGGGAAGAGCGGGCGGTTTGTTATCTTTGGATAAACGATTTTGAGAATTCTAATGATTTTAGACAACAATCGACCTGGACCGCCAGGACCCCCGGGTCCTAGAGGTGATCCTGGATTTATGGGCGATAAAGGACCTAATGGAGATAGAGGAAAGGTAAATTTTCTCTCAAAAATAGATCAATTCTTTAAAAAATTTTAGGTGTTGAATGGAGCTCCTCCCGGTCCTTCAGGTCCGGCTGGTCCATCAGGTAACGTAAGCTCGGTTAAACCATAAAAATATTCTGTCCATTAAAGGCCCAAGAGGACCTCCTGGCGGAAGAGGACACGATGGAAAAGGTGGAATGCAAGGCCCTCCAGGAATACGCGGCTCTGTTGGAGACCGAGGGTCTGAAGGGAATGCTGGATTGCCTGGGCCTCCAGGTACTTTTCTGTTGTTGCTATTGATTATCTTTGATTAATAGGACCCCCAGGAGAGCCTGGATATCCTGGTTCATGCCAACACTGTCAAGGAGGTCAGATAATTTTCCAGAATTAAATCAAAGTTAAATTATAGGAGCCAATGCTGGAGTTCTTTTACCTTCTCCATCCGCATATGAACAACAACAACCCCCTTCCTCCCCCTCAACATCATCCCCTGTCTGGAAGTCTTTAGATAATTCGCCCACATACTCCGCTTCTTATTCGGGAAATGAAAAGGGACATGCACCTAGTGCAAAACCTGAGGGATCCAAATCAGAAAATTCTTTAGCGTTTGGGGTGGCTCAAAAGGCAGCAATTTATTCAGAAGGAAGAAAACAACATATTGGGGAAACAAATAAACAAAAACAAGAAGAATTTCTTTGGATTAATGAATAAATTTTAATAAAGGCGATTATGATGTTCTAGGGGTTATAAGGAAAGGGATGTCACGGGTTAATCGAAACCCTAAAGATTCGAAGAAAATTTTGAACGAAACCCGCCCCGACCTTTTTATCAACCCGTGGCATCTCTGATATAAAACCCTTAGGGCATCAGACGCCCTACTTTCTTCTTCCCCCGATCCCCTTTTTTACAATTTTTGTTCGAGTCTTTAATTAAAAAATAATTTTATTTCAGCTAATAATAATTAATAAATAATTAACACAAAATTATATAACAAACCAGATTTATTTTTAATAAAATCCAGATTTGTTTTTAATTGATTTTATTACATAAACAGATAATAATCTAAAAATAATATTATTTTTTAATATTTAAAAATGTTTAAATTATTTTTATTATTTTTTATTTTTAAATTAATAAATTTGGAGCCCATATTAAACAGAAAATCGACTTATTATTGGAGTGAGTTATTTATTGTTAGGAATAGTCGGACCTTACTGTAGGATACTCCGTCTGGACTAAAAAAAGGTACCTTATAATGAGGTGTATCTTAAATAGAGGATTGACTTGATACCTCAATTTAAGATAAGGTACACCTCGTTATAAGGTACCTCTCGCTATAAGGCAACCTCGATATAACGTACACCTCATTATAAGGTCTATCTAGTATCGGGGGGGGGAGGTCCATTTATAAGGAGGTTCGACTGTTAAAATATTTATTTTTTCAAAAGGTCAAAGATCGCTAGAATGTATCAATCACGGATTAAATATTTCAAGATGTTCACTTTTTGAAGAAGGAAGAATAACAGAATTAAATCCTGGATGCTTTGACGAATTAAATAGTCAAAACAAAACTTTGGTTTATTGCAGACTAAAATGTGAGGAATCTGATGAAGCAACTGTGTTAAGGAAGGAACCTTCAAATAATCATATTTGTGCATCCTATCATACGTATAATTTGGAAAGAAGGAGACGAGATTGGTAAAATATAGTCGAGGAGCTCGTTATAAGATATCCTTAATATTAGATACCCTCAATATTAGAGACACCTCTTTTTAAGAGACGCTCTTTAAAAGTTGGTTGGATACTAGGTCAGGGTAGCTACCCTCTTTAAAACTCTTTAAAATTAGGTTGTCCAACTAGGTGGGGGTGATATCCTCTATTTAATAGACACCTCATTATAATGTACCATTATTCCAGCCCCAAGGGGTACTTATAACGAGGTTTTAACAAAATAAAATTTTAAAACAAATATTTAAAGGTATATTTGGCGTTCTGGTGAATGTATAAACACAACAATCAAATTTGTTTTAAGATGCGGATTCCCTCGAGATCCTCGAGTATTTTATGCTCAAAATAAACATTTATATGAATATGATGATTTTACAACTATTAGAAATATTGGATAATTTAAATTATGTTTATTTCAAAAATCAAATACAATAACTAAAAATTATCTAGAAAAATTTTTTTAAGTGAAAAATTAATAAATAGGATTTTTAAATTTAAGAAGCTAAATAAATCTTAAAATAAGTATTTTTCACTTATAGTTGAGCAAAAAAAATAAATAAAAATAAAAAGACTTAGATAAATTAGGGTAGCAATATCCCGCCTTCGGGGACAGAACTGGGACTATATCGATATCATGAAAAATCTCGATTCCGATAACCAAAATGTTTGGTTGAGATCTCTTCTTGATTCAGTCTCAATTTAGCATTAAAGTCCAGTCGGTCCGGATTAGCTACCCTAATTTAAATTAAATTTGGAAAACCACAAAAATGGGTTAATTGATCAAAATTTTCTTCAGGTATAAAATTGAAGAATTTTGCAACTTGAAAAATTAAAAAAATCAGGCAGCTATAACAGGCAAATTTGATGGCCTTTCAGATTTTGTTTGTTCATTTCCATTAGCATGCACTTTCATTTTTATTCCTTTAATGCGCATGCGTTCACGGAAATGCTTAAAAAAATTTTTTTTGAAAATTTTTTTTCAGTTTTTTACCTGAGGGGTAGCCCAAGGCTGCAATTCAGCACTCGCAAAGAAGCAATAAAATATATTACACAAAACCATTATACCACCAAGCACATAAAAGGCTAATGCCCATTCTTGGCGAGTATTGTTTGGAGTTAACGGGTTGACAATTAAGGGGACCATTAACCTAAAAAATAAATTTAAATTTAAAATACAGGTAGACCTCGTTATACGATACCCCCTTGGAGTTGAAAATTGTTACTTATAATGAGGTGTATCTTAAATAGAGGGTAACGCGTAGGCAGTTCTCCCGCCCAGTGGCTGACCAACTTTTATAGAGCGTCTCTTAAATAGAGGTGTATTTAGTATTGGGGGTATCTTATACCGAGGTCTGACGACCCAATACCAGATAACCTCTATTTAGTAGACGCTCTTTGAAAATTTGGTTGGACACTGGGAAGGGGAGCTGTCTAAGCGACACTCTATTTAAGATACAACTCATTATAAGAGACAATTTTTCAACCCCTAGGGTGTATCTTATAATTAGGTTTGAGGATCTATTTACATTGTAACAGTCATTGCAGTCGATATTTGTCCCATAACGAAAGGAGAATATGGCCCAGCAATCATTGAACCACTTTTATAAAACCCTCCAATATTAAATCCGAGCGAAAAAGCTGAGGCTGTCAAGAGAAACAAAGCCAAATTTCCATGCCCTGGAGGCACAAAGGAAGCGATAACGAGAATAAAAGCCATTGAACAAAAAGCGATTGAATTGAAAACTTTGGTTTTTGTTGTTTCCCCCATTAAACTTTGAGGGATTCTGTCGTTGATTAGTCCGGCTAGTTCTTTCATACAGGCTTGGCCGAGAGGGGGTAAGGCTGCCATAAATCCTGTTTTGACTACTTGGAAGCCTTGAACCTGAAATTATTAATTAATTAAATACAGTAATTTAATTAAAATACAGTAAGACCTCATAAGATACCCTTAATATAAAATACCCTCCTTATTAGTAGAGCTGTGATTTTTATGCAAATGCATATTTTTTTTGCAAACTTGCCATCATGTATAAAGCACAAAAAACACTGTTTTAGCTTGTTTTGAAAACTTTAGAGGGGGTTACTATTTGCATATAATGCATATTTTTGCATATTTCAGACTTTGGTGCATAATGCATATTTTACTGCATATTTTGAGGTTTTTGGGGAAAATATCGCGAAAATTGCCCAAAATCCTGCCAAAATTGAAAATATAGTAAAAATTTTGGAAAAAATTTGAAAAAATTAAGAATTTTGTAAAAAAAATTTTTTTGTTTTTTTGGACGCGACCCAAAAATGTCCCACCCCAAAATGTCACACCGACAAAACGCCACATCTCAAAATGTCCAACAGAGTAAAAATACTCAATTTGTTGAAAATACATATAAACTGGGAGTAATCTTGATAAAAATAGATTTTTGAATGTTTTTGAATAAAAAAATGAAAAATTTCTAGGTATAAATTGTATTTTTCATGCATATTTGCGTGGATATTTTGGGTTTCTTGCATATTTTTGTGCATATTTCGGTAATTTTTTATGCATATTATAGTGCATATTTTGCATTTTTTAATGCATAAAATTCACAGCTCTACTTATTAGATACTCCCAATACTAGATACACCTCTATTTAAAAGACGCTCCTTAAAAGTTTTGTTAACAATTGGGTGGGGGATGTTTCCCAAGTGTTACCCTCTATCTAATAGACACCACAATATAAGGGACTATTTTTCAGCCCAGGGGTACATAAAACAGAGGTTCGACCATATTTTTATTTTTTACTGTAAAACATTCATTTTTCTACCTTGTAAAGATAAGTAGGCGTAAACTGATAAAGAAGATTAATTCCAGTAAAATTCCCAATCCCTCCAATAAACACAGCCCAAGCAGCAGGCGAACGAAGAATTTCTCTTTAAACAAAAGAAATTTTAAATTTTTAATTTAAATAAACATACTTATAAGGAACATATTTTTGTGCTTGAGAATCTTGAGAATCCCTTCCCCTCGCAATTTTATTTTTTTCCAATTCATTAACGTAAGGGTGCTTGTTTGGATCGTTTCGATAAAATAAATAGAAACACAAAAATAAAATAACAGAAACAATTGCATGGAAGTAATAAACGCCTGGCCAACGCCAAGAAGATTCACATAAGATTCCGGAGACGGGGTTGGTGAATACTGGGGCTAATTGGACGTAGACACCTTGAAAATTAATTAATTTTAATTTTTAATTAAAAACCTCTTATAAGATACACCCTTGGGGTTGAAAAAAATAGTCCGTTATAATGAGGTGTCTCTTAAATAGGGGGTATAATAAGGAAAAGGCCTGAGCCCCAAAAGATAAAGTTAGCTGTGGCTATGACAAATGGACAGTGGACAATTGCTCAATAGACAAAACGACACTTGACAAAATGCCTTTAGACAAAATGACAGCGGACAAATGGCCAGTGGACAATTGGATTTTTATGAATAGTTAAATTTACATAATGTAGCCGTAAAAAAAGCATATTGTTTATGATAAGTCCAATAAGTAACAAAATGTCCAAAGGTTGCCATATCACCAGCAAAAGCCATTCCTTGCAAAGCTCTGGCAAGTAAAAACCAATTCCACCCCATTTTCATACAATAAGGAATTAAAGCAGTTGCAACTGCCCCAAAGAATCCAACAGCGGTGAATAAATATCTAGGTCCATACCAATTAATTAGAGTAACAATTGGAATATTTGTAATTAAAGCTCCAATAGCTACCAAAGCCATTGCTTGGCTCTAAATAAGAATACTGTAAACCCTCTTTATAGGGCACCTTCTTTATAAGATACCCTCACTATAAGGTACCCTCACTACTAGATACACCCCTATTTAAGAGACACCCTTTAAATCTGTCTGGCCCTGGGTGGGGAGAGCTTCCTAAACGATACCCTCTATTTAAGAGACACCTCATTATAGGAGACAATTTTCAGCCCCAAGGGGGTATCCTACAATGAGGTTTATGTTCATAATTAAATTTACTACCTTTTCATAATTAGTAAATTCTCTAGTTAGCCAGGCTTCATCAGAATTTTCTATTGTTTTATTCAACAAAGAATTAGTTGTTAAATTGCTGATTTGATTGTGATCGTGTTCTGTAGTATTCTCATGTTCTCTTGGCCTCATGCAAATCTTTATAAATTTAAAATTAAATTATCATGTCATGAATGATTAAGAGAAGATAAATTTCCTTATCCTTTTGGAGGATCAGACCACTCTATAAATCCTACCGACAAAACGCCGATAGGACAAAACATCTAATATCCAAAATACCAGAGGACAAAATATAGTCTGTCTAGAATGTCAGAAACTCCCGACATAACACCCAAAGACAAAATACCCAACGACAAATCACTAAGACAATAACCGTCAAAAATAACAGTATGTCCAAAATGCCGACCGACAAAACGCCACCAAAAACACCACCCCCATTTATTTAATGTTTAATTAAATCAGAATTTCTGATATTTTTTTCTGATTTTATTTATTAAAAAAATTAAAAATTTACCACAGTAAAATTAAAAGTCAGAATATTAGCCCAATTAATCATTAAACACAAAACAACCAATACAAGCAACAAAAACCGAGTACGGCTAGCCATTGGGGGATTATTTTCATCTTCATTATTAATTGACATTTTTTTAATAATTTTTTTTCTCTTTAAAAAATTATTTTTTATTGATAAAAAATCGAAAAAAGGTTAATAGTTGTTGCGCAATTTAAAAAATAAAAGAGAAAATGGCAGAAAATGGTTTCGGTTACATGTCTTCTTATATAGAAAATAAAATTATTTTTTTAGATATAAAATTTTAATTGAAGAGAGTTCGTCGATGAGAGAACAAAAACAAATTTTTATAATTAAAAATAGAAAAAAATTTGTTGGACAAAAAGGAACACCGACATTTGCGGACAAAACCGAACCCTATTGAAATTGGGACAAACGGCCATTAGGACATATGGACAGTAGGAAAAAGGCAATTTTGGTCACCTTTACAAACCGTAATATTTTCGCGGTACAGACTCATTACGGTACTTTATATAAACAATAAAATAGAAATGTGTTCGCAAATGTCGTTCCATCAAAAAAGGGGGAAGAAAAATTTTTTAAAATAAAAAATTCTCGAAAATGTATAGGGTATCTAATTAAAATTTATTATTTAAATTAAAAAAAATGTCGGTAAAAAATAAAAGGAAAGTTGTGTTTGGTGGGGGCGTTGAATTTAGATTTTGACTATTTAGAATTAATTGGTTGTAAAATGAAGGCGGGGAGGGGAGGGGAATTAATTAAAAAAAAAATTTAATTAATTTTAAGATTAAACGGAAAGAAAGATTTTTTTCTGTTCATCTTTTTCTTAAAATTAACTGATTGATGAT